TTTGCACTGAATGTGTATGTGTATACTGACTGAATGTGTATATATATATATATATCTGATGATTTTTTGGCACTCTGAATTCTGATTCTCTGAGATCTTGGATAATGGGAGATGTCCTGGATGCGGTTTCTCTTATTCTTGCCGGAGTCATGGACACTTTCCGGAGAAGCACGGAGAACTGGAATTCTATCTCGCGAGTCCCATGGTTTTCTTCCCAATTTTTCTCAACTACTTCACGGCCCCAGTGAGTTTGGTAAGGTTGTCCCATTTATAGCTGGGTTATAACCTCATAACAATAGTCATTTTACACCATCATGTCAATCTCTTGACCTTTTTTTAACCATTGGTTGGGGATATTTGGAGGGTCTATAGCTTGTTCCTCAAATTTGTCCAAAGGCTCAGAGTTCCTTCCCCTCGCTGCATCTTGATTCAGCTGCCCATGGCGCGGCGCACAACGGTGGCAGTGTGGCTGCTGGCGCTGGCACCGGCGTTCGTGGCGCCGGAGTGGTGGCGGAAAGGACATGGGCAGAGCATCAAAAGCGGTGCAGTTTCCCTATGGACCCTATAGACTCAGCCGGGGTTGGTTTAGATTTGGATCCCAACGAACTGTTTATTTTTTTTTAAAGGGGAACATGTATGGAAAATTAGGGAGAGAAAACATTGTTGCTGGTCTGATGACATCCCATGAATCTAAAAGTTTTGAGCAGAAAAATGTGTAACCGGAGAACTACAGATATTGCAAACTGGCCGAATTGAAAGACGCAACGTCTCCCAGGGTGAAATGTGAAAACAATTGCTTCCCAGGTTGAGCAAATCCCAGTGTAATTTTTGGAACATGTGCACAGATATTGTTGGTAATATAAGCCAATAAGCAGTTCTGTAGATGTGTTCAAACGAAAAGTGGGAAAGTCACCGTGCCCTGAAACATGAACATCCATTCAATTTCGTTGGGGCCCAAGGCCCTTTTCATGCAGTTTATCCCCAGTACGTCCTTCTAGGCTGAAAATTCCATAGTGGGAACAGGTTCAACTAAACCAAATGAGTCGCGTGTTTGTTTGCCTGTAGGATGGCCACAGAAGCACATGAACAGCGTGGCTGAGACCGAGTTGCTGATGCAATTGGCTGCCTTGCTGATGCCTGAAGATGCACCCATTGAAGAGATGTTCCGTAACTTCCCAGCCCCGGAGGAGTGGGGTGGCAACTACCTGGAGCCAGATCTCAGTTTGTGTGGAGTCCTTAAAGATGAGAATGCTGCATTATTTGTGGAATATGATGGATATTGGCGGCATGAGGGAAAGGAAGGAATGGAGAAAGATATGAAGAAAAATGCAGCATTGTTGCAGTATGCACCTCCAGGGTCCTGCGTGATGCGCATAAGTCACACAACTAGCAAACCGCTGGAAGGGAATGTTCTTTGGATCAAAATTGACACTTGGCGTCAAGGGGGCTCGAAAACACTCTCGAAGGTTTTGCTGGATCTTTTGCTGGAAGTCAAGACTTCTGGCCTTCGCAGGTTTCTACATCCAAGTGTGGCAAATCGATTAACCATTGAGACGAAAAGGCATTGCATCAAGCTCTCATCCAAGGTGCAGCAGCTTGCACATTCAGCAGTGGTGGTGGGTGCGGGCAACACCAGCGATGAAGTATCGAATTTCCTGGTGGCTGAAGGATTTGGATCTCAAGTATCTGCCTTGATGAAAGGCTTGCCTTGGGGAATATCAATAGAGAGGACATTGAAACCAAAAATAGGGTGGATGTCAAACCTGGGCATCACAAAGAGGCAAATTGCAAAGGCAGTTGCCACATTTCCTAAAATTCTTGGGTGTAGCATCGAGCAGAACTTGCAACCGACTGTACAATGGCTTTTGGACTTGGGCCTGACAAAGAGGCAACTTGCAAAGGCAGTTGCCACACATCCTCAAATTCTTGGGTGTAGCATCGAGCAGAACTTGAAACCGACTGTACAATGGTTGCTAGACTTGGGCCTGACAAAGAGGCAAATTGCAAAGGCAGTTGCCACATTTCCTCAACTTCTTGGGTATAGCATCGAGCAGAACTTGAAACCGACTGTACAATGGTTGCTAGACTTGGGCCTGACGGAGAGGCAAATTGCAAAGGCAGTTGCCACATTTCCTCAAATTCTTGGCCTCAGCATTGAGCAAAACTTGAAACCGACTGTACAATGGCTTTTGGACTTGGGCCTAACGGAGAGGCAAATTGCAAAGGCAGTCGCCACATTTCCTCATATTCTTGGGTGTAGCATCGAGCAGAACTTGCAACCGACTGTACAATGGCTTTTGGACTTGGGCCTAACAAAGAGGCAAATTGCAAAGGCAGTTGCCACATTTCCTCATATTCTTGGGTATAGCATCGAGCAGAACTTGAAACCGACTGTACAATGGTTGCTAGACCTGGGCCTGACAAAGAGTCAAATTGCAAAGGCAGTTGCCACGTGTCCTATTCTTGGCCTCAGCATTGAGCAAAACTTGAAACCGACTGTGCAGTGGCTTTTGGACTTGGGCCTGACGGAGAGGCAAATTGCAAAGGCAGTTGCCACTTCTCCTCCTATTCTTGGCCTCAGCATTGAGCAAAACTTGCAACCGACTGTACAATGGCTTTTGGACTTAGGCCTGACGGAGAGGCAAATTGCAAATGCAGTTGCAACATTTCCTCAAATTCTTGGCCTCAGCATTGAGCAAAACTTGAAACCGACTGTACAATGGCTTTTGGACTTGGGCCTGACGGAGAGGCAGATTGCAAAGGCAGTTGCCACATTTCCTCATATTCTTGGGTATAGCCTCGAGCGGAACTTGAAGCCCACCAACCGTTGGCTGCAAAAGTTTGGTGTGAGTGACAAAAGACTTCAAAGACTCATTACGCATTGGCCTCGCTTTCTTGGATTTAGTCTTGCAAACAAGCTTGAACCGGCTGCATTGTTACTTGAGTCATTCTGTCCACCAAAAGGTGCACGGGCCAGGGAAATCATTGCAAGGAATCCAGAGATACTTCGATTCAGCCACAAGCGGCTTGCAGCACGATTGAGAATCCTCTCGAGCCACAAGGCGTCTAAGGTCTACTACGCCATGTGTTTGACGGATGCTCTCTTTGAGCAACGGTTTGGTTCTGAAAGATAGCGACAACGCTCAGTCGGTCATGACAAAAGGCTGACTATTCTTTGGTGGTTTCCTCTCTACAAGGATGGGCTTTCCAATTTCTGCGTATATGCTTGATGACTTGCACCATGCTGCAATACGCTGCACCTGTGTGGACACATGATTTGATGCCTCTTTGTTTGATAAGATTCCTTGTCCATGAAAAGTTTGTTCAATCAGAAGCAGGGATCCATCACAGTTGTTGTGGAGTTGAACAATGCCCAGTTGGCTCCTGTCAGTTGCTACTTATATTGTGCAGTTACTACTATCAGGTTTAAAAAACACATATATCATCATATATCATCATCTATATCATGCATATAATCTGACATAAGTTAAGCCTAAAGTCATCCCTTTGTACACCAACCCCCTCCAACCCTTTAAGGGATCAACACAAGGGCTTTGTTGGCAAGTCCGCCTCCAGGAGCTGACGAGGACTCTCTGGGTGTCCGTATCGACATGGCGTTGCCCACAACAGGTCGTGGTCAGTGAGTGAAGTAAAGATGGCAGACATCTGAAACCATGGGGTGTAATTTCTATCAACTGTCCCCATATATGCATGTTTTTTAATGAAGACTGATAATGATAACCAGTGATTCTATCATTTATCATATAATTTCTATGCATGTTTTTGATATTTTTTAAATGAAGACTTCAAGTGTGAGTTTGCTATAGAATCACTGGTTGAGAGGAAATGTACAGGCAGTTTGTTGGAGTGGAAGATTTGTGACGACTCAGATCAGTGAGAAAGCCAAGATATGTCAACAGTTACCATTCATTAATGGAATGTTAGCTGTTAGCAAATGTTAGCAAGGTGGACGGCACTCAAAACCAAAGATGTTCCAACGATGTCCAACGTGCTTTCAAGACATCTGTGCCTTTCGAATTCTCCACCTGACCCCGGCGCGACGTGAAGGATGAGGAGTGGGCGGAAGGTGATGGTGAATGGGAGTACGAAGAAGAGGCACCCGGGGAGACGAGAACTGTGGTTCGCACCACGGCCGGGCATCGATGTGGAGCGGAGGAGCTAGAGATGGGGCACGATATGGTACAATTCCTAATGTGGTAAACCCAGTAATAAACCATAATAAAAACCTACCATTTGGGGATAGTTTAATTATTTAACCAAGACCAATTCATAGCAATTCAAGGTGATTTTTGGGATGGTTTTATTATTGTGGTTACCACATTACAATCCCTATACTGTACGTATGCTTTTTGAAAGGGAGCCAAAGAGGTCGATGATTTTAAGATGCAAGAGAAATCCAAAACCAAGATACGTGGGATTTGACTGTTTCTGCACCTTGGAGGAATCCGTGATCAAAGCTGAATAGTCATTCATGGACATTCCAATGGTTGATCATTAGATTCAGATCATTGACTTCTAGTGTGGCTCCATTTTTTTTTCCGCACTCCACAGTTTTGCCAAGTTTTGCCAGTACCACTTTGCCTCTCCTGGGTCATGGCAAAGATTTGGGAGCCCAAGGGCTGCAAGCTTCAGCTCGAGTCGTAAGGCTGTGATACAGTACCTTTGCACGAACGAGAACCCTTGGCGTTAGGGGTGTAGGATCCCCCAAGTATCCTTGACCCGTTGAGTCTCTTTTTAGCAGCAAATTCATGTTTTCGGGATTGATATTCCATGGCATTCCATGGACATTGTAAGTTGTATCAACCCTCATTCATCATTCAAAGTATAAGATATAATTAAGATCTTACCTTTCTATCCCATATGCTCCATGTATGGAACATTTATCAACCCTCAAAATCACCCAGCCTTGTGGCTAAAGATGCCAGACATTGAGCACAGGTTCCAATCTCAACCAAGTTTCACTCACAGCCGTTGCCGCCATGGCCAGCACTGTTCCCGTTTGGACCGTGCAAGCCATCGCTGCGCACGACGCGGCACTGACGATGGGCGCCTACCGGGCGTCGCCGAAGCATTTGGAGAACGGCGACTTTTGCAATCCGGAGCGATGCGAAAGCCTTGGGTGATGGGGGATGATGGGTGGGATGGGATCTTCGAGTTTCTGGGGGTAATAGCAAACTTGGAACTATATCTTATCAACATATATAAAAGGTGGGAATCCCCAAATGATGGGTGATAGGGGAAGGATAATCATATGTAGTTCCCAAAAGGATAGAGAAGAGTCTTACGACTATTTCAGTAGTATTTTACTTTTTTTTGAATCCAAGTGACTGATGGGGGAAGAACGGTGGGATATGTGATCCCCAAACAGATAGAGAAGTGATGCGAAGTATATGACCAATATTACATATACTTGCGAGTGATGTAGGAAGGACGCGATATTTAGCAATCCCCAAATACTTAGAGAAGTGTATTACGATGCATTACCACTAGTTTATGAGGATTTTACTGTTATTTTTTTTTATCCAAGTGATTGATGGGGGAAGGATCATGGGAAGGATCCTCTATTGAGTTTGTGGGATATACATGGATATACTGTAACCTGTGACCTATTGTCAAAATAAGTATACAACAGATTGGTGGTGGTATCCTCCCTTATCTTTATCCTGCAGCTGTTCATAGTTTCTTTGCAACTTTGTCTCACAGTAACTTTCATGCAACAGTTTCACCACTGACATACATGCGAGGGTTAGGTAGGATCCCCAAGATGGATTGCCAAAAATGAGGCATTTGACATAACTTAACACAATTCCATTATACATAATCCGATAATTCCAATAGGAAATGAGCTATTAAATTCCACTATGTCCTGATAAATCCAATACACATAATGAGCTGTTGCCAACCCAGTGGTATGTGATATGTCCCCAGCTTTGGCTTATCCATAAAAATGGATGGGTTTGGGCAATTCCAATGGGACACTGGTGGGATCCTTAAGTTGGTTGACACATGGTGTCCTGGTGATGTGTGATTGGTGAAGTTCATGGAGGACAAGGGGATGTAACCATATGTAACCAACATATGCCAATGGGATATCAACAAGCAAGATCAGCGGCTGTAGAGAAAGGTGGCATTGCCCATTGGATTTTTATGTGGGTCCCCAGATATTTCCTCCATTTCCGATGAACATCATGTCTTGGTGGTTTAGATAGTGCTTGTATCGGATTCAAAGCGTCTCCCAGGCGGATGATTATGGATACTGTGGATGGTTGCAAAATCCTGCACCACCAAAAGGATGGTTCAACCCCTATAAATAATGGGATAAACCACCTATCAACTGGTGCAGGGTTTCGCAGCCATCCACCGTATGTTCTTGGCGACATGCCATGAAATCAGCTTCCTCCATCTGAACGCAGGAGGCTTATGAGTTCATGGTGACGGAGTTGGAGTAGCTGGGCGGCAGGCCATGCCATGCAACCTGCCCACCCAAAAAATAACAAACCGAGTGGAGGATTTTGTTGAGGAAGATTTTGTTGAGTTTATGTTGAGTTTATGTTGAGTTTATGTTGAGTTTACTTTGGCTTGCTCTTGGATGACTTTCAGACCTTGGGCAACCGTTCAAATTTGCAGACTTGGGCAATCATGGATTTCCCTTTGGATTTCTCAGGGATTTCCCATTGATTTCCACAAAGGGACCATCATCAGCCCCAGGAAGCGCGTAGGGCCGTGCCCTACAGACGTCCAGGAGTCGTGGATTGAGCGAGGAGGTGCAGGAACACCCAAACCAGTCTGGGTTTGGTTGCAACCACCGACTCTTGGACCGCAAGGGGGATGCAGTGGGAGTAGAGATTCCTGGAGATTCTTTGACAATGGTATCTGCTTAGACTGGGATTAGTTAAGTGGTTAGCAACTGGTTTATCACTGACTAGATAATTCATTATAAAATATTATAACCCAGTTATTAACTATAGTCAACTAATCCCATGGCCCATCGTGGATCACTTCAAGCGACCCTTGGCTGACCCCGAGATCTGTCGTGGTTTCAGTCGTAGGGCATGCGTCATGTCTCAGATATTTGCTCTTTGATATATCCAAACGAAAGGCTCATGATTGTACACTTATATATATATACCTACTGAATCTCATACCTATATACTTTTTTTGGGGTGAAAACAAAAAATCTATCTATTTTCCGAAGGTGTATATATATATATATACACCACATACCTTTGAGAAGTCCCCAAAAAAAACCTGAACCGAAGACCCACGCACCCCGTTGCCTTTCCTCGCCAAGGTACGTGCCCGCTGCGGCCCGCTGTGGGCAACGCAACATCCTGGTGGAGGTGGCGGTGAGAGACGGCTGGCGGATATGTTGGGAGTTTTGAAAACGGTCATCGAAAATCATTGGACATCTTGAAAAGCTTCAAACATGTTGGAAACACCTTAAATATGTTTTAAAAAACTTGAAATTACTGGTTGATTCTTATAGTTGGTTTTTATAGAAAAATTGTTGCTTAAGGGCAACAAAGCCTGGGATGGGCCATCAAAGAAATGGGTTCCTTTGGCAGCCGAAACTAGCTGGCGCTAGATAGCTTCACCAACAGAAAAGACATGGGATACCCAGTGAGAAGCTGGTGATTTCGAATATTTTATGAATGTTCATTCCAAAAGAACAAGTACTGTATACCTGCTAGACCCTCCAAGTGCCCGTAAAAAATGTGTTTTATGTACTCCAGAAGTTCAGTATTTTTTTTTGACGTACCTGAGATGATGACCCTAATAACGACTACTCTTGTGACTTCTCTAAGTTTCGGGGGTTGGGAATCTTCACCAACTGATGTAGCACTTTACCCTTCGGATGATACGAATGGCGTTCTCAGGCGGCGGTGCGGAGAGAGGACGTGCTGGGGAGTCAGTTTCTTGGATAGGGAGCAGGGGTCTGGAGGAGCTCGGAACTTGTTTTTTTTTGGTTTTCAACGAGAGACTTGGGAGCATCAAGATTTATTTGCTGGTTGGTGGTTTGGAACATTTGGATTGTTTTTCCATATATTGGGAATGTCATCATCCCAACTGACTTTTATATTTTTCAGAGGGGTAGGTAAACCACCAACCAGTTTGTATTTACATAGCCTTTACAAAGAAGCCCTAGTGATGGTGGGATGATGCCCCAGTAGACCAATCCCTTGACCATGGCACATATGAAGCTTCCGAAGTCATGGGGGGTACCCCCAATCATCCGAGGTTTCAAAAAAAACTGGGGTACCCCCAGTTCTCATCCATTTTTTCTAGGTTTTTCCATTGGAAACCCAAAAATCATCAATTTTTCTAGGATTTTCCATTAGAAACCAACCATTTTGCCCCAAAAATCATCATTTTTTCTAGGATTTTCCATGAAAGACACCAACCAGCCATTTTGGGGGATCCCCCATTCGGAAACTTGTGATCGGAGGTTCCAGGCCTATGATCATGTCTTAAATGTTGCTTGGCAGTGGGAAGGCAGTTTTTGCCAAGCTCACAACGGGAAGATGTGGTGGGTTCAGCGACGCTAAATCAAACTGCTAGGTGTTTTTTTTGGTCCGTTTATGGCTAATATACTATGGCTAATATACTACAGAATCACCATACAAAATTTGTAATTTAACATAGCTGTGGAAAATCTTACTGGGTAGCTCATCGATAAACTTGGCTATGGCTTCCATAGCTATCTGATTGACCGCCAAAAACAGGGTGTATTCAGCATCTATCATTGGGGCGTCTAACCCCTGATCACCTATGGGGTTGCTTGATGTTTGCTGGGTCAACTTAGGTTAAGTATATACTACTTTAATATCATGCTATGGTAATTCATGTACCAGCTAAAAACTAGTTCCTTTTTTTGGGCAGCTATCTAAGGTTCGCCATGCTTGCGCTATGTTTGTGACACCGTTCTATTGGGATGCAATGGATACAATTGGGGTATACAATGAGGATATTTCAACCGACAATATTGTATTTGTATCGTTCTTGTCTATTTTCCCAAACGGGAAATTCACTGGAAATGAGAGAACATATAGTAATATAGTGAACATGTCTTAGTTAGTTTATTTGGTTGGGGGTCTCTGAAGCAAACCCAAGTATCAGACTGAATGGAGGTTCTTCTGTTTAAGTTGCTTTACCTCCTAACAAAAATTGGTGATTTTCCAGTTCGCTATGTTGGTTTAGCAGAGGGTATGTAGTATATATTTTGATTTTTCCCTGAGTACAAAACTCTCGGCCTAGATTCCCAGCATCCAACAAAACTCATCATGAGTGATTTCTTGTCAGATACTGCGCGGAAGATTTCTAAGACTCATGATTTCAACATATTGTTCATAGGGGGTTGGCAAAATTTGATCCCTCATGGAGATATAGTTGATGTTATTACCCCAATCAACATATTGTTCAGAGGGGGTGGCAAATTTTGACCCCTCATGAAGATAAAGATGATGACTATGATGGTGATGATGATCAATGATCAAAAACTAAGAAAATATCAGCAAAAAAAATTGGAGCTTTTCAGCTGAGGATTTTCCATTGGCCATTTCGGAAGCCGAAGGCAGGGCACAGAGTCGAGAAGAACCACGAATTTGCTGGCTGTCGCATATTATGAAAAAACCATTGCACCCTTAAAATATCTTAAAATATACTGTGTATGTATTCGAGACTGAAAGAAGCGCCAACAAAAATGAAGACTTTTGGTGAAAATCATTGAACATGCAAAGATCAATCTATGCTAGATTCGTCCAGATTCTGTTGATCCTTGGGAGACTAAGCAAGCCACTGGTGTTGAATGACCCAGGCCCACTTCGTATTCATACCGTTGATGATTTGTCATAGCCGAATCAGGTATCATATTTAGATGTATTATGATGTATTTAGTTTATTTCTGATTATCATGGAATAATATGTTCATTAAATTTAGTGAGTATTCATGGATATAATATGATATAATATGTATATATAATTATATATATAATGATATATATATACATATTCATGGAACCGTGTAGACATTTCCGTGTAAAACTCAGACATTCCATGGCTTTCGTTGATTCTTTGGTATAGATGTGCCACTTGAATGACAGAGACCAACTTCAGGAACTGGTTCGTAGCGGCGTTCACTCTAATTTTTGATCCGAAACAACATATAACCTGCTTGTGGTGTTATGAAATATGTTTACCTTTCAACTTCCATCCCTATTATTCAATTTGGATCAATTATAGACTGCGACCTCACTGGAAAAATGGTTAGTAGGGGTAGCTATCATTAACTATCCCAAAATAACCTCAATTCAGGTTTCTGAATTACTATATGATTTATATAATCAGATTGAATGCTGCCCCCCAAGTGATTTTCTGCATCGGTGGCTCAACCAAAGTGCAGGGTGACCTCTCCCATCTCTACTTTGGATGGGTCATGGATTTAGTAACTGAGTGATGATCCACTAATTTTCATTGATATCCGTCCCATGAATACTGTATTCATTATCCTTTATGTTGTATTATATTATCCATTAGTATCCATTACATTGCCATGATTCATCCGTATAATCTTGTTCCCCATGATGTTAACCATTATTTTTAAGTTATAGGCCAACTGCTAACGAATAAAAAAAAAATCCCCAGGGCCTACGGTGATCTCACCTCACAGTGATCTCCCGCAGATGACGAGTTGGATGCGCTCAAGACAAGCGCGTGGGGGACCTTGGTCCCGAAAGCCTGGTTTCGTATGGGTCAACCGATCTGGTTCGATACTTTACCCTCTGGTAAACATACAAAAAGCTATGGAAAATGGCACGTTTATAGTTGATTTACCCATTGAAGATGGTGATTTTCCGTACTTATTGGAAAACCATAGCTATCTGGGTAAATTATAACGACCTCACTGTTCTCCCTCACTGGAATCATGGTTAATAAGAGGAATCATCCCCAAATGGCCGAACTATTCAGGTTAGTGAAATATTGTAATTAAATTACCCAGATAGCTATTGAAAATGGTACATTTATAGTTGATTTACTCATTGAACATGGTGATTTTTCATCCTTATTGGAAAACTATCCCCAAGAATGTGGGTAAAACAATGCCATTGAACCATCCCCCAGTCATCACCATTTTTATAGGTGGTATGCTTATAATAATGGGTGGTTGATGACATTGTTTTACCCACATCAGTAGGGATAAAATAGCCCCAATAATGCCCAATAAGTCCATGAAACTAGAATATGTAGCCAGTATAGGTTCATGACAGTGTTTTACCCACATTAATATGGTTAAACCATATTAAACCACATTAAGCCACCATTTTTGATGGTTAAACCCACATTATTTAAAACCTTTTGCTATCATGATGCTGTACTAACCAGCTGAAAGTTAGATGTTGCAGGTATCTCAGATTCGCCTTAAGGTATTGGATGTACTCATTCTGCCCATGAGGGCAATGTTCAGACTTCATGTGAGGGAATGGGATTTGTAAACCTGAAATAAGATGGACAAGTGACAAGGTTCAAATTGCTAGCATGATAGTGGGATAAAACCAGCTAGCAATATATTATACCATATACCATATCAAAAAGATGGATACAACCATATACCATATTTTTATGCTGAGTTTCCATTTGAATCGACCCAGCTGTTGCTGGTTTTTGTCACACAAGGTTGATTTCAACTTTCGAGGGCCCCGAATTTTTGGACCCCCCATTCCAATGGTTAAGAGAATCAGTTTCCCGAGTAAAAAGGGCCATCACAATGTGGTGCCTCGCAGTTACAAGTTGGTATGTAGCTTAATACCCATTAAATCCCATTAACCAGTTCGATATATGTAACATAAACCCAACATTTATTGCAGTTATAAACCAACTCTGCTATCATCAAAATCAACTATCAATCCCCCTAACTTCGCTGCTTCAATCCTCAATTGAGTGATAAAACCCCATTGTGATGGTTAAATGAAGTCCCTCTTGTTGGTATCCCCATTGATGACATTTAATATATTTCTTTTTCATCACCATGTGATGCCCAATTTATCCATTCAAAGTTCTTGTTGATGCTATATCAAATCCATATCATAAATGACTGGTTGGTGGTTTGGAACATGAATTTTGTTTTCCCATATATTGGGAAATATTGAGAATAATCATCCCAACTGACTTTCATATTTTTCAGAGGGGTAGGTATACCACCAACCAGATGATATCCCCCATGAAATCCATCTAAAACTCCATTCTAGGCTCATCAAATCCGCCTCAACATCCCATCAAATCCATGGACTCTTAGAATATGAATGATATCATATTATATCCATTTCTATCCCCATAAAAAATCCATTAATCAATTCATCCCTATATACCATCCATTAGTTTTATTCTATATCATATTATATTCATTTCATTCCATTTCTATCGCCATAAGAATTGCCAATTTTCTATAAATTCAGAGAAAAATCATCATATTATATCCATTCCATTCAATTTCATATATTATTTTTCTACAAATTCATCCCTATACCATCCCTTTATGAATAAATCACTGGTGGCATCGCTTAGAACGCCCCTGGTCCGCTGGGCCCGCTGGGTCCGCTGGGTCCGCTGGGTCCGAGGCCCGAGACCTGGATGCAGCGGAAGATCGACAGCTGGCAGCGCATTTTCGAGGACGGGACAAAAAAACCTCCATTTATGGTAGATGGATATATCTATAATAGGTGAATTGTATGGATTATCACTAGGTAGATATGGATTATCACTACACAGTTGGTGAATTCTATGGATTATGAAGGATTGTGAAAAATCACTAGGTGAATTCTAGGATGGCAACTGTGGTAAAACATGGTACAACACCAATCCATCTATGGTACAAAGTTGCTGCAACAATCACTAGGCAGAATATGTTGGGCAAATATGGTAGAATGATTCTATGAATATGGTAGAACATGGACTATGGTTACCATATCCAACAATCATCTACTACATTCTATGGATTGTGGTAGAATATGGTAGATATACTGTATCTACAATTACTAGGTATACCTAAGCGAATTCTATGGATTTTGAAACTCTAGATATATAATTACTGGGTAAATTGTAACACGCGTCACTGGAATGATTGGAAATGGATTGGGGTGACTATCCCAAAATAACAAACAAATAGCCTTATTTTATTTCAGATGTCCTTACATTTTAAGTAAAACATGCTCAGCATATCTCAGTGTATAGCTTATTTCCTGGTTGGTGGTTTGGAACATTTGGATTATTTTCCATAATATATGGGATAATCCTTCCCGTTGAGTTTCATATTTTTCAAGATGGTTAAAACCACCAAGCAGATCATCATTTCTACCATAAACCCTAGTTATCTTAGTGATAAAGATTAAAACAGCTTATCCCAGGGACACGTTCCAAGGGAAATCAACCAGTGTCTTTAAATTCATGTTGTTTTTTTCTGGCGATTTTTCCACATCTGTAATGGTCAAATCCAGGTGGATTGGCAGGGCGAGACCTACAGCCTAGCGCGGGGCGATGAGGCCACGCTGCAGGCGCCGGATGGCGCCGGCCACGTGGGATGGTGACTTGGATCCGGCCACGTTAAGTGGTGAAGCCATATAGGGCTGGAGAGATTCCATATATAACTGGAGTATATGGGTATTTATATGGTATTTATATGGGGTATATATGGGGTATATATATATATATGGTATTTATATATGGGGTATATGGGTATAACTGAGTAAATATTGATATTCATATGGTTATTAACCACCCATCAAAAACTGCGGGAATACTGGGGATCTTCCATGTATAATTTTGGTATACAATGTGTTTTTTTTAACCAATGAACTATTGCACCAGCATGCGTAATTGGGTAAATTTATGTAAATATAATATGGTGTCTAACCGCCCAGCAAAGACTGCACCAGAACAATGGAATTTATAGATAGCTAGTTACATGCCAAAAAACCATGGAATTGATAGGGTGATAAGTCCATGCATCAAAGATAAGGACTTAACTGACTCAACATGGGGGTAAACATATGTCATGCTGCCAGTTTCATGGGGAATGTTTTGGACCAATGGGATGGTCATAGGCAATCCCAACCATCGAGGCGGATTTTTTTTGCCACAGAAGTTTGGAGGTTTACCTCACAGAAATAGTAATACAAATGACTAACTCATTAGTTCATTGTTTTTATGTTATATTATGTTATAAGAATCTTATATTATGTAATACAATGGTATATTTATGTTATTATGTTATATTATGTTATATTATATGTTATATTATATGTTATATTATGTTATATTATATGTTATATTATGTTATAGTATATGTTATATTATGTTATATTATATGTTATATTATATGTTATATTATATGTTATATTATATGTTATATTATATGTTATATTATATGTTATATTATATGTTATATTATATGTTATATTATACTACATTGCATTCATATGCATTCATCAAACATCTTGCATGTAAGGGGATAGGATGGACAATGTGCGATTCTGCACTCTGATTATTCACCTGGTCAGAATAACAGCTTCAAGATATATCGTCTCTTCAGATAATGTGGCATGTAATGGCAAACTATCGTCCAATACCCTGCGATAACCTACCCTGCCAACGGCCCCCCGAGCTGGCCCCGGGCCGCTACCGCAGGGCGTGTTATGGCAACTGCCTTTGAGCTGTGCGCGGCGCACGCGGCGCATGTTGGAACTGGGGCGGACCATTGGGGCGGAGGCGGCATTTTTTTTTCAGGGCGGACATGTGAAAAGGGTCACAACATGTCATGTCATGATTAAATAACAATGGAACTTGGAAGTCTCATACGATACTTGCATGATTGAGATTTGGGGCGTTTTGTTTTGCTGCAGCTTTATGGAAATTTGCAAACTTGTTCGATCTGTTCAGTTTTGTCTTGAAGAACATGCTAGACTATACTAATACTCCCCCCAAAACGAATATGAACCCTGCCTTTCAAGGACGACTGAACTGGTTGTTCCTTTCATAGTTTTGGGGGTCAGAATGAATGCACTGCTTCCAACCGCTAGATTCAAGGTTCCAAGGCCAGCTGAAATCCCCAGCAGATTGAACTCCTCCTGGCCCATGTTGAGCTGCAGTGCACGCATCTTCCGTCCCCATGGGCTCGTGTGGAAAGGGATGTCACTGGGGCGATGGATGGCGTCCGCACCCGCGTGGTGGGCCAAGGGGTGGCCCCGAGAACGGGTGGATAGCCTGGCGGAAGCGGAGCTGCTGTCGCAGCTGGCCGTGGCGTTGAAGCCGCGGACGAAGATTGGTGAAGTGTTTCGGAGATTTCCGGCACCGGAAGGGTGGTGTGGAAAGTATTTGGATCCAGATCTGGCGGTGCATGGAGTGTTGAAGAGAAATGGAGCCCTCTTTGTGGAATATGATGGATACTGGCGGCATAGTGAGGGTGAACGGCTTTCGACCGACCTCAGGAAGAATGCAGCCTTGTTGTCATATGCCCCAGCAAGTTCACGTATAGTCCGCATAGGCCATTGGGAGCGAAATCCAACAGAAGCACATCCTCGGATCCTTTGGATTACCGTTGATCAATGGAATGCGGGCAGCCAAAAGTCCATTTCAAAGATCTTGAAAACGATTTTGCTTCAGATTCTGACTGAATTTGACGGCTGTTTGCAACCACACGTTTCTGTACGCCTTCAAAAGCTGGCCCAGATGGAGTTCATGCCAGCTTCGACCGGGGCCCGAGACTTTTGCACTGCAGCTGCAGCTGCCGCTGGTCGATGCACTAAGGAGGAGCTGTTTGATGTCTTGACGAGTCATGGTTTCGCCTGCTCAAGCATCAAACGTCTGACGGAAAATTCCCACTTGCTCAAATTTTCAAGTGAGAGGCAAATAAGGCCTGGAGTCAATTGGCTATTCAACCTTGGACTAAGCGATTATCAAGTTGCAAAAGCACTTTCTCTTTCTCCGCAGATCCTTGGGTTGAGCATTGAAAACAACTTGCAGCCCACAGTGCGTTGGTTCAGGGACTTGGGACTCACCCAGAGTCAAGTTGCCAAGGCAGTTACCGCTTTTCCTCAAATTCTTTCTTACAGCCTTGAGCAGAACTTGAAACTGACCTTGCAATGGTTTTTAGACTTGGGGCTTACCAAGAGTCAAGTTGCAAAGGCAGCTGCCACTAGTCCTCAAATTCTTGGTCTGAGCATCGAGCAGAACTTGAAACCCACCGTGCAATGGCTCTTGGACTTGGGGCTCACCAAGAGTCAAGTTGCCAAGGCAGTTACCGCTGTTCCTCAAATTCTTGGTTACAGCCTTGAGCAGAACTTGAAACTGACCTTGCAATGGTTTTTAGACTTGGGGCTTACCAAGAGTCAAGTTGCAAAGGCAGCTGCCACTAGTCCTCAAATTCTTGGTCTGAGCATCGAGCAGAACTTGAAACCCACTGTGCAATGGCTCTTGGACTTGGGGCTCACCAAGAGTCAAGTTGCAAAGGCAGCTGCCACTAGTCCTAAAATTCTTGGTCTGAGCATTGAGCAGAACTTGAAACCCACTGTGCAATGGCTCTTGGACTTGGGGCTCACCAAGAGTCAAGTTGCCAAGGCAGTGGACCATTATCCCCCAATCCTGTGGCTGAGCATCGAGCAGAACTTGCAACCCACCGTGCGATGGTTCTTGGACTTGGGGCTTTCAAAGATTGATATCGCCAAAATGGTGGCAAGCTCGCCCCGCATGCTTGGATTCAGTGTTTCGGGAAACTTGAGCCACAAGGTGTCAATGCTCCACACCTTTTTCAGCCCGGAGTTGACCACAGCACTGATTCGCAGGTGGCCACAAATACTTGGATACAGCTCCCGGCGATTGTCCAAGCGTTTGAGCATTTTATCCGAAAGGAATGAGACTCACAGGATCCTTTATGCCATCACACTGTCTGAAGCTGCTTTTCAGCGACGCTTCTTGGATCGAGTTGATCTCAGTCCCACAATCGAAAACATCTGCTCAGGGTCGGGGTCTGATCAAGTCCAAGTCACAGCATGTTAGCATGCTCTGGCTGAATCTACCGAAGAAAGACACTTGTGTCAATCAGGATCCAAGCTTTTAACGTTCAGCATCGAGACTTTTCTAGTTCAGACTTTTCTGTATTTGGAAAGGCTAGAGCAGAAGCCTGATGGTTATTTCTGGTTGATTTCTGGATTCACCACTATTTACACTGAAAATGGCTTAATGTGGGTTTCCTATAATACCATGTATACATGGAGCAAGTGGAATCACTGAAGAGAGAGACTTTCAAATGAGAAGTATTCCATTGTTCTGATGGGTTAAACTTCAAACCGTTGGTGTTCTCTTTTGGCGCAGACATTTTCGTTCGGAATGGTCCGAATTTCTAAGCGTTCTTCAGTTTTAGTTTTGATGTTTTCTTGCCCCAGGGTTTCAGACATGATTCCATCCATCTAGTGAAAATCAACACCCAAAAATATGGTTCATTCAAGTGTATTTTGTTTCTCCTGTTTTGTGGCTTTCCAATGTTCTCCATGTGATGCGTGGATATAATATATCATACTGATACTGTGTAGAATTCAACATGTTACATCATTTTACCGCCTCAAAATATCTCAAAATGTCCGTAAATGTAGGGTTGTCCATACCATACAAGGTGAGGCCCCCTAAATAGCTTAGTTGACTGATAATTGACCCGTACAACTTGGTTAACTATATGTATATATATAGTTTATGGTGGATATGCCTATATGGTGGTTTCCTAAAGTGGGGCTAACCAACAATGTTTATAATAGAAATGCCTACTTGTATTATTCAATGGATGAGACAGATGGTATTCCCACAACCATATGATGTAACTTAACATAGCTACAGAATTCACCATATTTTGCATGGGTAAATCGGTAAATCATAGTATATCATTGTAAATCAATTGTAAATCATCTATAAATGGACCATTTTCATCCATTTTCATTACATGTTCCATAACATTCCATCACTGCGACGTTCACTGCAGGGCCTCACCTGTCGCTAGGCTGTAGAGGTGGACTACCCTGCAGATGGCCTCAGCGTGGGGGAAGATGTGGAGATGACCGCGGTGCCTTGGTGGTGGTGGTTTGATGCTGGGAGATGGCGGAGAAACGGGTCAAAAAACGTGGAGAAATGTGGAAAATATATGACAACTGGATGTTTTTGAAGTGGGAACTGTTGTATTTTAGGTCTTTTACCTGGGACTTTATGGATATTTTGTGTATGTAACAGGGCTTACTCTTAAGTCTTAGTTTTTGGGTGTTGATGGGTGAACTGGAGAAGTGAACAGGGGCGTTTTTTTGGGTTGAATCCTATAAGAGGAATTGGTAGCAATGGAATCTGATTTACCTTGGAGGTAACATTTCAGATGGGCAAGCTGCTTGGTGAATTGGTGGAATTAAATGGAATTACTCCATCTCTCCTCATCCCCACAGGAAGGGGCCCCCTAGCTATAAGTTGGTTTACAACCCCAACCATATATATACATATATATCCATCATAAATCCATATATATATATATATATCCATATATATATATCCATATATATATATCCATCATAAATTCCTAGTTATTGTTATTATAGTTATAAAATCTTATCAACACCCTAACTATAGAGATATATCCATCATAATTCATCCTAATTCCCAGTTTTTGTAGTAACCAACTTAGCTAACGAACTGGGGGTCCTATCCCCACCACCCCCGCCTGGGTGGCCCTTGGCCGAGGTCTGGATCTTCAGCCAGGCCACGCTGCCGCCGCTGCACCTGCGCCTGCACGTGGTCGCCGTGGCCGACGGCGGCGCAGCGGCCACGGCGGGGGTGGGGAAGGGCTGGACGGCCACGTGGCGGCAACGGTGGTGGATGGGATGGGTGGATGGATGGTGGGTTGAGGGGTGTAGAAAATGTGTGAAATTGATTGGAACTTGATTATGAAGGTATTATATATGGAAATATTGTGGCATTATAAGGTATTATTGGCATTGTGTTGAGATATGTGTTGGGTTGGTAATGGTTGGTATGTTTTTTTTTTTTTTCGAGGGGATTGAATCTGCGATTTAGCTCCTAGGACAAAGGCAAGTGGATTCTGCAAGATTTGGGTACTAGCTGCCATCTCCTCACTTAAACTTTAGCCATTCTGCGGGAGCCCTTCTGCAGGCTTGTGAGACTGCAACATGCATGTGAAACTGGTGTTTGGTTGGGACCAGATACAGATACACATTTTCAAAATTTTCCCTGCAGTCAAACATGAGCCGCTGATACTCCAAGTAGATCAGATACACCAATAGTCTATCCAATCGTTTTGTTGTTTTGTTCATGTATTGGAACCATAGAAACTCTGTTGGTTTTTGAACCCACGCATTTTCCAGTGGCCAGGTCACCTGTTTGCTTTCGCCGGTGGAAGATGAGGAAAAGCCACGCCTCAAATCGTTTGCTTGATTTGAAGTTGTTGAAACTGAGAAAAAAACCACATGAAATTCGTTTCATGGCATTTTATGCCATGTAAATCTCGAGTTTCCCTGTTTTTTGTTGATTTTTCGTACAGATTTGAGTCATATTCATTCCACCCACTAACAAATGTGAAGGTTAATAGTGTCCATTTCCACCCCTACCTACAATGCAGTGCCCCTATTAGCGAAGTTGATTGGTTTTGAACCTAACCAGCAAACTCAATTGAGAGTTACTGCCTTGTACTTAGATGGGCACTGGGATTAGTTAAGTGGTTAGTAACTGGTGTATATCTGGCTAAATAATGGATTGTCACATATTGTCACATATTATCCAAAATTATATTATATATTTATTATCATTAATTATTATATATAGATATTATTCCATATTTCTATTATTATTATTATTAATATTACTATTATTATTATCATTATTATCACTCAGATACATACTAGTTAACTAATATCCAAGTCTCATCTAAGATCCCAGCCGCCCCCATCTGCCTCCAGGAGCCCCTGCCTTCGTTGCCGTTGCAACGCGGCGTCAGCACCGGCGTCCGCAATTTCGTCCGCCCCAAGCGCGCGCCGCCCGCGGCGGCGCAGCTGCTGGCGACGCTGCGGCAGCTGAGGGGCGTGCAGCTGGTCTTCCAAGCACCGGAGGAGGTGGAAGGGATGAGAAAAACTCTGGGAGGATGGAAGATTACTATGGATTACTGGCAATAATTAATCTAATCTAATAGAATCTACCTACAAAAAACATGCAGTAAAGCATCGAAAGCATGGTTGTTCGCTTCCTGTAGATTTTCCCAATCACTTCGGATAATTATATAAGCAGAACATCTACGACCCAACATTGAAACACAACGTGACGTGGCCAGGTATCCAACTTGCGAATTACCCATAGGAAGGCCCACCCAAGTCATGTGGTTTATGTCACTAGGCTAAATGTTGAATTTATGGTGAATGTTGTCTATACTTAGATGGTGTAAGATACACCGCATCACCCATAATAGCCTTTAATAATCCACACACACATATATATATATTATTATTATTCTTATTATTATTAGTATTATTATTATTAGTATATTAGTATTATTATTATATACATAATTATGTATAATTTGACAACATAACCCATATATATATATATACACCACCATATACCGATATATAGCTGGTAAGATTCCCATCGAATTGGCTTATTTCAGATGGTTCGAACCGCCCCTTTCGATGCCTTTCCGATGCCGACAGGAGCCGGACTCGGATGACGAGCTCTACGACGAAACGCAGGAGATTCCTGAGACGCTTGGCGTTGACGTGGCCAGGACGTAGACAGCAAGAATCCAGGCAGAAAATAGGTATATTAAAGATGGGGTGAATCCATGAACATGGATTTATTGCTAAAATATGTAAGAATGCATTAATTTATATTATTTTTTCATAATCTAATTATATCCTTGGATGGGGGTTACAACCCAGTTCTATATTAAAAAAAACAAAACCACTTATTTATGAGTTATTGTATATAACGGGATGCACCCCCGCAAATAGATGGGTACGGGACAGATGGGGTCAAAACCATCAAGGGACCATTCGATGTAAATCTATGGAGCATATGGGTGTAGTCCACAGAAACAGGGAGTTAACATGATAAAAGCACCAAACTGACTGGTGGTTTAACATATTGTTTATCTTCAGCCATAGAAGTGCGGTGATGATCCCCCATAACATTCTGCAGCTTGAGAAAATTAACATGTTGAAGCTTGAAGCAACCGTCCAGCAAACGGATTATGGCCTATGAGCCTATGAACATGCTACACCCCACTTATACATGAGTTACACATGGAATATCCCACACCAAATGATTTTGGTAATATGTCAAAATCTATATGGGTGTTTCCTCAAATGGGGGTACCCCAAAATGGATGGTTTATAATGGACAATCCAATTGAAATGCATGATTTGGAGGTACCCTCTGGTAATTTAACATAGCTATGGAAATCACCATTTTCAATGGGTAAATCCACTATAAATGGTCATTTTCAATAGCTACGTTAAATTACCAGAGGGTACCCCTATTTAGGAACCCCCCACATGTCAAAACCTCTGTCAAAACCTAGATCATCCAGATGAAGCATCCGAGGTCTTCCGGCTCTGAGTCAGACTCAGACGCTGCTGCTACTTGATTTCTGCGAGAGAAAACTGGAGATGCGGACCGTTTTGGGTGAAATGGGAGGGGGACATCACAGACTTGGTGACTTTGGGGAAACCCATGGTGGGAGATAGGGACTGACCATGGTTGACCAGAAACGCATGAATTCAAAGCACAAAAAGAACCAGACCCTCCAAGTACCTATGGTACATATATCAAAAATATTGCTTTACCACGTGCGTTTGATACTTTTTACCAATTTGTGTTTTGGGCTATTTGGAGGTTCCAGGTATCTCTGTCTCTTTGTTTCCAAGTCTCATCATGTCTCATCTTCCAGTTTCTCTGGATATGGCTATGGATCAATACCTATTAATACCATTTTTAATGGGATGAACATCCATTTACCAGCTATTTTGATGTTCACCATATTGCCTGGATAATCTGCTGGGTTTATGTCAACTGTTGTGAAGGCTGCTGGGTTGTGTGAACAAATTTGGTGCCCCAGAATCCAATGGTTAAAAAATGTTTCACCATTGAAAAAAAGCAAAACCTGCTACTTGGGTGTGGAAATTCACATGAAATTCTGACATGTAGAAAGTCATATATATATAGATAGATAGATAGATAGATAGATAGATAGATAGATAGATAGATAGATATACTGTATATACTCTACCCCACTTTCAAATTCAGAATCCATTAACTGGAAGTGACTCCCTTGTGTAAGCCTTATGTTTTGACAAGTCCAATAGTATGGTTTTGTCTGAAAATTGGGTACAGTATATACCTCAATACCATACCTCTATTGCAGTGGACCAATAATCAATGTTTTTTTTTTTTGTCTTATCTCTAACATCGTAGACACAGCCATATATCATATCAAGTTGGTTATATATATATATATCCAATGATCCCATTGCTATCCTCATGACTACTGCTTATGGCACAGTAGGTCCATTTTCTATTTTCAGACACATTCCATATCCATTTGTCCACTAACTAGTTTGATATATATATATATACATACCATTAACCTTAGTTAGACAGTGTATTATAATCATCCAGAAGTAGATAGAATATGATCTTTTCAAACAAACAACATGCTTTTTCCAAGCTTGATCTTTCGAAATGTCCATATTTTATCAACTCCAGGACGATTGTACACCAACTTAGCAAAGTATATATGGGGTGCCACCTTGGTTGAAGCGTCTCAGACCATTGCGCGGCATCCGGCCAGGGGGGAGGCGACTTGAGCTACGATGATGAGGCATACGTATTAGCGGACGTGAGGACGTAGAATGAGTACCAGTACCCTGCGGTAAACTAACAGTTTGCTATGGAAAATCACAATTTTTAATGGGTAAATCAACTATTTCTATAGCTATGTTAGTTTACAAGAGGGTAACCAAATGGAGGTTTCCTATAATGGGGGTACCCCCAAATCATCCAAGTCATGAATGACCATTTCAGTATTGAAACCATTTGAAACCCATGGTTTTGGGGATTTTCCATGCTAAGAATCCCCCAAATAAGCAACCATTGCTGGTTATGCCACATGATGCTAAGAACAGATCCCATGATGTGTATAAGTTGACCTTCATTGGACATCACTGGAATCACTGGCTGACATTCTGTTGCCCTTATCCTGGAACCCCAGTTGACTGGAACCAGACATATTGTGGGAACATATCATGGCATTCTCCCACAGTCACATTCAAAAACCAACTGAAATTTGGTGAGTTCCAACAGATTGGAAACCCCACCATCATCCAAAAAAACGTGAGATAATACATAGGGAAATCCATGTTTTTTGGGTACCCCCGTAGTTGTTTCTTAGGAAACGCCTAACTTTAAACAGCTGCAGGTGGAGTTAGTGGATGAAGCTGGAAACTACCTGCAGCAACTGCGTCCTCAGATGGGCGGCTTGGGGGCCCAGGTGACACCAGGGGTCCAAATCATCTATGGATCCAGTCTTAGCTTCTCAGGAAGTGGGTTACAATTTGAGGGGGTCAAGGTCCTTCTCAAGTGTAAATCGAAATGACCATTTGGAGGGTATGCGGTATGCCAGTATTTCAGACTATATCATATCAAGTTGGCCATCCCATATCCCCGAAATCCCATTGCTACTGGCTATACCCCCCTGATTGTTGGTTAGAACCACCATTTTCGGAGACCCAAATCTCAAAGATCACTTGAGGAATTGGTTGGTTTCATGTCTCCAACGTCCTGGATGTTTTTGAAAAATTCGATCTCCATGTTCCAAATGGAGAAATCATCCAAGTCATCAGGGTGCCCACAAATCCAAGTGGCAGTGTGTCAAAACCAATAGTACCCCTTCTGTTCACATCAAAATAGCTGGGTTAAAATGGATGTTCATCCCATTAAAAATGCTATTTTCATAGGTATTGATCCATACCCAAGTCATCCAGCCATGACATTAAGTGTGTTTCAACATGTTTCAACCCATGGTGACTTGATGTGACTTGGGGATCTCCCCCATGACGAAACCAGGTCGAAATCGCATGCGCAACGTGGGGCTCCACACCATCGAGTCGGGGATCTCCAGAGATTTTCTCCATCGTTGGTAGGTTGTTTTGTGGGAAAAAATCCGATGGTTTTGTGGGTCAAACGTTAGAACATTGAGAGTTTTTGGTGGTCAAACATGGGATTTTGTGGTGATTAATGATACATATCAGTTTTTTGGGGTTAAACGTGGTTAGATATAATTTCGGTGCAGTTTCAACATGAGTTTTGGGCATTGTCCCCTAGTCCAAATATCCCATTAGCATGCTTTAGTTCCCATCCAGGTTGCAGCAGCCTATGAAGCGATGATTTTTGCGTGAAAACCTCGAGGGATCTCGAGGGATGCCATTGGAATCCACGGCAAAGCACGGAGCTGGTTGGTGGTTTGGAACATGACTGGATTATGTGATGGTTAATAGTGGTTAATAGGCTATAAACCAACAACAATGGGAATATTATGGTGATCTGGTTCGTGGTTTGGAACATTTTTCCATATATATATGAATATTGGGAATGTCATCATCCCAACTGACGAACTCCAATATTGTTCAGAGGGGTAGGTATACCACCAACCAGGACTTGTTTTCGTTTCATCCCCAACTGGAAGAATGTATTGACACAATATATTTTGACATTATTGTATTAATATTTGACACATATATTTGACAGATATGGATATGGGTCAAAACCCTTCAACCCCCTTTTGTTCACTCCGTTACATAGCTGAGATTTCTGGATGTTCATCCCCCCTATAAAGATTCTATAAATGGTATCTATGAATGGTATTTATAGGTATTGATCCATAGCCATATGACTATTGATCCATCGCCAACACCGAGGATCTACTACCCGCAGTTCTACTTCAAGCAGATTGAGATGGAAGAGTTTGATGCCAGGTCTGACGGAAAAACATGGGGAAAACCATGGAAAAAACATGGGCAAATGGATGAGGAAGTTTCCATTTAAGTTTGGTGGCTGCATCATTTTTTTTAAAGATTTACTATGATTTACTTGAGTCTTGAAGTTCAAGATATTTCAAGACTATTGCATGAAACCCTTGAGTTCGTTGAATAGGAATGGTCTAAAGCATGAAATTTCAGCCGCAGGTACTAGAAAACAGTGTTCAATAGCGATGGCATGCGCATGGAAGCTGCTCAGCCATGAACAAATACCCCTTTGCAGCAACTAAGTTGTGTGTTTGATTATTAATCATATAGTCACAAGGTATGACTCAAATTATATATTTGAAACCCAAAACTGTCTTAGTAAAACACTCAACATGTCCCCAGATCCTACCTCCTCGTTTTGCCGGTTGCGTATAACACCATGCAGGCCCGATCGATACGGCCCATCGGTGATCGGCAAGTACACCAAAGGCCCAGAATGGCGATGAAGATCGGTGGTTTTCGCCATGAATGAGCCACGAAAGATTCACACACGGGGGGTAGTGAATGATGGTTAATAAGCCAGTTAATGGTATTGAATAGTGTTGGATACTGGTCAATAATTGGAATAATGATGGTTAATAATGATTATTTATTAATGGTTAACAATGGTCGATAATGGTTAATGATGGTTAATAATTGGAATACGTGGTTAAAGCAATGTCATAAACTAGCCATGACTGGGAATGGTTTATATATACCACCTATAAAAATGGTGATGACTGGGGGATGGTTTATTATTGTTTTAACCACATTAGTCATTATAGCAGGGGTAGTAATAACATTACTAACTGGTTTAGTGGCTTTATTGAGGATTATGATACCCATAATGGGGATACCGGGAGTCCTATCAACCAACTAGCGTGTCCAAAAGTGGGTGGTTTTTACCCACACTTCAATTCATGGCCCATTTGGCAGTGAACAATAGAGAACATGTGAGCCACGTCCAAAATCCCCTGAGGGTGACAATAAGGACCTCGCGAAAGCAAAACATTGTATCTGTTCATGGTTTTTCAGACTCCCATGAGATGTCCATTTTTAAAGGCAAAGCCAAATGGCCCAAATGGCCCAAATCCATCGTTGATCGTTGAAACAGAGTCCGGCGCAAGGCATCGGGATGATCGAAGCGCGGTACTGCACGGACGATGAGGCGTGCACAATGTTCCTGGGGTGCGGAAGGGCCTTGGTGATGGGAAGATGGGGATAGGGGTTACACGTTTGCAAACATGTGGAAAAACCATGGAAAAACAATGGGGAAACTCCGGTTCGGAAAATGATCACCATTTCTGGCAGGTTTTTCACACTTTTTGGTATGTTTACTGGCTGGTAACCCCACAAAAATGGTGTAAGAAGTGAGGGAAGAATATGGACATGTCCCAAAACATGGGGAGCAAATGCAAGACATATGGGGTATGAGCCCTAAGAGCCTAAGGCAGTTTGAAAAGCAATTTGATGTCATGGGATGTAACCAGCGGTGCTGTCTCTAGGGATAAAATGTGGTATACCCCCAAGCTGCGGACATCATGTTGAGTCCCACCCGACAAAAAAACAAACTATGTGAAGGTTATTCCATGCCATACCCATTCCTAGACATCCATTAGATATCCTCTGAACATTGGATTTAAATGTCATATCATATCATATAAATTTCATATGCATGTGATACCAACTATATCCAACTAAATATCCTACATATGTTGGGGGTTTCCTGAAACAGGGGTGTCCCCAAGTCATCCACGTCAATAGGATTTTCCATTATAAACCATCCATTGGTGGGGTACCCACAATTTTAGGAAAAGCCATATCCTAATTTAATCTAATTTACATCTACATCTGACTTACTGGTAATGACTAACATAGCTATTAAAAATACCCCATTTAGTTCGTTGATTTACCCAGCTAGAAAATGGTGGATCTTTCAAGTTCGCTATGTAAACGTTTACCAGAGGGTAAACCTCCATGTTCCATCATTTTACCAGAGGGTTTTCCTATGGTTTTCCCATTCAAACCTCCATTTTCCTATGGTGTTCCTATGGTTTTCCCATTCAAACCTCCATTTTCCTATGGTGTTCCTATGGTTTTCCCATTCAAACCTCCATTTTCCCATGGTTTTCCTATGGTTTTCCGATTCAAACCTCCATTTTCCTATGGTTTTCCTATGGTTTTCCCATTAAAACATCCATTTTCCTATGGTGTTCCTATGGTTTTCCCATTCAAACCTCCATTTTCCTATGGTTTTCCTATGGTTTTCCCATTCAAACCTCCATTTTCCTATGGTTTTCCTATGGTTTTCCCATTCAAACCTCCATTTTCCTATGGTTTTCCTATGGTTTTCCCATTCAAACCTCCATTTTCCTATGGTTTTCCTATGGTTTTCCCATTCAAACCTCCATTTTCCTATGGTTTTCCCATTCAAACCTCCATTTTCCTATGGTTTTCCCATTCAAACCTCCATTTTCCTGTGGTTTTCCTATGGTTTTCCCATTAAAACCTCAATTTTCCTATGGGTTTTCCTATGGATCACATGATCCTTCCCATGTGACATCGCCCACTCGGCCAGGACCCCGTGAGTTTCGCCATGACGGTGACGCATCGACTCATGGATCGCATGGAGAAGGAGAGACTTTTCGTCGCCGTGGCGCCATGGAGATCAGGGGTGCTTTTATGGAGAAAATGAAGGTTTTTTCATGGGAAAACCCATAGGAAAACCATGGGAAAATGGAGGTTTTCATGGGAAAACCATGGGAAAACCCATAGGAAAATGATGGGAACATGGAGGTTTACCCTCTGGTAAACATACAAAAAGCTATTGAAAATGGCCATAGACATAGTGGATTTTCATTGGATTTTCATTTATGTGGCGGTTTCTTAAAATGGGTATGGGTCAATACCTATTAATACCATTTTTAGGGGGATGAACATCCATTTTAACCCAGCTATTTTGATGTGAACTACAGGGGTACAAGGTTTTGACACACTGCCAAATGGTGGTGCCCCAAAACCATGGGTTTTAATACTATAAAATGAACTAATTTTGGATGAAAACCATGGGTTTTAATGCTGAAATCAACTAATTGTGGATGAAAACCATGGGTTTTAATGCTGAAATGAACTGATTTTGGATGAAAACCATGGGTTTTAATGCTGAAATCAACTAATTTTAGATGATTTGGGGTAATTAGATAGCTGGGAAAATTCTCGAAACATGTGTGGGAAGGTACGGGGATATACTGGGATGAGATGGATACTACTGGGATATTTTAATGGAATAGTCATGGCCAATGGTGTAATGATTATAATGGGTATAATATGGGTATATTCCCTTCTAAAAATGCTGTTTCAATAGAGACACATTTCAGGTTGCTCAGGGAGGATAATTCAGATGAAAGACTATGAAAGTGAAAAAATGCTGGGGGAAAAAGACTCATTCATCACTGGTGTGTGAGTGCTGACCCGTCTTGTTGAGACGCGGTTGAAACTGCCAATCAGTCATCATTTGCGTTGTTGGTTCATTGCAGAAGTCTGCCAAAACGGCCTACTCTCCAGTAAACTGACATAAACTAATATAGAAAATCCAACATTGTACGAACCATGAACTTTCCGTAGCTTTTTGTATGTTTTCTCGAAGGTATTTCTTGTGGTTAAAGACCGTTTGTAGTTTGCTGCCGATTTCTTTGCAGGAAGGCTTCAACGAGACCTACAGATACATGCCAGCTGGGATCCCCTATGGCGTGGCAACACATCAGGATCCAGCTGGAAAGATGTGGTATTTCGTGGCCGCTAAATGACAGAAGTCTATTCTGACCATTGGCTTTTGGCTATAGGTTATCCTAGGTTTTTGGATGTTTTCTAGAGGTTAACCTCCAAAGTCATGTCTAGAAAACATCTAAAAACCTAGGATAAGCTCTAGAAAAACATTGGAGGTTAACATCTTGGAGGTTTATTGCTTCTTTGATAGTGATTCAGGCCCAAGGCCGCCCTCCATTTCGGTGACACCTCTTTGGTCACCTTCCAAGTCGGTTGAAGGGGGGTCAAATGGAACCCCCTTAGCAACCCCTGTGTTCAAAAACCAATTGAAATTCCTTGGTGCTGGAAGAATTGTTATTGTCAGTTTGAATATCACAACTGGATACATAAATATACAATGCTAATAACTGTCAAAAAAACACAGAAATGACTGACCATCAAGACTGGTAATACTTTACCGGAAGAGAATTTTGTTCCACCCTGTGCCGCTCTTCGTGGCAGTTTCTGAGGATGGAAATCGTCTTCCCTGCTGGAACTCTGTGGGACGTCTCGACATCGGTGCGGATGCCCAGCCGGTTGCCGTGGTCGGCGGGGACGGTGGATGGTTTCGTAGAAAGGGCGTCACCCCACTTTGCACCTGGTGTACCGTGATGAACAGTGATGTCAGTGGTGTAAAACTTGATAAAAGATGAACCATCACACCACTTTTTATACTTCAAGATTCTGTGGCGTGATGTCAGTGATGCAAAGCTGATATGAAGAGGAACCAAAGAAATGGCGAACGACAATGGTACTTCTAGGACTCTTTCTAACAAATTTTGTATAGATCAGCCACAAATAAATGTCAACAACAAATCCCCAACAGTTCTTTATAGACCTAATCATCAACCAGCCCAATTTTTTGCCAGATTGGTGTCTAATCGTGGATTTATGGCATTGGCCTTACCATATGTTGGGGCTCTGGGCCGCATGTCACACCATGTCGCATCTTGGACTCCCTGATCTGCAGCAAAAAAAAAACCTTTCAACAGATATGCACCAGGGATGTCTGGTTGGTGGTTTGGAACATGACTTTTATTTTCCATTTCATATATGGGATGTCATCCTTCCCATTGACTAATATTTTTCAAGATGGTTAAAACCACCAACCAGATGTTCATTTCAGTTTGTGACCACAATCTGAACCTTAGGTTACTGGATCGTTCTTTCACCAGCAAAGCATCAAGATTCGTGAACTAAGATGGAGAGGAAACAGCAGGAAGCAGCAAGCTCTTGAAACCCCAAGAGTATATTTTGGTCTACCTGTAGCCATCTGAATCTTGTATGATCTTGTATGTAGATGTCCATGCAACCAAAATTCATCTTCACCATTGGTGGGTATCTCCATGTGTATCCGCGTGTTGTGTTTGGTTTAACATAATTATCGTTTCACACCCTATCCCATGTTACTATTTCTTTCAGCACAAATCATCATTTGAGCAGGCAAAACATGATAAGACATGGTAAGGCAACGTTTTTGTTGGTGAAAACCACATTTCTGCAGGTAAACTCTCCCATTTTTGTTGCTTTAATTCACCACTTTTGTCGTTTTTTTTTTGGGACGTTTGTGAGTCAACGAACCTGCGGCTGCAGGTTCCGAGAGCTTGATCGATCGATCGAAGTCGATGAAGGCCAATGGTGGCAGCGGATACAGTCCAAAAGTGGTGGATTTGAGATATATTTTTAAGGTCATGTTGGCCTTAGATATTTGTGTATATGACTGATGTGTATTATTTTACTACCAGTTATAAGTATACTTATAACCCCAGGCCCCATTTATAGAATGTATAATTCCATTTAGAACCAGTTTATAACCAGATATAACGAATAAATGGCCTTAACTGGTAGGAGCATTTGTTGTGATATGAGTTATAATCCCACTAGTGATATTTAACTGGTATAATAACCACTGATATGAATATTGATAACCTGGTTGGTGGTTTGGAACATGAATGGATGACTTTTCCATTCAGTTGGGAATTTTATGATCCCAACTGACGAACTCATATTTTTCAGAGGGGTAGATATACCACCAACCAGTCAAGGTCATGTTGGAGAAGACATGAGAATATGATGATCGAGCATGAAATTTTGAGGTACCGGATTTTCAGGCGAAGCCAACAATATCCAACGATACCCCTTGGAAACACATCTTTGAGCTCGGCAGATACTTGACCCCTTGAGATCCCTTGAGTCTTGGGGCTGTGGGTAGCTCGCAGATGGGTAGCTTGCTGGAACCCCTCTCTGCTTTTTCAAATGGAAGTCACTGGGTGTGCTCCCGCTGTGCAAACTTCCCCAGAGGCCTACGTCATGGACCTCTTTGAACGCTATGGCTCTGGGGAGGCGAGGGCAACCACCCAATATCCTGCTGATGGGATAGCGACATGAAGTGTGAGTCCATGTTCCAACCCAAACCTATGGTTGAAATCGTGTGCAGTTTGTTTATGATATGCTTATGATATGTTTGTGATATGTTTATGATATGTTTGTGATATGTTTATGGTTGGTAGGTAGAATTTGCCAACTGCTCTTGATGAGCCCTTGAGAGCTTGGTTTTTGGGGTTTGGAGCCATCAAGCTTGTCTAATTTCGCCAAGATTCTCCATACCCACTCCATGTCCAATCTGAAGAGGCAGCAGGAATATATTCCTCATGACACACATATCAAATCAAACCGACGCTCACACTTTCGATTGACACAAATTAAATCAGCACAAACGATTTGTATAATAGGTTTTAGTTTGATTTGAGATACTCAAACTGTAACTCTTGAATCATTTTGAACCTCCAAATTTGGCCTTCAACGTTGCCCGCTCCGCAAGGGGAACATTGAGGGAGTCGACATGTACAACGCCTGCTATGGTGGACAGGCGTGCATCAAAGAGGGTGATGGCAGTGGATCTTTGACCACATCAGATGTGGTTGCGACTGATTCGCTTAGGAGCCGGTTTCCATACCATCCGTATACCATCCAAGTACACAGATGCATTTATAGCATTTTGATGCATTTTATAGATGAACTTGGTTTTGGTGTAAATGTATAGAAAGCCATACCTCACTGTACATGGATGATGTCGGATGGTTGGGAGTTCCACCACTATGCATTTCTTGCCGGGGGTCGGTCACCGGCATCGTTTAGGACAACGGGGACTCCGTGGGCCCAAGATGGTCCAAGGGACGTCACATCGATAATTTTCTACCTCCGACATTCCATCTATGCTGCAGCATTAAATAGGCGCCGGTCAAAGATGAATACCCCTTAGAAACTTCGATGAATCACATCTTTTGATGCGAGAAAAGTGCTTGTGTCGCATGCAGTAGATACCTTGAAACGCATCTGGTATCATCACGAATGTCCTCCAGTAAACTCACACTGGCTTGGAACATCCATAACTTGTAGATCGTTGTCCGCAAATGCACCATAGGTTTGCATAGGTTTGCCAAATTTGAGTATAAGTTGCTTTCCCGGGTCACTCTTTCCCATCAGTTGCTCAGCTTCAAGCCACAGATGATGCGAACCCTGCATCTGTTCCGTCAGCCATGGCTATCCAGGCGTTCCGCAGGCAGCCTGTGTGGCGCACCGCCATGGTGGCAACGCGGCTGGCCGCGGCACCGCATCGGCAGCGTGGCTGAAGCGGAGCTGCTGGCGCCGCTCGCGGAGCTGTTGATGCCTCAGATGCCCATTGCGGAGCTGTTTCGGAGCTTTCCTTCTCCGAAAGGATGGGGTGGAAACTACTTGGAACCCGATTTGGCGGCGTATGGCGTGTTGAAGGATGCGAATGCCGCGCTGTTTGTGGAATATGATGGATACTGGAGGCATGGGGAAAAGGAGGGTATGAAAAGAGACCGGATGAAGAATGCAGCGTTGTTGAAGTACGCGCCAAAAGGATCTTATGTGATTCGCATCAGCCACACCATCAGCTCGCCACTGCAAGACAACAACGTCCTTTGGGTCAGAGCTCAAACGTGGCGTTCGGATTCTCCAGTACAGGCATCAAAGATTCATTGCGAGGTCATCATACAAACTTTGAGTGGACTGAAGCACAGCCTTTGTCCGAAAGCGATGGAACGCTTGCAAGTGCAGAGTAAGGAAGGTACAAGGTTGCGGTCCGCAGGTGTAATTGATTTCATGAAGACGGCTAAAACTGCAAAGGGCGGAAACACCATGGATGAAATATTAGTGTTTTTAAAGGGGGAAGGATTTGGGGCAAAGGAACGGGACTTGATGCTGGAAAAAGCCAGTGTACCTGGAATGTCGATTGACAAACAGCTACGGCCAGTACTGCGATGGTTCTCAGATTTGGGAATGGCAAAAGTCCAAGTAGCAAGGGCTGTGTCTCGAAGGCCCCAAACTCTTGGCCTGAGCCTCGAGCAGAACTTGAAACCCACTGTTCAATTGCTGCTGGACTTGGGGCTGACGAAGGATCAAGTTGCAAAGGCAGTTGCCACATGTCCTCAAATTCTTAGCCTTTCCATCGAGCAGAACTTGAAACCCACTGTTCAATGGATGTTGGACTTGGGGCTGACGAAGGATCAAGTTGCTAAGGCAGTGGCCAGATATCCTCGAATTCTTGGTCTTAGCATCGAGCAGAACTTGAAGCCCACTGTGCAATGGTTCTTGCACTTGGGGCTGACAAAGAATCAAGTTGCTAAGGTAGTGGCCACGCATCCTCAAATTCTTGGTCTTTCCATCGAGCAGAACTTGAAACCCACTGTTCAATGGATGTTGGACTTGGGGCTGACGAAGGATCAAGTTGCTAAGGCAGTGGCCAGATATCCTCGAATTCTTGGTCTTAGCATCGAGCAGAACTTGAAGCCCACTGTGCAATGGTTCTTGCACTTGGGGCTGACAAAGAATCAAGTTGCTAAGGTAGTGGCCACGCATCCTCAAATTCTTGGTCTTTCCATCGAGCAGAACTTGAAACCCACTGTTCAATGGATGTTGGACTTGGGGCTGACGAAGGATCAAGTTGCTAAGGCAGTGGCCAGATATCCTCGAATCCTTGGTCTTAGCATCGAACAGAACTTGAAGCCCACTGTGCAATGGTTCTTGGACTTGGGGCTGACAAAGAATCAAGTTGCTAAGGCAGTTGGCACACATCCTCAAATTCTTGGCCTTTCCATCGAGCAGAACTTGAAAACGAGTGTTCATTGGCTCCTGGATTTGGGGCTGACAAAGAATCAAGTTGCTAAGGCAGTGGCCACAAATCCTCGAATTCTTGGTCTTAGCATCGAGCAGAACTTGAAACCCACTGTGCAATGGTTCTTGGACTTGGGGCTGACGAAGAGTCAAGTTGCCAAATCAGCTGCAAAATGTTCTTATATTCTTGGCTACAACATCGAGAACTTGAAATGCACCGTGCAATGGATGTTGGACTTGGGGCTGACGAAGGATCAAGTTGCGAAGGCGGTGGCAGCTTTCCCTCAAATGCTGGGCCTGAGCATCGAGCACAACTTGAAACCCACTGTGCAATGGTTTTTGGACTTGGGGCTGACAAAGAATCAAGTTGCTAAGGCAGTGGCCACGCATCCTCAATGTCTTTGCCTTTCCATTGAGCAGAACTTGAAACCCACTGTGCAACTGTTATTGAAATTTGGGCTGATGAAGAGTCAAGCCAGAAAGGTGGTGTCTTCACATCCCCCAATTCTTTGGTACAGCATAGAGCAGAACTTGAAACCCACTGTTCAATGGCTCCTGGGCTTGGGGCTGACAAAGAATCAAGTTGCTAAGGCAGTGGCCACATATCCTCAAATTCTTGGTCTTAGCATCGAGCAAAACTTGAAACCCACTGTGCAGTGGTTTTTGAGCTTGGGACTGGCTCAATGGCAAGTTGGACAGATGGTTGCTGCACATCCAGCAATCCTTTGGTACAACTTTGAGAAGAACTTGAGTCCCAAGATACTTTTGCTGAATGAATTTTATTTACCAAAATGTGCCACAGAGATGGTAGCGAAGTGGCCCCAGCTCCTGGGTTACAGCTACCTTCGACTCACAACCCGGCTGAAGATTCTTGCGGAACAGGACAAAATTGACAAGTTGATCTCTGCCATGTCCCTCACTGAGGAAGCTTTCCAGAGGCGGTTTCTGGATGGCAAAACAAAAGAATCGCGTCAGATGGGACCTTGTGGCTGCATTTTTGGGGCACGGACAAGAAGGGCAGTTCTTACACATCATTGTAGTTGGTCGTGTTGAGACCTCGATTCCGGATGAGATCAAAGCGACGCCCAGAAACAGTATGTAACGCTGAGTATAGCAGATTGGCAAGACCGCCAAACAAGTGGTCTTAACATTGTCTTAACTAGGTAGCTAGCTGTGGCCGAGATTTGAAACATGTATTTTTTGATTTTTGTTTAGATGCATCCATCCCAGAGAGGAAGCCGGAACCATCCACCAAAAGAATGATCCTTACTACAGATTCTGCCTGGTGCCAATCATCTTATGATGAACTATACTTAATTATAGACTACTGTATAGATTTTTATAGTGGATGGGGAATGATTCGAATTCAAATGTACTAAATGTTGATACGTCATGACACCCAGTGTCAATATGTGTTTAATTATGACCATCCCTGATCCAGAAAAGCTTTGGTCTCATCATGCGACCTTTTGTGCTAGGCTGCTGGTCTGTGTGCACAGAACTGGGTTGCTCGGTGAGAGGAATGTCCTGGCAGTGGCGGAGCATGCGGGGACATGTGATGGAGAATTTGGGGATACAGCATAGGATGCAACAACTACAAATGAAGCTTTTTCTGTATGGTTTGGGTTGATTTCTTGCATTTTTCTGGGTTGACGCCCTTCAACTCTTCAACTCATACTGCTGGTTTCCTTGGACTTTAGCTTTGGATTGAAGATGTTTTTGATGGGGTTCTTTAATTTGTGTGAAGTCAATCAGAAAACAATCCCATCATTTTAGGCTCGGACTTTCTATTAGTTTCTGCTCTAGGAATGAATCAGAACTGGTTATTCCGCCCACAGTCTCTGAATTGGATGAAGAAAAAATCGGCAGAAAACCAAAGTTCGCATATATTTTGAGGGGGATAACTCAAGAAAACAAGAACCATGGTTTCCTGTAGATTTCTCCTTAATCCCTTAGATCACTCCATTGAAACAGACGTCGTTAGGGCTTTTTACCACGCCACATCTTCGTAGCGGTGCCCAGGTGGAATCCGACAGATGGGATGGTCGCTATGCCATCGCCATTGCCGGGTGAACTCAGCGGGATTTCACCCATCCGAAGGGTCCAAAAAAAAGCAACGGATGGGGATCTACCTTCTCCCGCAGGATCCATGGTGCTGCTATATATGGTAACATTTACCATCAATATACCCCCAATGTTAGCATATATACCATACATGGATCCTATGGGTCTGGTAAACATACAAAAAAACGAACTGGAACATCTCCATCTTTTTTGTAGGTAAACATGTAGGTGATGGTAATTTGGGGATGGTTTACGGCATTATTTTACCCACATTAAATTGGGATATTGGGGATAGTCTTCCAATAACTATGGAAAATCACAATCTTTCATAGGTAAACCAACATAAATCAACGAACTAAATGGGCCATTTTCCATAACAAACTTTTAAATTACCGGAAAAATGCAATGGATAAACATGGGGTTTGAGGATAAAACATATATTGGACTTAGGCAAATGGTGGTTGAAGTCGGGACTTGCAGCGACCAATGATATTGGTAGTCAATTAGTCAATTGATTTTGATGTATTTTGATCATTTTAGTCAGAATTACCCACCATGGGTAGCATTCACTTGATACAGATACTACCGATGCTCAGATAGCTTTTCTAGGCAAACGGTTACTGTATAATACTGTACGGTAACGACATTTAAATAAAATGGGCTAGCGCCCAGGTGCCGCCGACCCCCCTAATTGGAGGGGGGTACTGGCAATCAACCTGGGGAGTATGATGTAGCACATGATCCCACATATATATATATATACCTTCACCTACCATACACGCAAAAAAAGCCAGGTGTGACTTGAAACACAGGGTTTGCACAACAAAACCAGGGTTTGTAAAAACCACCATGTATCCCGTCCTAGCCGACTTACGCCCGAAGTCATTTTGGTCCCCAAGAATGCAGCGAACTTTGTCTGAAGTGGCTTGGCGCTAAGCGGACTGAAGCTTGGGCGCAGGTGTTTTAAGTGTTGATCTGTTGATCTCAAATTTGAATAAAAGAAACCAAAGTGCGGTGGCGGTTGCCTAAGTATATTGTAGTATATTTCTATTTGTTGATTTTCATCATCCCTTAGCCACTACCAAGTAACCACTTTCAACGAATTTGAAATATGATGCCATCAAATATCGGTCAACCGTTCTCTCAGAACAGTGAACACTGCTAACATGTCGCGACAGCCGTGCGCCACGGTCGATGAAGTCTTCATCTTGCTGTACTGAAAAGCACAGCGGATTTATGCAAACTCCAACCTTGCTTTGCTGTAGCAATTCCAAACATATGTGGTGAAAGCAGTGTGCCTTTGGCATGACTAACCAGAGCTTTTGGCCCTGAGAGTAGGCCAACTTAGCCAAGCATGAAGACCGCCTCAAAAACCGCAATCCCAGCTGTGCAGCCTCAAATCCTTCATCTTTGGACAACCAAGCTTCGGCATGGTAGAGTAGGCGCAAAAAACTGTTCAATGCTTCTGCAGCTTGTCCAGCCAGACGAAGTTTCTCATCTTCCCAGGCTTCGCTCTAATACATTGCCTCACAAAAAAGCAGTAGACTTGTTGTCAATTTCATTTGTTTTGTCAGCAACCTTTGGCAGTCTCTTTCCCCTTGGTTGGTACTTGTCTTTGAAAGCTGAAGAAGTCCTTCTGAGTGGGCACTCACCGCTGCTTCCCCAAAATCAGCCACGACGTCCCGGGCCATTCTGATCACTCCAGCGCAAGACGCCTCAGCAAACGCAGAGGGTAGAATCATGCACACGTATGTTGAACGAATGGGGCTGTCAGCTTGCAAACACAAAACTGGTGATTCGTTAGGTGTATTTCACCTCCACAAATATAATGTTTATATATGGTATCTAGGTACAATATGCTATGGTATGATATAATCTATTAACAGTTACTGAGGGATATGTTCGTGCAATATGATTGGGATATATGATATATGATATGGTTGCAACCGCCACCGCTGCACATTGGTTTCCCAAATCCTGGACTTTTGCCGTGTGGTTTTCTGCGGCATCAACGTGAAGCACTCGCAGTTGCACTAGAGCGAATGGTTGCCTTTATAGGAGGGACAGGAGGAGGGTGTCGGAAACTTCTGTACACAACGTAAGTACAATATCGGCTGCTGTCATCGGCCAGTTCTTCATGCACAGTGTCACCACCAGCTCTGATGTTTTTACATCCACGTCTGCCTTGATTGGTAAGAAGAGTGAAACCTGAAAACCCATTATATGCAAAACCATTTGGGGGGGTTAAAGCACATTTAGAAAAATCACGGAACATCCGTTTTTCCATAGTTTGACCGCATCACAGGCACAAGGTCGGAGTTTACGCTGCAGCCTGCGAAGCATTGGGATGTAACGGTGACAGCAAAAGGCGAAGCGAAGTTCGCCGCGGCAAAATCAGATGAGGCAAGTGTGCGCTTGCTCCCAGGCGTTGACTTCCAACGGCGAAGAGGCGCTGCCGATACAAGGGTTTTCTTCGACAGCAGCGCTGGGCGGGAGTTGCAGCACGGATGGTATTTGTGTCGGCGTTGGAGGCCGCTGTGCCCGCAGCTGGCCAATTCACCGGTTCCCAGTAAATGGGGTGAAGAACCAGAACGGAACGCAAAGTTGACATTGGCATATTTCAGAGCATGGACTCTGAACAAACATCGTGGGAATGCAGAAGTCCCGCACGTGTACCGCTTGCGGAAGGAAGACGCGACCTGGGAGCAAAGTTTACGGGAGTGGCTGCTGCATTTGCCATGCGAGGAAACGAAACGATACGTGGGAAATTTCTTGTCAGTGTATCGTGTGCGTCCGGAAAACGAGGGGGAGAACAGCGACGACGAGGATGACACGGAGGACTTGGTGGTAACTGAAGGCGACTTGGCGCAAGCCTGTGACACTCATGTGCCAGTGAACGAAGAAGACACGAAGAAAGGCAAGTGGTCAGTGCACCGCAGCCTCATCGTTGATGCCATAGAACGGGCGCAGAAGCATTGGAACACGCTTCCGTGTGAATCCTGTTCGTTACCAAACCCATGCCAAGGCTTGGACAGCAAGAGCCTCCTAAAAAGTGTGCGATGCAAGGCGCGCCCGGTCAGCTGTGAGAAAGACAGTTGCGTGCGGGAGCCCGAGGTGCAGCAAGAAATTGTCAATATAACAGCAGTTAAAAACCATGTGGAAGAATGGGCCGGGTGCGTCGCGCAAGACGGATGCAATGCCAAACAAGCAGAAGTTTGTAGAAAAGTTGCAAGCCAAGTCGTGCAGGAGATCTTGTCTGAAAACGCTGGGGTGCTAGAGCCATTGCGGTGGGCTGTGCATGGTGGACCCGGTACAGGGAAATCGTATGTATTGAATCGTCTCCGGAAAGAATTGTTTGAGGATATTTTGGGCTGGAAGCAAGGTGATGAATTCCAAGTCGTGACACTGCAGGCTGTTATGGCCAATGACTTGAAGGGCGACACTATCCACCACGCGTTTGGTTTGAATTGGCAAGGCCTTGGCGATGAGCGCATTAGCGGGCACAAGCTCCTCGACCTGAGCGCCAAAGCGTTGCGCTGGCGATGGCTCATCATTGATGAAATCAGCATGGTTAGCGCTGAGCTCTTGGCCCGGTTAGAGTTGCGTTGCCGAGAGCTGGTCCGCGATCTCGCCCAAGGCAAGTACGCAAAGGATGCGGCATATGCACGTCCCTTTGGAGGGTTGAACGTTATTCTGGCAGGCGATATGTGGCAGCTGCCACCGCCACGTGGAACCTTTTTGGGAGATGTCCCATGGGAATGGTTGACGCAATGCAAAACGAAGAAAGTAGCCCATACCATCCGCGGGCAGGAGTTAGTCTGGGGCGAAACCTCGGATGGAATCCATGGTGTGACAGAACTGGTCGAGTGCAAGCGTACCCAAGATATATGGTTGCAGAGCCTACAAAACGAAGTACGAAACGGCGCGTTGTCCGAGACGAACCACGCATTTTTGCATGGCTGTCACACGCGCGTACCTGGCAGCTGGAACGGCCACAGACTAGAGTGCAACCACGCCACGTGCCAAAAGTTGCTCTCGGGAAGAGCAGCGCCAGATGCTATCTCACGGTCGGAATGCGACATGTGCAGAACCGAGCGCCGGTCCAAGGCCAGAGTTGCAGATAGTGCCGCCGCGGCGTCCGAGAAGTTCGCCGGTGCAAAAGCTATTTTCGCCACAAATGCCGTGAAGTATCATGTGAATAAACTGCGAGCAAAAGCTTGGGCCGCAGAAAAAGGACAGGTGCTGCACTATGCCATTGCAAAAGATAGAATATCAAGCATGGCTTTGCGTGAGAAGCCCGATCTGGGCAAAGAAAAATTGAGTTGGCTGCAGCGACACGATCAGGACTGTGGGTCCTTGTACGGTGTTTTGCCACTGTGCCTTGGTATGCCAGTGGCTGCCGCAGATCACTTGGATCGCAGCCGTGGAATTTTACGGGGGTGTGCTGGGGAGATTGTTGGCTGGGTTTGGCCGGCCGATGCCGTCGGAGCCGCGCGTGAAGAAGGGACGCAGATTTGGAACGAGTTGCCGGCGTGCATCTTGGTCCGGTTCAAGACCAAGACCACCTGGCGTGTCGAGGGGATTGACGAAGACAATGTGTTTCCTGTCGCGCCGCAAAAGAAACCGTGGTATTTGGACAAGGGGCGAAGGCGGCCAGTTCTCCGTGTGACGCGGAAGCAGTTTCCATTGGCTCCAGGGTTTGCAACCACCGCTCACGCAGCCCAAGGGCAAACTTGCAAAGAAGGCGTTGTCATGGACATGCACATTGTGGAAGCAGGCGACCCATTGACAGCTTACATTGCGTTAACGCGGGTCCAAGACAGGCATGGTTTGTTTGTGTACAGACCGTTCCCTGCAGCACCTTTTCAAAAAGGCGCAAAAATAGGGCGGGAATTGCTGTTGCGGTTCTGGGGTGGTGAAAAAATGGATTGGTACCGAGACGAAAGGGAATGCAAAGAATGTAATGAATCAAAGCCGGCTTCTGCATTCACGGCTGGTCGATGGAAACGCACAGATGCGGCGAGAGTATGCAAAGAATGCATTCGTCGGCAGGTTGAGAGGCAGATTCCGTGGCAATGCATGGCATGCATGGCCTGGAAACAGGAAGATGCATTCAACGCAAAACATGCAACCCCACAAGCCACATTTTATCGCATTTGTGCGACGTGCGAACAGACGCAAGTGTGTAGTGTTTGCAATACGCGCAAGGGCGAAAAGAAATATTCTGGCGGGGCGTGGAGACGAGCACGCACGGGCGGTAGAGTGTGTTTAGATTGTTCGGGTAAAGCATGGGGCCTGTGGAGCTGCAGCGTCTGCAAGGTGAAGCAAGCAGCGTGCGCTTTTGAACCGTGGCTGGCGCAACATCGTTCTTGTAATGGTGACCAAGTCTGTAGCAACTGCTGGAAGTGCCCCATTCCCCGGAGAAGCATCAGCAAAGCGGTACAGCGGGTAGCTGCAACGCAGGCAAAAGTCGCGAGGACGGCAGCGGAAGAAAAAAAAGTACGTGCCATCGCCGGTGTCTGGGACGCCATCGCGGAAAGAAAACGCAACAGAGAACAGGAGAGCTCCGAAATGAAGGACGCAGAGCCGAAGGCAAAGCATCCCAAACAAGAGAACCGAACAGAAGTGAGCACAGACGGGCCTGAAGATGGACATGGCCAACGGGAAGACAGCGACGAAAGGCAGAGGGCGGTGCGGGCGACGACTGATGTCTGGGCCAGCGTGGAACGAAAACGGAAAACAAAGGACACCGCCCAAATGCAGGAAGCCCAGCCGCAAGCAAAGCAACGTAGAGAAGACGGCGGAACGGAAAGAAGCACAGACAGGCAGGCAGAAATGAGCTGCAAGCAGCAGAGCAAGGGCAGCGCGACGGAGACGGTGACGTTGCTGGCAGATGAAGTCAAAACAGCGAGGAAAGGCAAGAGTTTCCGATATGTTTGTCCCGCTTGCAAAAAGTCTGTGAGGAGCAGTATACGGACGGGCCAGGTAAATCACCGGCGCGCATGCGGTAACCGTTTCCAGGTGTGGGACGCGCAGGTCGTTGCGAAAGGGTATGTGTACGTTTGCCCCGCGTGCAAAGGGAATGTGGCCAGTGACGTGAAGACAGGGAAAATAAACCATCGAACAGTGTGTGGGAAGCAGTTTTCTGTGAAGGATGGCGTTGTGCAGGAAAAAGCGTATGTTTACGTTTGCCCCGCTTGCAAAGGGAATGTGGCCAGTGACGTGAAGACAGGGAAAATAGACCATCGAACAGTGTGTGGGAAGCAGTTTTCTGTGCAGGATGGCGTTGTGCAGGAAAAAGCGTATGTTTACGTTTGCCCCGCTTGCAAAGGGAATGTGGCCAGTGACGTGAAGACAGGGCAAATCGACCATCGAACGGTGTGTGGGAACAAGTTTTCTGTGAAGGATGGCGTTGTGAAGGAAAAAGCGTATGTGTACGTTTGCCCCGCTTGCACAGGGAATGTGGCCAGTGACGTGAAGACAGGGCAAATTGACCATCGAACGGTGTGTGGGAACAAGTTTTCTGTCAAGGACGGCGTTGTGAAGGAAAAAAGTAGTAAACGGCAGGCTTGAACGCCTGATGCCTGATGCCTGTTGGTTGCGAATGCCTGGCCAATGGCACGCTGGACCGCCGAAGTGGCCTTTTAGGGGTTTTAGGGTTTAGGGTTTTAGGGGTTTTAGGGGTTTGGAGGGTTTTAGGCCTCGCAAACGGCAAGCTTGGACGCCCATAAAAAGCCATGGATGTGGGCTTTTGCCTGCGCTGGAAGCCCATAAGAAGCCATTGAAGTGGCCTTTTAGGGGTTTTACGGGTTTGGAGGGTTCTAGGCCTGGCAAACGGCAAGCTTGGACGCCCATAAAAAGCCATGGATGTGGGCTTTTGCCTGCGCTGGAAGCCCATAAGAAGCCATTGAAGTGGCCTTTTAGGGGTTTTAGGGGTTTGGAGGGTTTGGAGCGTTTTAGGCCTGGCAAACGGCAATCTTGGACGCCCATAAAAAGCCATGGATGTGGGCGCTGGAAGCCTATAAGAAGCCATTGAAGTGGCCTTTTAGGGGTTTTAGGGGTTTGGAGGGTTTGGAGCGTTTTAGGCCTGGCAAACGGCAAGCTTGGACGCCCATAAAAAGCCATGGATGTGGGCGCTGGAAGCCTATAAGAAGCCATTGAAGTGGCCTTTTAGGGGTTTTAGGGGTTTGGAGGGTTTGGAGCGTTTGAGGCCTGGCAAACGGCAAGCTTGGACGCCCATAAAAAGCCATGGATGTGGGCTTTTGCCTGCGCTGGAAGCCCATAAGAAGGCATTGAAGTGGCTTTTTAGGGGTTTGGAGGGTTCTAGGCCTGGCAAACGGCAAGCTTGGACGCCCATAAAAAGCCATGGATGTGGGCTTTTGCCTGCGCTGGAAGCCCATAAGAAGCCGTTGAAGTGGCCTTTTAGGTGTTTTAGGAGTTTGGGGTTTGGAGCGTTTTAGGCCTGGCAAGCGGCAAGCTTGGACGCCCATAAAAAGCCATGGATGTGGGCGCTGGAAGCCTATAAGAAGCCATGGAAGTGGCCTTTTAGGGGTTTTAGGGGTTTGGAGGGTTTGGAGCGTTTTAGGCCTGGCAAACGGCAAGCTTGGACGCCCATAAAAAGCAATGGATGTGGGCGCTGGAAGCCTATAAGAAGCCATTGAAGTGGCCTTTTAGGGGTTTGGAGGGTTTGGAGCGTTTTAGGCCTGGCAAACGGCAAGCTTGGACGCCCATAAAAAGCAATGGATGTGGGCGCTGGAAGCCTATAAGAAGCCATTGAAGTGGCCTTTTAGGGGTTTTAGGGGTTTGGAGGGTTTGGAGGGTTTGGAGCGTTTTAGGCCTGGCAAACGGCAAGCTTGGACGCCCATAAAAAGCAATGGATGTGGGCTTTTGCCTGCGCTGGAAGCCCAGAAGAAGCCATTGAAGTTGCTTTTTAGGGGTTTGGAGGGTTCTAGGCCTGGCAAACGGCAAGCTTGGACGCCCATAAAAAGTGATGGATGTGGGCTTTTGCCTGCGCTGGAAGCCCATATGGAGGGTTCTAGGCCTGGCAAACGGCAAGCTTGGACGCCCAGAAAAAGTTATGGAGGTGGGCTTTTGCCTGCGCTGGAAGCCCAGAAGAAGCCATTGAAGTGGCCTTTTAGGGGTTTTAGGGGTTTGGGGTTTGGAGCGTTTTAGGCCTGGCAAACGGCAAGCTTGGACGCCCATAAAAAGCCATGGATGTGGGCGCTGGAAGCCTATAAGAAGCCATTGAAGTGGCCTTTTAGGGGTTTTAGGGGTTTGGAGGGTTTGGAGCGTTTTAGGCCTGGCAAACGGCAAGCTTGGACGCCCATAAAAAGCCATGGATGTGGGCTTTTGCCTGCGCTGGAAGCCCATAAGAAGCCATTGAAGTGGCCTTTTAGGGGTTTGGCAAGCTTGGACGCCCATAAAAAGCCATGGATGTGGGCTTTTGCGTGCGCTGGAAGCCCATAAGAAGCCATTGAAGTGGCCTTTTAGGGGTTTTAGAGCTTTGGAGGGTTTTAGGCTTGGCAAACGGCAAGCTTGGAAGCCGCTGGAAGCCCAGAAGAAGCCATTGAAGTGGCCTTCGGATGCCCGTTGGCTGCGAATGCCTGGCGAACGGCACGCTGGACCGCCCAGAAACAGCAATGGATCTGGCCTTGGGGTAGCTTTTGCCTGCGCTGGAAGCCCATAAGAAGCCATGGAAGTGGACTTGGAGGGGTTGTAGCGGTTTGGAGCGTTTTAGGGCTGGCAAACGGCAAGCTTGGACGCCCATAAAAAGCCATGGATGTGGCCTTGGGATGCCTGTTGCTAAGAAAGACAAGTTCCACACCTGCGGTGGTCCCAGGCGCCGCCCCTGCCTTGGCGAAGGCCGGGGTCGGCGGATATGTGGAGGGCGGGCCAGACTGCAAGGCCCCGGAGGTAGTATGAAATACCAGTTCGTATATTTAAATGTAGTTGCAGTATGTTTAAATGAATTGGATTCCGTATGTTTAAATGGCTGGGCGGGCCAAGGAAAACCTTCCCGGAGGTAGTCTAAAATACCTGTTCGTATATTTAAAAATCCGTATATTTAAATGTAGTTACCATATATGATATGATGTTCATGACAATTTTAATCATTTTATATAGTTGATTGTAGAAGGCAGCATAGGAGCACCTCCTAATTGACTATTCATCAACATCTTTGACAAAACGGACCACCAGTCATTCCATGTTTGCATATCTTTGGATCTCTCAAATCACTCATCTATTCCGAACCCACATAGTTTCTTTTGAAAGAAACTCCAAAACTCTACCCAAATGGACTATTTACCAACATTTACCCTAAACATCACCCAAATGGGGGTATAGTATATATATATATACACAATATAGTATTTATATATACACAACATTTGCAATATATATATATATATAGACTGTATATACTATATACTATAAACGTCTATAAACACTATTTCCATCCATGGAGTATGTCCGGTAGAGTCTCTCCATCGGATGAGGCCACGGACATCTCGGACGCGCCCTTCGAGGTGATCTTCTCGGTAGGCGCAGAGGGAGTTGGCCGATGTTATTTTGGTTTGGGAGGGTATATATATATATGAAGAATATGACTATAATAATAATAATGTATAATATATATATATACTGTATACTTATGAATGATATACCACAAAAATAGATGAAGATATGTAGGATTCCTACTACTTTAAATGATATCCCAAAGATATCCAAAAACAGAATGTTTGTTGAGACGTTTGTTGGGTTTGTTCCCAAGGATTTTTCTTAAAACTTTTTCGGTAGATTTTCTTAAAACAATATTGGTGGAAGTGTGTGGAAGTGGTGGATCGACTATAGATTATTCTGACTGTATATCATTTGTTTGGCTGTGTTGGGATGGAGTGGAAGGTTGCTGATGTTTCTGAAGTGTTCCTTGGGAAAAATCTTGTCGTGTGACGACTTGTCTGAGGTTTGGGGTATGATTGGGAGGAACTGTGCTAAATGATTTATAGTATCAACCAAGTGCAAGTGAATGTTGAACCCTGCTGGATTGGAAATGGCCTACTCTACCTATCGATTTAACAGAGCTGAAGTGACTGAAGCCAGAAGCTGATGCGTTCCAGGTGCTGCCTGTACGGCGGCGTTGTACTATCCAGTTTGGGGTGCTCAGGGGATGTGCAGTGGTTGGTGTGTTGGAGCTGTTTGGATCATGTTTGGAGCGGAGGACCTTTGTATAATAGCATATGGCAGGGGTAACATATGGTAACATTATATAGTGTCCTTGGAATCTCACAACATTTTTGCATCATGTTCATGTATATGTTTATGTAACATAAGTTTCGGCACCTTTCAGCCGCGATGGACAGGCCACCAAAACAAAAAACGCCACATTGCAAGCTCCAACCTATCATGGGGGCCAACATTCCACCAAATCACAAGTCCGTTTGGAGCTTTGAAGCATGTTAAATCACAGTTCGCCAATCTCTAAACAGAAATACATTCAAGATATCCTGGACCATCTTGGACCATTTGGAACCACCAGGTCTTGAAAATTTCCTCAGTGAATCCCAGTTTTTTCGGTTGAACCCCCCAAGACCTGGCAGCTTCCCATGGCCTCCCCACGTCGTGCCCTGGCCTTGGCCCTGGCCGCCTTGGGCGCCGCCTTCGCGGCGCCGGCGTGGTGGCGCAGAAGCCAAGTGCTGAGGGAGGTGAAATCGAAGTCGGAACTGGAGCCCCGGGCAGGTGGGGATGGAAGAAAACCTTGGTGAAAACCAATGGGAAAAGCATGGTGAAAGTGGGAAAAAACAGTTATTTTTGATGATGGGATGTTGATTCATAAGAGTTGTTTTGGCAAAATAATTTTGAAATGATGATTTGGAAAGAGGGGGACCCGGGGGAAAAACATGGTGAAGTGCAGAGGTGTTTTGCGGATTTATGAGTCATAAAATACTACCAAATGGGACGGATTACATGGTTTAATTTTGGGATATGTTTGGTGGATCTTGGTGAAGGTACGGTTTTTATGGATTGATAACTCACATATATGGAATTTGAATGAATTTGACCATGAGAAATATGGGTTAAACTGCGGTGAACTATATAAACAGCCAATAAGCAACAGCACAAAGATGGGCATGTAGAACAAACATGGGATGTTTGATTTAGATAAACCTCTGTCCATTGGTGAGTGGGGTTGGAACATGGATCAAGAGAGTCATAATCCCAGAATTACGCTCCATGCATGGAAGAAGATTTATCAACATTTACCCTCTGGTAAACAAACATAGCTAACATAGCTATTGAACAAAAAGCATTTATAGTGGATTTGCCCAGCTATAAAATGGTGGATCTTTCCATAGTTATGTAAACGTTTACCAGAGGGTACCACCAAAATCACCCAAATGATCAAATGTAGGTCAATAATAAATAGTGGTAAATATATCATACATGGAGCATCCTGGAACAACATTTGCTGGCTGCGCTTTCTTCACACGGCTTTGAGTTGAAGCATGAATGCATTGAAGACACACTGCAAGTCTGTCAGCAATAATACATAGATTATCTGATTGGTGGTTTGGAACATTTTTTTATTTTCCCATATATTGGGAATAATAATCCCAACTGACTAATATTTTTCATAGGGGTTGAAACCACCAACCAGAAACATAGATTATAGATGGAAAGCGATTTGGTAATATGAAGGGATATACACAGCAGGGACTGACAAACCTCACCATCTCGTCCTGCAATTTGACACCAAAAAAACACATGTTGCTGGATGAACCTTGGTAGATTAGGATGCATACTACCCAGCGGAAGGGGTACCTAAGATTGGCGATTTGTCGGCCACCCACAATGACCATGGCTTCACACCGCACCGGTCAGAAACGTAAGGTTCTTCATACTGGAGATACAGCCAAACATATCCCAACTATTGTTTGACAGGGTATCTATGATTTTCCATGCTACTCGACCACCAATTGACCCAGAAATTGACTATTCCATCTATGGGAGATAAACATACCATGAATATCCCATACATATTCCATAATCATAGCATTATTTCCATATCTCAGGGATAAATATACCATAAATATCCCATACATATTCCATAGTCATAGCATTATTTCCATATTTCAGGGATAAATGTCCCATAAATATCCCATACATATTCCATAATCATAGCATTATTTCCATATCTCAGGGATAAATATACCATGAATATCGCATACATATCCAATAAATATCTCATAATCAGAGCATTCTTCACCCATTCTTTCGAGCTGAATCAACGCGACCATCGCCTTCGGTAGGAGCTCATGGCTCAGCTGGCGGTGCTACTGATGCCGGAGAAACCCATCGAGGACGCTGGCCGGTAAACATGGCTGGCAAAATGGGAAAGCTATGGGAAAACTAGGTAAAACCATGGGAAAATATGGGAAAACTATGGGAACATTAGGGGAAAAATGTGGGAAAATTATGGGAAAACTATGACATATTTTTGAGATTTTATAGGGAACAAAGATGAACAACAATTATAACTGGAGATTTGAATGGGAAAACTATGGGAAAGCTATGAGAAACAATCACCAAGAATGTGGGCAACCATGGGCAACCCAACAATACCATTTGGGCGTGGTTTATACCATTTTATACCATTCATTTATGGTGATTTGGTGATGGTTGATTATCGGGTTTACCACATTCTGAATACTTATTCATGGAATACATGAATGCCATAGGAACTTTATATAGCCAGGAATTGTTTGTTGTATTTTCGTACCCTTGGCTATTTTTAACAGTTTACTGTGGAAGCCATGGCCGATTTAGTTCGATGATTTACCTGTATAAAATTATTATATAAACATTATGATTTTCCAGTTCACAATCTATGAAATTACCAGACGGTATGTAATCCTCAACTGTTCTAGCTGCATCAAATCGGAAGGGGTTAATCCAACTCGGACATATACTTGGGATGGTGTTACTTACACAATGGAGCTGTTTCAACATTAAGATTTTACTGCTCGTGGGCTAGTAATCCAATCAACCAATTTGGAACTTAACCAGCCAACTAAAGATGGGGTATGAATGAACCATAACATGTATGGAAACCCTGAATTTACAAACCCGTGTCATATTGAATTGAAGGGTCCATAGCAGATCTCCTATTTTTTTGTAACCCCAAATCAATCACTGAGTTGTTGGTGAGGTTCAACTCCATAGCTTTGGCATGGTATTCAGCTAAGTACAAGAAAGTCTGAAAAGTCTATAGTGGTCAGCAAAGAACATGAGATCTCGGCTGTGCGGTCTTCAAAATCAATGTCCACTGACGCTTTTGACGAGCCAATTTTCTGTACGATCCGTTGCCTTTCAAACTAAAACAGTGTACCTTCTCCGAACACGCAACAAGTCTTCCATCCAAATTGCCCAGCAGATCCAAAAACTAAAAACGACTAACTTGTCCAACAAGTTTAATCTTTGCCAATGCGATCTTTCTTTCAAAGTTTATTTGTTTCTTTTAGACAGGGAATATCTAAGAAGATGTACAGTCTTTCAAATTGAATGAGTGCAGTCTGTCTTTCAAAATGCTCAATTATATCTGCTTATTTTAGACAGGCACTATTTCTATAGAAAATGTACAGTCTCTCAAATGCGTTTGCCTGTCTTTCACAATGCCTTTAAGCAAAGAGTGGAAACTTAGAGAGTTTACAGCTCGCCGCAAAGGGCTGAGGGGTAGTGGCATCAGCTTCACACTTGCAATTGACATTACTGACTTGTCTTCATTTTTTTCCTTTAAGTGTCACAAGTTGATCTGACAGTGCCAGCCGATGTCACCGAACAATGTTGATTTTCAATTTGCAGCTCCTAAGAGTCTAGGCATCTAGTTCCACAAATGTATGCGTGATAGGACTTTAGTTACGGCACTTTCATGCCAAGACGCATTTTTCTTCACATGCCACGTCGGGATTCCAGCAGTACCTGATCTTGGACCATGGCCAGGAACAGCATCACAGATATTGTCTCTGGCCAAACATAGCCATGGACCATAACCCATTTGTAGATGATGTACCTTTTGATTTACCTGTTCAACATGGCAATATTTGATGGTGTGATGGCTATGTTTTTATAGTTCGATGGTCTTACAAAACAACATAAAACCACTTAGAACTGAAGGGCACCACCTTGCATTTTTTTTTGTTCAAACAGCACATCACATCAATTTGTGGGGATAATCTGAAGAACATCTGAAGATAATCTGAAGCTAATCTGAAGAACATCTGAAGATAATCTGAAAAAAATCTGATAATCTGCAGAACATCTGAAGACTTTTGAGGTTTTTTGGTTGAAGATGACCAGACTAATATCCACCACATAAGCGTCTTCCCTCGCCTCCAGGAGCTCTTTCGCAGTTTTCCCGCGCCCAGGAGCTGGAGTCGTGAGGTGCCGCTGCGGCGAAAAATGGGTCGGCCGTTGTTTTAATTGTGGCGTTTTAAGGTGAAGTATGGTGAAGTAACATTGGATAAAGTGGGCATGCTTGGTTTGTAATGGTTTTTGTATGGATTATAGTTGTTTTTGTTGTTTCCTGTTTATTGTTCTTGACCGATGTTATGTTGTTTTTGTTTCTGTTACTCTGTTTATTGTTTTTGACCGATTTTATGATGCGTTTTGACTACGTCAGGGTATCGAAGTGGTATACGTGACACGAGGGAACTATAGACTAGCAGCTGAACACATTCAGGATGAATTGACTACCATTTTGCGTTTAAGATGGTAGGTCCGTTTTGAAGGGAATCCCTCTTGCATCTGACGATCCACACGTTTTCAGAGATATATTGAGTACCTCATACTTGCTGTTGTTGTTGTTGTTGCCGCTGTTGTATTACCGTTCTGTAGATAAGGCCATGATGTTGTTTAGATTCAACAGCCAGGAAAGTGGTTATGGGTGGTTATTATATTCTCCTCCTCCTCCTCCTCCTCATCATCATCATCATCATCATCTTCATCATCATCACGATCATCCTCATCATCATCGTCATTATCCTCATAAAAAAAAAAAACGGTTTTTACTGTATCATCATCATCTGTATATATCACATGTTTTATGATACTTTATCAGCCCCACCATGTTTTATTGTATATCTGATTGGTTGTGATCATTCTGGTGTGGTTGCTGGTGGCGATGAGCGTCAGGAACTCTTGCCCGACTTGGCCAGCTACGGCGCCCTGCAGGAAATTCATGGGAAAATCATGGGAAACCTATGGGAAAATCATTGGGACGTCGTGACGTCCTCATAAATGGAGCTTTATAGTTGAGGAAAACATGGAACTACCCTCTGGTTCTGTCAAAATAGCTATTGAAAATAGCCATAGAAATAGTGGATTTACCCAGTTATAAAATGGTGGATCTTTCCATAGCCATGTCAGTTTACTGGAGGGTTAATGGGGGATTTTCCAGCAAAGCATGTTTGATGACACCTAAGGATATAGGATATGTATAATTACGACGACCGTGTCGGGACGTTTCTGAAAGCAAGTCATCCAGATGTCTAGCTGAGAATTTCGAACCAAGTCGAATAAATTTTAAAAAAAAGTATCTGATAACTATAGGATATAGATTTATTCTAAAAATTATATATCTAAATTATCAGATACTTTATGGTAGAACAATGATATAATTATACTATAGGAAATAACCCTACCCACTGCTAATTCAACATAACTATAGGAAATACAATTTTTTGAGATAGATAAATCATCTAGAAACGGGCCATTGTCCACAGATATGTTTAACTAACGGAAGGTATGCAGGGAAAAAACCAACGTTACTGGGATGAAGTATGAAAGTTACAGCAACATGTTTCATTCCGTGGGTTTCGTCGAGGGGTCAGCAACACCAAAACTAAAATGGTGGCCAAATGTTCAAGTCATACCTAGTTACTTAGCTATACCCCACATTTCTACTTTCACCATTTTGCGATATTTGTACCCTAAGTTACAGTTGGTCCATGAATGATCCCGCAGCGCATGGCAACCACGGAAGTTACAATGTGGTGTCCCCATTTCTAAGTTGGTTCATAAATAAACCCACATTAACTATAGAATCTATATCATATATCCTGATATGTCTACCATAAACTACTTGTATTACGTTTAACCCAACATTCCTATCATAAATCACATCAATCCTCCTTAAATCTCCATTATTTTCGTGTTTTTTTCCTCGGATCTCCCTGGGTGAAGGACAAAGATGCTGCGCTCTTCATCGAATACGATGGACACCCTGCGCACGAGCTGCTTGGCCTGCTTGGCCCAAGAGATGGGATGGCTTTGAGACCCTGAAAGTAAATGAATCATGTCCAACAGTGGGATGGATGATATCTATATCTATATCTATGTATATATATATTATATCTACATATAGAACTAAAAGTCAACAAAAATCACCAACATTCATTTTGAGTCAGACTTCTTTTTGTTCCCCCCTAGAAACATACAATAACATATATATATACATTTCTGTACTTTGTCCTGGAAGCATACTGTTTAACATATACATTCACAATCATTATCGTCAACCAATCCAACATTGCACTTCTTCATCCCATAGCCGGGCCCAGGCGCGGCTATGGCGACCGCACGGATCGCCGCAAGAACCGAGCACTGCTGGATGTCGCGCCTGAAGGAAGCGTGGGGATGCCCTGGTACGGTTGGACGGCCATGGCTGGGCCTTGAGGTAGCACAGCAATGGTTGCACTTAACAAAGTGTTAATTACCCTCTGGTTATGTCAAAATAGCTATTGAAAATGGCCATTTATAGTTGATGTATCTATTAAAATGTGGGATTTTCCATTGCCTTGTTAGTTTACAAAAGGGTAAAATATACTAAAATGATGTTCATGAATCGATTGTTGAATCAATGGGCAATGACAACAACATGTTTGTTGATGATGAAACCGTATCATGTGGTTCAAATGTTCAGATCCCCCTCCTTTTTGTGGGTCAACAAAACTATTTCCCTGTTTTCTTGTTGCCGATTTGCACCAGGATTTCTCGGTTTTCAATGGTTCAGTTGTTAAAATCCCATTGGCTCAAGCAAAGTGCATTTTTTTCCTTATAGTTCAATCGATGTTTTGTGAACACATTACATGTCTATATTCCGTCAATGACATTTTACCATCCTCTGCTGTAGTTCAATTCCATGTTTTCCCACAGATCAAAACAACATTGTTAAATTCACATTCCTCATGTCCATGGCTCAATACATCAAGTTCACATTTCATGCTTGCTTCCCATGTTTCCCCGGTTCCTCCAATCCCAACTATTTGCCACAATGGGATCCATGAAAACATAATATGAACACTATAATTTTCATCCAAAAAAAAAGACCAATTTCCCAATTTCCATCCAAACAAAATACCAATTTCCCAATTTCCATCCAAAAAATACACCAATTTCCCCCCCTCCATTCTCCCTTCAACCAAGCCATTTGACATTTCTCCCTGGTCCCTGAGAGAATCGCCTCCAGGTGGTTGTCCGGATTGGTCACGCCCGGCGCAAAGATATGGGGCCGCAGGCGACGATGCGAGTCTGGTGATCTTCGGCTCATGTCCAATGATTGGAGGGATTTGGTCTTCTACACCCAAGAAAAAATGTGATTCAGCCAGCCAAAATTTGCCGAAACTGCCAGCATAGTTTGGATGATATTGAGTTGTAAATCATCATCTCCACTATAGTTCTACAGCAAAGCAAGAATCCATCAGGTGATGCCATGTCCATGTCCATCCCTGCCACCAGGTGCTGTACGTTCAAGTGCCGATGCTCGGGAGGAAGGGAGGAAGGTTGAATGGGTCTGGGTCGGTCAACCTTGGATGCATAGTTTTATATTTTGGCCATTTTGATGAGGGGATATACTGACTCGATCATCTTAATCGCCGCAACCACTTTACCGCTTTTTGCCGGCCATCTAAGTTTGACTATAGATGACTATATCCCATCTGCTCCATGGTGCTGGAATATTTATCAACATTTGCCCCCAAAATCACTCAGTTTTAGGTAAATATACCAGCACCATGGTTCGCATATGGGTTATCCTAAACAGTTAATATTGATGGTATATAATGGTATATAATGGTATATAATGGTATATAATGGTATATAATGGTATATAATGGTTATAATCCACTTACTAACTGGGATGAGCCACCAAGTACGGACATTACGAGTTGGAATGCCCCATTTAACTCGCCCAGTATGGTCCAATGGTGGATTGACCAAACCTGAGGACCTGGCAACGTGATGAGGACCCCGTTTTTGGGCATCGCGGGCAACAGTGCAACGGGGGATGTTTTCGTATGGGTATGCTTTTATTGGCTTTTACCCTCTGGTAAATTAACATAGACCCTGAAAAAAGCATTTTTTTAATGGAACCAATCTTCCAACCCCGATGACTGCCAGTGTCTATGGTAATTTACCAGAGGGTAACATCAAGAATGGTGGTTTAATATGGTTTAATCACACCATGTTTATGATGGTTTAGCCTCTGGTCATTTGTTCCAGTTTGCTATTGAACATGGCCATTTAGGCTGTTGATTTACACATGAACACTCGTGATTTTCCAGAGTTTTTTGTATGTTTACCAAAGAGTAGCAGACACTTTGAGCCCAGTTCACCAGACAGTCCACAAGCATGGCTAGCCCAGCGTTGAAATTCTGCGCAGTGGAATGTACACCATGGTGCGAGTTGCAAATGCTTACAGCACTTGTTTGGGGGCAGTTGACGGCAGTTGGGATGTAGTACTGGACACAAACAGAACTGCTTACTTCACTTAGACATTTCTGTAGAGCTCCTTGAGCACAGCCTAGTTTCATTTGTGCTTTTTGCGTTGGTCATTGTTCTATTTTTTCAGGACATCAGATATTGACTTTAGATATTGTTATATTGTCCCTTTAGAAGGTAATAAGTAATATGGTACTTGTATGTTTGAAAGTCAAGCACCGCCAAGCTTGCAGCATTGGTAAACCATGGTAAACCCAAATCATGACTTTCCGTAGATTTTCCTTCAAATCATCCCAATCAGTATCAGTTGATTTATAACATGTTATAACCACATTTGTCGATATTATCCAACAGTTAGCATCACTCCTAGTGAAATACACGCTGGATGAGTCCCAAATTTTGGATCATATCATCCTAACTTGTGAATTAACCCAATGTCGTTGCAACTGATTTAGGCTCCCCCTGCAAGGACAAGTCCCTGACACAGATCCTCTCCAAGATCTGCAACGCTCTGCTGACGCTGCGCGAGCAGCTGGCACCCGACACGTCCCTGCGATTGATGCGACACCTCATGGAGAACAGGTCCCTGGACCCGGCGATGTGTGGGACATCCCCTCAAAAATGGAGGTTTTAACGGAAAAATCATGGGAAACTATGGAGAAATGTTGAAACCTTTCTGTAGAGGTTCATAGCTGCAAAACTTATTGAACTATATTACTATATGGTGGATTCTTCCGCGAGCCATGTTTGATTAACGGATGGTATTTGTCACAATCCCAATTTTGGTGGTGAATAAGCGAACTGTCTTGGGGTGTGGAACCTGCAACCTCTATGTTTTCTGCGGCTTTTGGTTCATTTCATATCCCAACTATGATACTGTTCCTGTTTTGGAGGCTTAAGATAATTTGGATCTTAATTCAAATCATAAGTCGAACACTTCCTCAAGTCTTAGCATCATAACACCAATCCTCAATTGAAAGATCTCCATCTCTGAATTGCCAAGCAAACAACACATCAAGCCATTTGGCCCTGGGTGATAATCCCAGTTCAGTAGCCACCTATTTCCACCAGTTACTAACCACTTAACTACTCCCAGGGCTCAAGCGTACTTCTTGGGGTTAGAATTAATGCCTTATAAAATCCAGTGATATATGAACTATCCCTCTAATATCCCTATAGAAATATCCCCATTAATCTTGATTAATCCCCATTAGTCCCCATTGTTGATGGTTAAAATCATCATATCCCCTCCCCGCCACCGCCCTCCCCGCTGTCCCCACGGTGCCGGCCCAGTCTCAACGTCACCGCCGCCGCCTACGCCGAGCGCCGCCGCTTCGAACACCTCGCGGAGCTTCCGCCGCCGCACGCCGACACCGAGGACGACGGCGAGGACGACGCGGCGGCGCGGAGGCAGAGGGCGCTGGAGAAGCTGCACCTTGGAGGGAAAACCATGGAAAGCCATGGAAAAGCTGGGTGAAAAGGTGGGTACATATGGGTGCATATGGTTTTTTTGATGGATTTTTGTTGTTGGATGATGATGGATGAAGATCACTTCAATCCCACCTTTTTTGTTGGGGGCAAACCCTGGAGGGTGAATTTGTTGGGTGTTTTTGCATTTACGTGTTTTTGGGATTTTTGTTGGAGGGTTCCTGGTCTGGGCCAACGCCTTCTTCACGTTCGAATGTCTTGTCGATGCAAGTTATAGATGGGTCCCCAGTCCAACCTGGAATCGTGACAAGAAAGGCGCCATGGAAGTGTGAGATTTAGATTGATGTGTTTATGGTGTGATGCAATCACTGCATCCCACCGCCATGCATTTTGATATATTTTGATGTTTTCTTCAGTCATGTGGTGAATCAAGGGCTGTGAAGAGTCTGAAATTCTCAACCTCGCTGACGCAATCTGATGTTATAGGTCTGTCCTGGTTTTTCCTTCAGTTTTTTGTCCTCACCAAGGTACAAATCCTGGGGAGCCTAGCCGCAAAGCTTCTCTGATGGCCTCCCGCTTGGGAGATGGATCCTGGAAACTCCGGTGTCGAACTGCTTGGTGATTGGAAGATGAAATGCGGAAGCTGCAGAATCAAAGGCCACTTGGTTGAGTGATGACTGACATGGCATCTTGAATGCTGGAACGGCAACGGAACGGCTTGATGTGAACTGGCCAAAGTGCTGCTTCACAAGATGATTCCGGCGGCCGAAGATTGATGAAGATCTTGAGGTTGGACAAAGTGAATCCAAACGTTTCGCAGAATCCGTAGAACCTCCAGAGGTGGTTTAAACCTGGAGCTGAAGAATGAAGCAATGACTGGTGGCACAACTTTGGTCGAAAATGACCGGCCTTGTTTCACTGACTTGCGGGCAGTGATGTTTATAAAGTCCTCAAGCGCAGTTCATCTAGTTCTCAAGTACGATCCACCGAGATGGCTGTGTCTGAAAATAGGGTACCCCAAAATTTGATAGTGACTAAAATAATTGATTTTCCATGTTTGGTTATTTGAATGGTTATTTGCTGGGTACCCTCTGGTAAACGTTTACATAACTATGGAAAATCACAATTTTGAATGGGTAAATCAACTATTTCTATGGCCATGTTCAATAGCTATGTTAGTTTACCAGAGGGTACCACATTTTTTAGACCCATATATGTCAATGTGGTCTGTCCCATTCCGAACGGAAGACTTCGAGTTATATGGGGGACCAATTCATGCGATGGGTAACATTGTAAAAACAACTGTTGAGAGGAAAACAGGTCATCCTGATCTAACTGTAGTTGATCATTTAGAACCATGTCTAATAACTGATAGCTACACTCATAACATGGGTTCGTCTGTAAATGGGATCATTCCAACATATCATATAATCATCATTTTCCTCATTTAAATTTTAATGGCAGTTTGGGAGTATAGCCTTTGTTCAGGCACTCCCATATCGAATACATGACCGTAAGATACCTCATCAAATCTCATCAATTAGTGGAATTTATACCGCCCAATGATGGGACCCCCATGCCAGTACTACAGTACTCCCATGTTGGAAACCTTTATTCCGCGGAAGACGATGCCAAGGACGCCCCGCTGCCGCACCATTCGCACCGGGCCTCCTGCATCCTGCATCGGTGCCTCGGTTGAACATGGGCAACGCTGAACGCTAGGGGATGGGGATGAGGGAGGGCCACTCCGCAACAAATGGGAATATCTGGTTGGTGGTTTGGACAATCCCTGAACTAAATGGAGGTTGATGTCGCTGGGAAAATCATCTATTTCAATCTATTTCTATGGGCCATGGCCTCCATGGCTATGTTAAATAACAAGAGTAATCTGGTTGGTGGTTTGGAAGGAAAGCCCCTCGTCTGTGACGCGGAAATCTTCCTCATCTGTGACGCGGACGCGTTTCCTCAACTGTGACGCGGTCCCTCCTTTGTGACGCGAGGTGGGGTTTTGCGTGGCAGGCGTGGCACTTTGTGCCATCAATGTCTCCTTGTGTGGCGCGTGTTGGGCTTGGTGACATCGACTTTGCGTTCCTTTGGTTTTGCCAAAGCGGGCTTGCCTAGCTGGTCTGGTCCTTTTCCCGTGGCTCTGATTCTGTGCTCCTTGCTCCGTCCGGTGGTCCGTTTTGCCCGCTCAGCTGCCCAAGTCCATCAAAACGGACCTTCCTAGCTTGTCTGCACTTCATCTGCTTAGCTGTGCTCCTTGCTCTTTTTGGCTGTCCGTTTTGGCCGCTCAGCGGCCCAAATCTTGCAAAACGGACCTCCCCAGCTCTCCCAGTCCTGGTTTGCTTGGCGGTGCTCCTTGCTGTTTCAGGTGGCCCGCCTTGGTAAGAGAGCCGCCGAAATTTCGCAAAGCGGGCTTGCCCAGCTGATCTTTTGTTATGTGTCCTCCTGTCTCCTGTGGCTGTGCTTCTGTGCTCCTTTCTCTCTCTGGTACTCCGTTTTGTCCGCTGAGCAGCGCAAATCCTCCAAAGCGGACGGACCGCCCCAGCTTCCACCCTGCCCAAATCCTCCAAAACAAACGTCGCCAGCTTGGTTTGCTGGGCTGTGCTCCTTGCTCTCCCTCTGGTGGTCCGTTTTGGCCAGTGAGCAGCCCAAATCCTTCAAAACGGACGTCCCCTGCTCTTCCAACCTCATCGGTCTCTGTCCCTTTCTCTCCCTGGTGCTCCGTTTTGTCCGCTGAGCGGCCCAAATCCTCCAAAACGGACCTCGCCAGCTTGCTTGGCTGTGCTCCTTGCTCTCCCTCTCATGGTCCGTTTTGGCCGCTCAGCGGCCCAAATCTTGCAAAACGGACCTCCCCAGCTCTCCCAGTCCTGGTTTGCTTGGCGGTGCTCCTTGCTGTTTCAGGTGGCCCGCCTTGGTAAGAGAGCCGCCGAAATTTCGCTTGCCCAGCTGATCTTTTGTTATGTGTCCTCCTGTCTCCTGTGGCTGTGCTTCTGTGCTCCTTTCTCTCTCTGGTACTCCGTTTTGTCCGCTGAGCAGCGCAAATCCTCCAAAGCGGACGGACCGCCCCAGCTTCCACCCTGCCCAAATTCTCCAAAACAAACGTCGCCAGCTTGGTTTGCTGGGCTGTGCTCCTTGCTCTCCCTCTGGTGGTCCGTTTTGGCCAGTGAGCAGCCCAAATCCTTCAAAACGGACGTCCCCTGCTCTTCCAACCTCATCGGTCTCTGTCCCTTTCTCTCCCTGGTGCTCCGTTTTGTCCGCTGAGCGGCCCAAATCCTCCAAAACGGACCTCGCCAGCTTCGTCTGCTTGGCTGTGCTCCTTGCTCTCCCTCTGGTGGTCCGTTTTGGCCGCTCAGCAGCCCGAATCCTTCAAAACGGACCTCGCCAGCTTGCTATGCTGGGCTGTGCTCCTTGCTCTCCCTCTCATGGTCCGTTTTGGCCGCTCAGCAGCCCAAATCCGTCAAAACGGTCCTCGCCTGCTTGGTCTGCTTGGCTGGGCTCCTCTGGTGGTCCGTTTTGGCCGCTCAGCAGCCCAAATCCTCCAAAACGACCTCGCCAGCTTGCTATGCTGGGCCGTGCTCCTTGCCTTCCCTCTGGTGGTCCGTTTTGGCCGCTCAGCAGCCCAAATCCTCCAAAACAGTCCTCGCCTGCTTGGTCTGTCTGCTTAGCTTGGCTGTGCTCCTTGCTCCCGCTGGTGGTCCGTTTTTGTCGCTCAGCAGCCCAAATCCTCCAAAACGGACCTCGCCAGCTTGGTGAGGTTGGCTGTGCTCCTGCCCAAATCCTCCAAAACGGACCTCGCCAGCTTCGTCTGCTTGGCTGGGCTGCTTGCTCTCCCTCTGGTGCTCCGTTTTGTCCGCTGAGCGGCCCAAATCTTCCAAAACCGTTTTTGTCGCTCAGCAGCCCAAATCCTCCAAATGGCGAGGTCCGTTTTGGAGGATTTGGGCTGCTGGGCGGCCAAAACGGACCACCAGAGGAGCCCAGCCAAGCAGACCAAGCAGGCGAGGACCGTTTTGACGGATTTGGGCTGCTGAGCGGCCAAAACGGACCATGAGAGGGAGAGCAAGGAGCACAGCCAAGCAAGCTGGCGAGGTCCGTTTTGAAGGATTCGGGCTGCTGAGCGGCCAAAACGGACCACCAGAGGGAGAGCAGGGGGGACAGCCAAGCAGACCAAGCTGGCGAGGTCCGTTTTGGAAGATTTGAGCTGCTGAGCGGCCAAAACGGACCACCAGAGGAGCCAGCCAAGCAGTCATACCGATTTTCTGCCAAGATTTGCAGATCATTTCCTGTATACCGGGGATGTCTAGCTCAGTCGGCAGAGGGCAAGGCCCTTAACCTGAAGTCGAAGCCGGCTGGCCACATCCACCGGTTGTTGGGAAGGTCCGTTTTGAAGGATTTGGGCTGCTGAGCGGCCAAAACGGACCTCCAGAGGGAGAGCAAGGAGCACAGGTGGCGAGGACCGTTTTGGAGGATTTGGGCTGCTGAGGTCCGTTTTGACGGATTTGGGCTGCTCAGCGGCCAAAACGGACCACCAGAGGGAGAGCAAGGAGCACAGCCCAGCATAGCAAGCTGGCGAGGTCCGTTTTGAAGGATTCGGGCTACTGAGCGGCCAAAACGGACCACCAGAGGGAGAGCAAGGAGCACGGCCAAGCAGACGAAGCTGGCGAGGTCCGTTTTGGAGGATTTGGGTTGCTGAGCGGCCAAAACGGACCACCAGGGAGAGAAAGGGACAGAGACCCACCGCCAGCTCTCGTGTGATGAGGTTGCCGTGCCAGTGTGCGCACAGGAACATGGACGTTATCATCCCACCCCACCCCCACCCCACCCCCCTGTGCGCACAGGAACATGGACGTTATCATCCCACCCCACCCCACCCCTCCACCCCCCACCCCACCGCACCCCCACCCAGTGGGAGAGCTGGGTACGTCCGTTTTGAAGGATTCGGGCTGCTGAGCGGCCAAAACGGACCACCAGAGGGAGAGCAAGGAGCACAGCCAAGCAGACGAAGCTGGCGAGGTCAGTTTTGGAGGATTTGGTGGGCTGCGCCAGAGGGAGAGCAAGGAGCACAGCCCAGCATAGCAAGCTGGCGAGGTTCGTTTTGAAGGATTCGGGCTGCTGAGCGGCCAAAAGGGACCACCAGAGGGAGAGCAAGGAGCACGGCCAAGCAGACGAAGCTGGCGGGGTCCGTTTTGGAGGATTTGGGCTGCTGAGCGGCCAAAACGGACCACCAGGGAGAGAAAGGGACAGAGACCCACCGCCAGCTCTCGTGTGATGAGGTTGCCGTGCCAGTGTGCGCACAGGAACATGGACGTTATCATCCCACCCCACCCCACCACCCCACCCCCACCCAGTGGGAGAGCTGGGTAGGTCCGTTTTGAAGGATTCGGACTGCTGAGCGGCCAAAACGGACCACCAGAGGGAGAGCAAGGAGCACAGCCAAGCAGACGAAGCTGGCGAGGTCCGTTTTGGAGGATTTGGGCTGCTGAGCGGCCAAAACGGACCACCAGGGAGAGAAAGGGACAGAGACCCACCGCCAGCTCTCGTGTGATGAGGTTGCCGTGCCTGTGTGCGCACAGGAACATGGACGTTATCATCCCACCCCACCCCACCCCACCCCAACCCCCAACCCCACCACCCCACCCCACCCACCCTAAAACCAGATGGTGTCGCAGATGAGGGGAAAATGGTGTCGCAGATGAGGGTAAATCAGGGGGGTTTTGGTGTCACAGATGAGGGGGAAATGGTGTCACAGATGAGGGGCTTACCGTTTGGAACATTTGGGTTATTTTTCCGTATACTGGGAATAATACTCCCAACTGACGAACTCATATTTTTCAGAGGGGTAGGTATACCACCAACCAGATATAGTCTCGGAATGTATCGGAGAAAATTTGGATTTGTGGATATTCAAGAATCGAGTGAGTAAAATATGGAATTTTCAAGCATGGTGTTTTGCTTCTTAAGCAACAAACGGTGGGGTAGAGATAGAACCAGCTGAATGGGGTGTTTCGCCAATAAACATGAAAAGCATGGGACCGTGGCGGAGTGAATTTGGGTTCTGTAATTAAATTATCTGTAAATATTGCAGGCCGTTTCTTTGGATTGTTTTTGCTGAAGATCGGATTGTCAGATTCTGTGACATTTGGTCTTTCTCCAAAAATGTACCCTGTGTAATTCAGATTTACAACCCCAAACCTGTACATGTGGAGTTATCCAACCAACTCCCCAATTTTTGGGGAAGTACTAGATAAACAGTGGTATTTAGCCCCTCCAATTAATCAGCTTCATTAGTTCAACCTCTATTGATTATTGAATCACACAAAAAATCCAAAAATAATCCTATTATCAAACAAAAAGTCACCAGAAATTCAACCTCTAACCTCTCCAAACAGTTTCTTGGCATCATCAATCAGAATTTCAGGACCCTAAAGTGGGAGGAACTTACCGTATATAAAGCGATACAAAACATTTTTTTGGGAACATTTCCCCATAGCCCTTAATATTATGTACCATATAAAGCAATATTTTGGGAGCATTTCCCCTTATATAGGCCTTATATAGGCCCTTGACCCTTGAGTCATCAGCCCAGGTTCGACTTCTTCAAACCCGTGGGATGGTTCCACATGGGCCCAGTGGTGGATGGGAAGCACCTGGGCGATGCGTTTTTTTGGAGTTGGGCCATGGTACGATATGCCCAGAAACATCCAGAAACCTATGGCAGGAACCATTTTTGTAGATGGACATAGATGGGATTTTCAAAGTATTTTCACTGTATCATTCCTGGTTGGTGGTTGGGAACATGTTTTATTTTTTTATATATTGGGAATGTCATAAACCCAACTGACTTTCATATTTTTCAGAGGGGTAGGTATACCACCAACCAGATTCTGTTTGAATCATTTGGGGTGAAGATTAAAGAACAGCATCGGACTGTGATGGACTGTGCAAAGGCATGATGTGCCCAATGGTGTGATAGACTAGTTCCAGTCGAGTGCATGGGTTCGAATCATTCTAACAATGTTTCTTCCACTACAGATTTCTTGCGGTACTCTCTTTTTAGCAAAGACATTGAACAGTTTCTTGTTTACTTGCGAATTCCATACCACTGATCACTGATTGATGTTCCATGATGCAACGTTACTTATCCTGCACGGATATCCTTATCCTCTCCCAGCAACAGATGAAAATATCCCATCTTCTGCCACCATTCCAAGGTATAGCATTGATGCTTACATGAACTGCGTGGATGCATGCTACCAGACCCTGAAGCACAAGATGAATGGCAGGTGCGGTCCTGCCTCAAACTTTGTGGACGTGGCACTCAAATTCCACTGTGTTGATCCGACATTGATGTTTGTTTTCAGGCAGAAGACACATGAGTTCTTTGTTTTTTCACAATCTGTGTAACAGATTTAACAGTGGATTTTTTTTCGCTTTATAAATAACTGTTGATTTATGTTGATTTATTTCCTCTGAAATTTCTCATGATTCATCGCGCAAATCCGGGAAGCCCTATTTTGCCAAGTACAAAACCCACCATTTTGCCGACGCTGCCACCGATTCTTGTTGGACAAAGCCCACATCTCCCTGGAAGTTTACAAGAGGCCCTTGCTGAGCATCACTGACTACAACGTCTTCCACACAGGCCCAGGGATTCCCGGGCACTGAGGGTTGCTCATAAGGAAGCTAGTATGGCCATAAACGGGATAAGACCAACAAAGATAGGGATTAGTGATTTAACCAACTAAGAAAGGTTGTATAATGAGGATCTATGTCGCTATCATGGGACATAATTGGGATCAACTGAAGAAAATTATAATGACCTATGACTTCGTGACGCCACTGGAACGATGGGAATTAGTTCAGCCAGATCCATGCAAAACACCGTTGGTTTGTACGGACAACATCAGGCTGATCAGTGAGATAGATCACACATGGTGCAGGTGGAGGCTATCACGTGGTGAAGAAAGCGTTGGGAACCTCAGTCTCCGTGGGCAGGCTCTTGATTCGATCTGTCTGTCAAGTTTTGAGTCGTAAGCGGAAGATATTGGATGAAGATGGATAAAGATGTAGACAAGGGATATATGTTTTGAACCAGCACGTGATTTCTTGGCACTCCGCGGATTGTAAGCCATGTTGCCTGTTTTATTTTGCTTTTGTCGTTGGGCCATCGCAAGTAACTGATACGTAATGGCTATATATGACGGCCGCAAACCATGACACGCCTGTGGTTGTTTCTCTTAATTTGGAACCAATCTCAGGTTTGTTCTTCAAGTTTTTCCATCATCTTCCCCATGAAAATTGCCCGAAATTATGGAATTATCAGACAAACTGATATTATTAAATTATCAATAAGATCTCAAGTCGGTGAAATATAACATAATATAACCTATGATTCCATGAATATTCCCCATGAATATCCCAATGATCATCCCAATATATCCCCAGAATGATCCCATTATTATTGGCTACACCCACCATGGGATACCCATCAGCCGACACCTGACCTCGCAGGTTCGAGCGCTGCATTCGCGCGGAGGATCCCAAGACCAAGGCTGCTTGGGATGATGTTGCCACCTTAAAATGGATATCATCCCAAGCAGTGAATGTTAGCTATGATTCCATGAAGATGGCATGTATATTAGCTATGATAATATGGAATAATCAATGGATGTTAACATGTTATATTAGCTAATGTTACTGTATATTGCCCTCTGGTAAATAAACATAGACCCTGGCAGTTGTTGGGGTTGGAAGACTAGTGAAACCATTAAAAATGGGTGATTTTCAGGGTCTATGTTAATTTACTGGAGGGTAGCAGTGATTCCATGTTATATTAGTTAATGGATGTTAACATGTTATGATAATATGGAATGATCAATGGATAATGTTGCTAGACTATGCAGAAATACTGATAGAAGTTGCCACTAAACTGAGTTGTTGATTTAAGCAACATAAATGGAATGTAATATATGGAATATGAATGGATTGTCAATGGAATATATGTGTGGGGACACAACGAGATAATGATGGGATATTACCCTTTGTTGTCATCAAACATGATAAGACATGATAAGACAAACTAAAACAACTTGGGGGGATAGTCATCAATTTATTTTAACAGAAATGTGTATCTAATGTGAATTGCCCTCTGTTGTCATTAAACATGTCAATTCACAATCCCATAAATGGAGGTTGAAATGGAACATTAGCATCATCTATAAATGGTTGATTGTCCATTGCCACCTTTGATTGCCGGAGGTAGAACAAATTTGTAGGATTTGTTTGATCACAATTTTATCATGTGTTATCTAGCTTGATGGCTTGATGAAGCAATATAATTTGGGATGAGCCTGGGATAATCTCAAGTTTAATTACCATAAAAGTATCTGATTCTTCACAGTTCTTTCTTTTTGTGACTTGGCATTAAACGAGCCGAGTTGGTGTCATATGTTCGTGAAGGAACTGCTTGGTGGGGAAGCAAGCATGCCCATTTCATTCATTGCAGTTTCTATCTGAAAGTTTGCAAAACCTTTAGTTCTGACATGTTTTGATATGTTTTTATTCGACATGTTTTAATTCCTTGCTTGTTTGCTTTGCAGTTTCTGGCTTCAACAAGGTTTCCCTCACTCTGTGATGTGAGTGTAAGTCCAAGACATTCCAAAGCACTGATATGTTCCCTGCATGCAAAATGTACCCTCTGGTAAATTAACACAGCTATAGAACAATAACAATTTTTAATAGGTAAATCAACGAACTAAATGGGTTATTTTCCATAGCAAACCAGATGGTACCCTCTGGTAAACTAACATGGCTATGGAAAATTACGTTTTTTTTGGGAAAACTCACTATAAATGGCCATTTTCAATAGCTATGTTAAATTACCAGAGGGTATCCATTTTCACAGCAATGTCACAGGTGAATTCCCAACCACCCAGTGATGCCAGGCGGAGGTTCGAGAGAAGTACGTGCAAGAGAAGCTGCTTCCCTCTGTGCCTTGCCTCTGTTGTTTTGGTGCTTTAAAGATATCACTTTTTGGTGGTTACATCAGTATAGAAACCCTGCTAAAAGATAGGAAAGCAAAATCCTACTAAGATAATGGCAAAGTGCTTTTTTTCCATTTTTTGGGGGCTCACTTAGTGATGCTTGTCATGCTTGTGGATTTTCATCAAATTTGACGTAGAGGAAGTATCAGAATGAGTTCAATCAAGTTTCTGTGCGCTGACCCTCAATGTGCTCATTAACTTGGTTCAGGAGTGAATTCCTTGTGTTTACCTGACATGATGTCCCTTGGAGAAAAGCTGAACATGATCAGAATTACAATCAGAATTAAGGGGATGTTCTTTTTCTTTCAGCAATTTATATAGCACTTTTTGGCAGGACACGGCAAATTACTCCCATTTTTCCCAGAATAGGTGCGAGGGAAACCATAGCAGGACACCTTTACATTTGGAGGTTTGATAACAACTATTTCCTGATTTTTTTTGCGAGGTGTCCTGTACTGTTCCCCTTGAATCAATCATATCAATCCATATCAATCCAGTGATTTTTCTATACTTTCAATGAAATAAATATATCATCCATACTGGCAATGTTAAGATAAATCCATTCAACATATGTTGCTCCATCAGCTCTATGGAGCTCCAGCGCCAGGTGAATCTCTTGAAGATCATCGGGCCTTGCCACACAGCTGGGGAACCAAAGGAGCGCTGGGATGATGGGCTGATCATGGGGTGTGTGGGGGGGACGTTGTTCCCCGAAGGAAAAATGGGGGTTGAACTAACAAAACATGAGAGAATGGATTCTTTATTACTCTCATGACAAACGGAGGGTGACTGTCTGGGTTGAACTAGCGGAAAAGGGGGGATTGGATGAACATTTTGCCTTAAAGCTTGATCAAAGAAGACAGACACCAGATGCAGAGACGGTAGAATGTATGGATATTTGGCACAGGTTGCTTATGAGAAGTCCTCCTGTTTGGCATTGGTAAGATATAATCTTGTTGGGGCTTAGATACTCCAAAACCATTGAACCTTCAGTTGCACTTCTATGTACTTCCTAATGATATGTTGAATCTTTGTTGGCCAACGCAGACACAAACACACATGGACTATCATGCATTGCATTGATGCCAGCGAACATCTACCCGAGGTCATCCATGTATGACATACATGGGAAGAAACACATACACCATTACACCAACAAAGACCTCAACCAGATGGGAGAACCATACCTTGCATGTTCCTGTCAAGATCATTGCTTGTATGACGGCAAGAGGCGACCTCAGCTGAAGACCGCTGAGGTGTCGTCTTTCTTGAACATCAGTTCAGTGGTGATGACCAAGTGGGAGGAGGCTCTCTGAAGGGCGTGTGGGGTGGATCCGGGATGATTTGGACAGGCTTCCCAAGCGCATACTGTGTGGTAGCACTGTAGTGATGAGTCAATGCATCTTTCAACCAAGGCAATTTATCACAGTTTTTCACCATAGTAGATATAGTAGATATAGTAGAAGGATGTAGAAGGGGAAGCTGCACCTGATACCTCCCAATCATCACTTGAGAAGCCAGTTAATCCAGACAGATTGAGACTGAGATAGAAAACCAGCTGCCTGGGGGTCCGCTTCAGGATCAAAGACTTCTGCAGAAAGAAATCACCCTGTCAGCAGATGATCAGCCGCTCCATTCGCATAGTGCGTTGCCATGGTGCGGCTGCACGGTTCGTTCCGTCCGTGTGGAAAGGGATCACTGGTGGACGGTGGATGGCATCCACAGCACCGGAGTGGTGGAGGAAGGGGTGGCCCCGAGAACGGGTGGACAGCATGGCGGAAGCAGAGCTGTTGTCGCAGCTGGCCGTGGCGTTGAAGCCAAGGACGAAAATTGGAGAGTTGTTTCGGAGATTTCCAGCGCCGGAAGGGTGGGGTGGGAATTATTTGGATCCAGATCTGGCAGTGCATGGGGTGTTGAAAAGGAAAGATGCTGCTTTGTTCGTGGAATACGATGGATTTTGGCGGCACAATGAGGATGAGCGTCTTTCAACAGATTATAGGAAGAATGCAGCCTTGCTTTCACATGCTCCGCCAGGTTCACATGTAGTCTGCATTGGTCACTGGGAGTGTAAGCCGCTAGATCCAGACCCCTGCATTCTCTGGATTCCTGTTGCTAGATGGAAACCGGGCGAGCAGAAATCTCTCTCAAAGGTGCTGAAATGCCTTTTTTTGGAGATTCTGGCTGAACTTGGTGAAAGTTTGGATCCAAGCGTGGCCAAGCGCTTTCAGAAACTGGCAGGGATGGACTTTATGCCTACTTCGGCCAGGTCTGTGCAATTTGTGAATGAAGCTGCAACTACAGCTGGTGGAAGCACCACGGAAGAATTGTTCAATATTTTGAAAAGTCATGGTTTAAGCCGCTGCAGCACGCAACTTCTAGCAAACAATTCCCACTTGCTCCGTCTTTCAAGTGAGAGGCAACTGAAACCGGGCTTGAGGTATTTGTTCAGCCTTGGGTTAAGTGAGGCTGAAATCTCCAAAGCGGCTGTTCGATATCCAAAAATCCTTGGTTTGAGCGTTGAACATAAACTAAAGCCCACTGTGCGGTGGTTGTCAAGTCTGGGACTAAGCGCGCATCAAATTGTAGGATCCGCTACTTCTCAAATTCTTGACTACAGCCTTGAGCAGAACTTGAAGCCTACCTTGCAATGGTTATTGGACTTGGGCCTGACAAAGAGTCAAGCTGCAAAGGCAGTGGCCACTTCTCCTCGCTTTCTGGGTCTCAGCATTGAAAAGAACTTGAAGCCTACCGTGCAATTTTTATTGGACTTGGGGCTGACAAAGAGTCAAGTTGTGAAGGCAGTGGCCACTTCTCCTCGATTGTTGGGTCTCAGCATTGAGCAGAACTTGACGCCTACGGTGCAGTGGCTATTGGACTGTGGGCTGACGATGAGTCAAGTTGCAAAGGCAGTGGCCAGTTCTCCTCAATTGTTGGGTCTCAGCATTGAGCAGAACTTGAAGCCTACCTTGCAATGGTTATTGGACTTGGGCCTGACAAAGAGTCAAGCTGCAAAGGCAGTGGCCACTTCTCCTTGCTTTCTGGGTCTCAGCATTGAAAAGAACTTAAAGCCTACCGTGCAATTTTTGTTGGACTTGGGGCTGACAAAGAGTCGAGTTGTGAAGGCAGTGGCCGCTTTCCCTCAAATTCTTAGCTACAGCATTGAACAGAACTTGAAGCCTACCGTGCAATCTTTATTGGACTTGGAGCTGACAAAAAGTCAAGTTGCGAAGGCAGTGGCCGATTCTCCTCAATTGTTGGGTCTCAGCATTGAGCAGAACTTGAAGCCTACGGTGCAGTGGCTATTGGACTGTGGGCTGACGATGAGTCAAGTTGCAAAGGCAGTGGCCAGTTCTCCTCAATTGTTTGGTCTCAGCATTGAGCAGAACTTGAAGCCTACAGTGCAGTGGCTATTGTACTGTGGGCTGACAATGAGTCAAGTTGCAAAGGCAGTGGCCAATTTTCCTGCTTTTCTGGGTCTCAGCGTTGACCAGAACTTGAAGCCTACCGTGCAATATTTATTGCATTTGGGACTGACAAAGAGTCAAGTTGCGAAGGCAGTGGCCGCTTTCCCTCAAACCCTTAGCTACAGCATTGAAAAGAACTTGAAGCCTACCGTGCAATTTCTATTGGACTTGGGGCTGACAAACAGTCAAGTTGTGAAGGCAGTGGCCACTTCTCCTCAATTGTTGGGTCTCAGCATTGAGCAGAACTTGAAGCCTACGGTGCAGTGGCTATTGGACTGTGGGCTGACGATGAGTCAAGTTGCGAAGGCAGTGGCCAGGTCGCCTCAAATTCTTGGCTACAGCATCAAGAAGAACTTGTCACCCACTGTTCGCTGGTTGCAAGAATTTAGGGTGATAAAATGCAAACTTGCATCCCTAATCTCAAGTTGGCCGCGCATTTTGGGCTATAGTATTTCGAAAAACCTTGAGCCAAAGGCCCTTTTTTTGGAAGCCATGTGTACAAGAAAGGGCGCAAGGGAAATCATTTCGAACAACCCAGAAATACTTCGATTCAGCCATCAGCGGATGGCTGCGCGCTTGAACGTCCTTTCAAAGCTTGGTGAGACCCGGAAGGCATGTTATGCAATGACCTTGCCCGATAAGGCCTTCCAGAAGCGATTCACTTCTTGAGTTGCGAGTTGCAAGGTCAACGGAAAAATGGACAGCTGGGGCTCCTTGAAATCGTCCTTGATCATTGTGTGTCTGTGTGCGCGCAAAAAGTTGCTGTCGTCATGTGTCGTTGTGTTATTCTTGAGTAAATGTATGCGGGTGTGTGGGGTCCCAAAAGAATAGAAATTTGGAATCATTTGTAAGACGGGTGCAGAGGTGCCTTCCATGATTTTGTTTTGTCGCTATTGCCATCAAGACATGTTCTCTAAAGTGTTACAGTTTGCCAGCGCAGTTTTTCCATGACTCGCCAACGTCCACCCTAGTTGGAGATTTGTTTTTTGTTTGGACAACATGAGGAAGTGTGCGTGAATGTGAGCTTTGTCAAATACAACAATCAGCACGGAGAACTCCTAATCCAACTTTGCACAAAATCAGTTTGGACGATGGACGATCCCTCTTGAAGATCTTGCAAACTTACCCAACAAAAAACAACATTTTTCATTTGATGATACTAATGGAGTGGTAGTCAATACAATGTTTTACTCCTTCCGCTCAGTCTTACCATTCCTTTGAAGCTTGGAAGATTCTTGGAAACCACCCCAGCCTGACCCATGCCGCTCAAAACCCCATCAATCTGATTCGTAAGTATCAGTCAATACAAGGGAAACTTATTTTTGAACAATGGGTGTCTTTGCTGATTGGTGATGTATCAAACTTATCATGATCCGATCAGATCAATCCACTTCCTTTGACCCCATCCCTCTCAAAGCACACACCCAGCCATTGGAAGGCCTTGGGTAAAATCCTCTTGGTCTTCACCTACGGTTCCGGCTGCGCCAGTGGGATTCGCTCAGCTGCGGCCAGTGATGGGGTGGAAAGTGATGGTGGATGTTACCATGCCCCGTTCGCATGGTGGATTTGTTTCATTGTGGTGGTCATGTCAGGGCCTTAGAATTTTCTATTTATCACACAATTTAAATAATGTTTCACAATCTGACTGGCAAGTCCACTTGCAGATCATTACAGAGCCACAATCTGGATGATTCCCTGAGGAAAGAAGTTTTAGTCTCAGAAGCCTCTTGTTCCGAAATCCACCTGAATGATCACCAACCCGATGTTTCGCCCTATCCTCAGCCCTGATCTCACAGGTTCGATGTACCAGCTGCGTTTCGACGACATGGCCTGGTTGGAACCCTAGGAGAATCCTGGTCGAAGGTGATGACTGGACAGCCGTGGATTTTGCATGAGGGCCCCAGAGTATCAACATTGGCTTAGTATGTAAGCCGTGAACTTTCTCAAGCTTGCACAATTGTGACGAAATTGGCTTCAGAGTATGTAGTATGAGGGCCACTTCGAGTCACAGCCGAACTTCATGTCAAGGTCATATCCGTGATAGGATGAGTTTCCATGAAGATGCTTGGCCCTCAGGTTTGATCCACTGGCTGTGTGGAAGGTGAAGCAGTTCTACCGAAATGTGCGGACACCCGCAGCAAAAAATGCAGGGAGGGCCGGAGGGGATCCAAAAAACCTTACCCTCTGGCCATCACCCATGGCTTTCTGGGGAATCTATCGCAATCTATGAATCTATCATTTACATAGGCCATAGTGCTATAGTTGCCAGGGCTGTTTTAACAGAACGATCCCCCAATCGACCTTAAAATATTTGTCTGGGAATGCTGCAAAAACATGCAAAACCTCAACCTGTTTGGTTTGTGAAAGTTTCTGCATCAAACCTAATGTGAATCCGACTTAGCGACTGGATGACAACCCAACGAAAAAATGATGGGGTATATCACAGCAGCACAGGGAAAACTATATATATATATATACATAGAGCCCTAGATTTTGAACCACGTACATTTCCTGTGATGCAGATCTACATATACTTCGAGGCAATGGTTAACCCCACGAAGACATTCGGTCTCCTTCGATCCAAGTTTTGCGGATCCAGGCCATCCATGTGTCGCCGGATTTGCGACTTCATCAGGCCAGAGCTTCACGGGAAGCAGAACTGGACAAGCATGGCGGGTCAAATGTCATGATGTCATGTTAATTAAACCCAAAAAACTGGATCTACGGAACCTCTATATGCTGTAAGAGGTCCTTCCACAAATTGCATCAAAGTGAATTAGTGGTTCCGTGTTATTAATATGTTTGTTTGCAGAATAGTTACTGCAGAGAAATCTTCAGTTTTTGTCGGTCGGTTCCTGAATATATGGCAGATGGATAGAGAGAAGGTAAGACTTTGAAGATCAAGCATACGCTAGTATATGGAATCTAGATGGTCAGATTTACTGGATATGGAGGGTGAAATGTACTTGGTACCTACTGGAATGGTTCCTGTTTGTTTGTTTTTTGTTTTGAGAACAAACAAACTGAACCACGTAACCCTGCTGACGCAGGTCTACATTGACACCTGGATGAAGTTCGACTACAGGCAGAACGAGGGAAAACTGGGCAATCCTGGGCATGATAGATGGACGGGTTGAGCCTTTTTTGAGGGTCAATTCCCTTCAGTCTCATTCAATGTAGAAGCACCATTGCAGGTGGTTCATCGGGAAAAATCTACAGGAAACCATAGTTTTATCATGTTTTATCAATGATATGGGGTTTAGTATGTTTAGTATGGTTTCTTATAAGTAATCAATTCTTGATGGTTCATAGTCTCATAGTTTTATCACGATTTCTCAATTAGATATGGGGGTGGTGGTTTGGAACATTTGGATTATTTTTCCATTCAGTTGGGAATTTGATTATCCCAACTGACTCATATTTTTCAGAGGGGTAGGTTGAAACCACCAACCAGATATGATAACCATATATGAACCATTATTATCAGTTTTTTTTCCACATATATTAGCCATTTATGGAAACCCCTATGGGTTGTGAACCATTTGTTGGTGGTTTCCTTGATGGTTTCCCCAGAAAACGATGCTCACTTTCACCGACCGTGACGACCCCTTACCGGGCGCATCTCCTCCAGGCCCCACGGGCGCATCTCCTTCGGCTTTGGCTACGACTCCTACGAGCTGGACCGGCGCCGAAAAATTCGGAGTTGGACCGCAGTTGAAATGGGGAGGTACACTAAAGATACGTCACAAGCGGGGAAAATCATGGGAAAACTATGGGACCTATGGGAAACCATGGACATCCTCATAAATGGAGCTTTATCTGGTTGGTGGTTTGGAGCATTTGGATTATTTTTCCATATACTGTATTGGGAATTTGATTGTTCAAACTGACTAACTCATATTTTTCAGAGATGTTGAAACCACCAACCAGGATACTAAAGCTACCTTTAAAAATATAGAACCATATAAAACCCATACCATCTCTCAAATTATATGAAATAGACATAGATAGACCCTGAAAATAGCCTTTGTTTCGTGGAAACTGATCTTCCATAGGTAGTTTGCTAAAGAATGCCAATGATATCAATCCATTTAAAAATCATGTGATGTACCAGTAGGTACCAATGGTATTTGATGATATATGATGATATACCTGATGTTTTATTGTGCATGCTATTTTATTTAGCCACCCGCACATCGAAACTGGGTTGAGTCGCGCATCCTGGCAGGACGCCTACTACCTGTTGGAGATTGATCCCTGGGGCAGACGGTTCTACCACCGCGGCGGCATGCGCACAGGCGCAGCCGGAGATGTTGCTGCGTGGTGGCAGTGGCTCAACATATTCAGACGTAGGGTGTCACGAACTTGAGGGATGTCTTCATATTCATTCAACCTTGTCATGATAGATCCAACAAATATTCATTAACTGGTTGGTGCTTTGGAACATTTGGATTATTTTTCCATTCAGTTGGGAATGTCATCATCCCAACTGACGAACTCATATTTTTCAGAGGGGTAGGTATACCACCAACCAGTATATATGCTCATATATATATAATATAGATATAATGTGATATCAGATGTGGAAAACCCCCGGAAACGTAGATCATATTTTCCCTCATGGATTTCATCCCCCTCACCACATCCATTGCATTCCAGACCCCGACCCTGCAGGCCCGATGAACCGAAAGATCATGAACTCCACGGCCTTGAACTACGACAAGGCATGGCTTGGATGCTGATGGATGCATGGAGCAAAAGTGTAGTGTAACCCCCGGAAACAGAGGAAAGTGACGTATCACCAAATTGAAGTATAGGATGTTACTGTTCCACCGTTTTGATTAAAGTTGTTATGAATTATGAGCCAAATTGAGCCAATAAAATGTCTTGGCCTTGGCCATTCGGTATGGATGGTTGAATTACCAACACACCACCAATTCAACCTCCAATTAGGGCTCAAACTTTGTGTAGGGTTTCCCATCGATCTGACGGGCGGTGTTTAACATGGTTTATCCAACCAGAACGGGTATCATGTGATTATCAAACAAGCTGGCCTAGTGGACGGTCCACTGTTCAGGACCTAGCCTTATGGCTGAGTCCTGGATCATGGAAATCTGCAGCTCACGATAAAATCATGATCACTTTTCATTTGTCCAACTAACAATGTAACATAGACCCTGCCCAATTTAGAGGGTTGGAAAATTACTTTCCTCCACAAAAAACATCTGAAAACTATAGCATCTATAGCTATTTTCAGGATCTCATTCTGGTTGACGCAAACAATCAGTAGATCAGTTGCTCAGGTGGAGAATCGCCACACGCGCGAGCATTTTGGGCAACTGCCGCGGCTCGATTTCATGTTGGGCGCGCGCGGCAGGACTTGGAAGGTTTCGTCAAAGGCCTTCACTCATATGGGGCTATGGATCCAAGCTTAAGAGATATATCAGATATGACCCCATCTGGGCTATTAGGATCTAAACTTAGGATCCCTCAATATTTGGATATATTCCCGGGGATGAACAGATGAACATTCAGCTATATAGGCGATATTCCAGCTCTTTTGATGTGAACAGAGGGGTACAGCTGAGGCCCAATGGGGAGGCTTGGGAGAAGCAGGAGAACAAGGCCAGCTGCTCTTTTTTTGGGATACATCTATTTCTATTGAACTTTATGACTAGGCAAATCTATTTGAGGGGTAAAAAGAAAATCCTGATGTTTTAATTTGGTCGTTGGTTTGAATCCCCTTGAAACCGCAAGTTGTATTTTTTCATTAAGGATTCTTAACTCAAACGATGGGAATCCTTTCATGCTCCAGGCTGTGTGGGAGACATCTTAGACAATTAAAGGCAACTTGTTTCAGGTGAATGCCATCGGGTTGTAAGATTTTGACGGATTGATGTGGATCAACATTTCACACTTCTTGGGCCCGCACTTTTTTTTTGGTTCTGTTTGGTATGAACGAATGGTTCTAATTTTGGGATCCTGGATTTGACCCACACCAGAATAGTAGGATGGAACTGACGCTTGAACTTTCTGCTGCTGGAAGGATCATCGCAACTTCAGACTGGTGTATCCCCTTACGCAAAAAACATAAACATATCTGAATAGGGAAACATGACCATCAACTTATGAGGTATAATTATTGCCAATGTTCCAATTTATTTGACCAACTCCTTGCAGAATTTCAGCCATTTTTTGCTGTGCCCCGTTCAATGGCCACAGGAAGAGAAGGCGGCTCGCTCCCTGGAGGACACCTGGAGGCTGGGTTGGGGATACCCCGATGTGTGTTGGTTTTTATAAACCCTACAAATCATAGATATACCATATCCATAAACATCCATAAACATCCATAAACATCCATAAACATCCATAAACATCCATAAACATCCATAAACATCCATAAACATCCATAAACATCCATAAACATCCATAAAGATCCATAAAGATCCATAAAGATCCATAAACATCCATAAACATCCATAAAGATCCATAAAGATCCATAAACATCCATAAAGATCCATAAAGATCCATAAACCATAGTTAAACTATAGTTATAACCAAAGTTAGGATTTGTTTGGGAGATAGAAAGGGAACAAAAATGGAACTGAACGGTTGATGAATGGTTGAATGGGGAACAACCATCAAGGGATTTGAAGCACCCCGAAGACAATAGTTTCCCTACAAACAATGACATCAAGTGACCTAATACCTTGGATGATTCCGAACTCCTATCATATTCTAATTGCTGATATATCCCACTTTATTATCCTAATAATCATCATATCATTGTCATCAAAAATCTCTTTGGTCCGTCCCTGGGGATCCGTTCAGCCCAGGGAGATCGAGCACGAGATGACCTTCGAACCGGAGGTGGAGGTCGATGGTGCACCGTCGGCCTGGGAGACCCAGAGTTTCCACCACAAGGGTCCCGAGGTGTGTTGGTTGAATACGCATTATGAATGCCCTTGTTGATTGAGATTCTAACTTTCGAATACTTTTGAATATGATCATGATAATATATGATATATCCTATTCTTGAGCAGGATTCTGATTTTTGATAGTTCAACTGCCTTTTTTTGTGAAAAGCACTATTCCCATCTATTCCATTCTACCCCCATCTTTTCCCAAGAAGCTGGCTTAAAGGGACAATTTGCAGGACACCTTTGTCGGGAAAAAAAACACACCATGATTTCCTGAAGATCTGAAGTTTCCACTGCCCTCTGCTAAATGAACATAGACCCTGAAAATCACCAATTGTTAGAGGAAACTAATCTTCCAACCCCTATCTGCCAGGGTCTATGTTAATTTACTGGAGGGTAGATTTTGGATTAATTTTTCCCGAAATCTACCAGCAGTGCAGCACTGCCAAGGTTGTGGCCGAAAAGGTGTCGCAGGGGCGCACCGTGGTGGTGCGTGAGGCGCGCAGTTCGGCAGGGAGGTGATGAAAGGTTTTTTGGGTGGGAGAAAAGATGGGGTAGATCAAGCTGCCTATGATTATTTTATGATTATATATGGATGTGGGTCAAAACCCTGTACCCCCAGTGAACCTCAAGGTTGATGGTCATCCCTTATACCACATGATTAGTAGGTTTTGACCCATACCCATATATATATATATATACATATATATATATAATATTATATAATGAGGAGTTAACCATCAAACATCAGGATATCATGGGATATCATGGGATTATATATACATATATATACGTATATATATATATACATGGAAATACCATGATTTGGGAGTATGAACATAGATTTACCAGCTATTTGGATAGACCAATAATAGACCCGCCATTTTTACAAATATACGAGATCAATTAAGGATTTTACTGTGGTGTTCCCAATTCAGGCTCTTCCTCACACTTGGAAGATAAAGCAATAAGAAAGGATATGTAGATCATACATCGAATGGTGAAGGACACGACGAAAATCCTTGTTTAGTCAAGCAGTATCCCAATTCAAAACGCTGCTGAAATCTTAGTCTTTCCACCATGGTTGAGATTGTCTATCTAATTTTCTTTCTTGAATCAAACATCTGAAAGTAAAACGTCAGAACTTCAAGGCCAACCTGGGTCCCTGTTGGGCCTGGCAGTCCCATGCAGCAAGCATCCCCGGGGCCCTGGTTGATGCGGGTTTGGCAGATTGGCGCACCAGAAGATGATGACGATGAAGAAGGACTTGCACGGCTCTGGGTGAGGTTGACCATGTCAATGTAGAATGACAGTGGTTTGAAGTGGTTTGGCGCAATGTCTTCACTTTTTGGCCTATCTGATCTAATTGAGGATAGGTTGTTTTTAGCAAGTTGCAGGGTTTTATAATATGTTTAAACCATTTATTGGTTTTTATGTCTAATTTCTAAAGGCAACATTCTGATATTCAGAACATCTTCCCATATAGAATCTTAGAAATTGTTAGCAAATTGGGGTTAACCATCTTAAACCATTTATTAGTTATATATATAGCTACAATGTGAGGCCCCCCAGTTATAAGTTGGTTTATACGCCCCAGTAACTATAGTTATTTGCGTACCATAAACCATAGTGAAATTGGAGTTATGTTCACCAACTTAGCTATCGAACGGGGGCCTCACATTTTAGAGTTAAAGGTCATTACTATAGTTATTACTAGGTGATAGAACTAGGTGATATAACTATTGCTTTATAACCATAGTCATTATTAGGTGAAATATTTCTGTGGTTTTGAAAGATTTCAACTGTGTTGATCCCACCATTTCTACGTCCGAAATCCCCTAGGAGCTGAGACCAGCTACCAGATTGTGGGTCTGGAGCCCCACAGCGGGGGTAAATCGTTACGACTTCACCAAGGTCACTGGAAGGGTGGTTGTGATTAATAGTGATCATATTAATCCCATTAACTAATAGTGATAATAGTGATAATTAATAGATAGTGATAATTAACTATTGTGATAATAGTGATAATTAACTAATTAATGATTAATACTGTAGACCATTGTGATAATAGTGATAATTAACTCCCCAAAATTACCATAGACTAATTAATCGGGGTAATTAATTTCCACCAAAACCCATTGTGATCATATTAATAGAGTGGCTGCTTCGATTTCGCGAGCCGTGTTGCACATCCACTCATTATTTACTTTAGAGATTATATATTTGAACAGGAGGTACTAACTTGTGAAAATGAAGGTGCCCTCTGGTAAACATACCAAAAACTATGGGAAACTACAATGTTTAATGGGCAAATCAACTAGAAATAGCCATTTTTCAATAGCAAAGTGTTAGTTTACCAGAGGGTACACCTGAATTATTAGGGGTAACTACCCATCATAACCTCATTTCAGGTTGGTTGTGTCTTTTGATTTCCCCGAACTTCGATGGCACATTTTCTGGTGGCTTTTCCCATTGGCCCATTGGTTCAAGGAGCCTGGTAGCTTCATCATTTCGGATGAATCATCCACTTGGATTGAGACCGATTCACATCAAATCTCAACATGGGTATGGGTCAATACCTATAGATACCATTTTTAATGGGATGGACATCCATTTACCAGCTATTTTGGGGTTCACCAGGGGTACAAGGTTTTGACACACTGCCACATGATTTGTTGATGTTTGTTGAAGCATGTTGAAACTTGATTGACTATTGAGTTATTGGCCTGACTCCCCACCAAAATGGATGCTTTATCATTTGCCACCTTCACTTGTTCATTGGCATCCATCCCAATCAAATATCCCGGTAAAGCTTTGGCTAGCTTAGTAGGTCAAGTGTACACAGCGATCAGTGGGGAGATATGTAAAACCCAGCTAAAAGAGGTTGTTGTTCCCCACCTGCCAGGTGAGGGTTGTTAGATTTTATCTAAGTTGCCTTCTCCTGCCTCCTCTCCTCCTCCTCTCGTCGTCCTCCTCTCGTTGTCCTCGTCGTCCTCGTTGTCCTCCTCGTCCTCGTGCTCAACTGCGACTCGCGATCCACAGTGTTCGCTGCCGGACCTCAACCACGACCATCCACGCCCAGTGTTCCCTGCCGGACCTCAACCACGACCATCCACGCCCAGTGTTCCCTGCCGGACCTCAACCGCGAGTATCCACGCCAAGTGTTCCCTGCCGGACCTCATGTAGGAAGATATGGGACAAAGAATGTGCAGAAGAAGTTAGAAAGAATGTCAGAAAGAATGCCAGAAGATATGCCAGAAGATATGCCAGATGCCAAATAGAATGCCAGATAGAATGCCAGAAGATATGTCAGAATATATGCCAGAAGATATGCCAGAAGATATGCCAGATAGAATGCCAGAAGATTTGCCAGATAGAATGCCATAAGATATGCCAGATAGAATATGCCAGATGCCAGAATATGCCAGATAGAATGCCAGAAGATTTGCCAGATAGAATGCCAGAAAATATGCCAGAAGATATGCCAGATAGATATGCCAGATAGAATGCCAAATAGATGCCAGATAGAAGATGCCAGAAGATATGAGATGCCAGAAAATATGTCAGAATATATGCCAGAAGATATGCCAGATAGAATGCCAGATTGAATGCCAGAAGATATGTCAGATAGAGTGCCAGAAGATATGCCAGATAGAATGCCAGAAGATTTGCCAGATAGAATGCCAGAAGATATGCCAGAAGATATGCCAGATCATATGCCAGAAGATATGCCAGATAGAATGCCAAATAGAATGTCAGAAGATATGTCAGATAGAATGCCAGAAGATTTGCCAGTAAGAAAATGTATAAATGTCATGGTGGGGATCACACGAAGTAAAGTAATTTTTGTTTTTGCGATTACCCTCTGGTAAACTATCATAGCTATGGAAAATAACCCATTTATAGTTGATTTACCCATTGAAAATAGTGATTTTCTATAGTTATGTTAGTTTACCAGAGGGTAAGATCTGAGATTGGTCATGATATTTGTGTCATAATGAGTGGACCCCCGAACTGGATGGTTCTAGATAGTAAGAAAGGTACCCAAGGATTGTCTTTGTAACTTCTTTAAAAGGATGACTCAGGATCCTGTAGGTTTGTCATAACCCCCAGATGAATCATGAATGTAAGATGAGTTGGTCCACTAGTACCCTAGTGATTCGTCCCTGTGCAGATTGCTTCTCCACTCCTCCTATGATCCACATCGACACTTAAGGTACCTGGACGGCCATGCGGGAACCGCAGCAGATGAGCAAATCTGCCAGCGGAGCGTTGGGGGAACCCAGGTTGACAGGGTTGGGGTGGGGGTCGGTGAGTGGGCAAGCAAACATGATATGGCGATTGATCAATAGCTGTCCGGACCTCCCATTTTTAAGGGAGATGAACATCCATTTAGCAGCTATTTTAACGGTCTCCAGGGGTATCCAGGGGTACAGGGTCAGGCTTTTGACTCATAGCCATATCAAGTCACAAAAAGGGAAACCATGATTTCTTCAGCACTAAAACCCATCGGATGGGTCAAGACCATGGCAGGCCCCAGATGCTTGACCCTGCAAGACCCATGATTCTTATCCCATCTCAAACTAAAACCAAAGTAAGTGTGACTGTATGTAGAGACATCCAGGCTGGTGGGGTAGCAAGCAGGGCATGGTTGTCACGTCCAGAGACTTGAAATTCAGAGAACTAGCAAATTTGGCGTTGGTGTATGAAATACCATAGGGCTTATGGGAGATATATAGCTGATGGGGAAACCAACTTAGAACTGAAACTCACCACCTTGTGCTGTTGTGCTGTTTATTTGTCGCTGCTTTTGTAGGAACCACGAACTGAAAGAGGTCCGGAGTTTCAGAAATGAAGTCTGATGTTTTTTTTTGGTGTACCCCAAAATGTCACGGTTGATCATCATTTTCCCCATGACATTGGTCATTTTGGGGTCACCCAGCTGCCTGGCTGCCTTGAGGTTTACGTACGAGGCAAGGCAATCAGATGGTGGCTGCGTCTTGGGGCCGCTTGAAATCAGGGGTGTTCAAAGCTGATTGTTTGTTTTGAACATCTTTGAACTGAATCACAACGAGACAACGTATGTGGAACCAGGAACTTGTCATATGGTGGATCTTTTGTGGGTCATCAACTGGTGAAGTCTCTAAAGATACAATTCGTAGATGTTGGGTGCTCAGGTGATCGAGTTCAGCTTGCACAATGGGGTAACTAGGGGCGTTTGATGACCTTGGCAGAGAAACCCTCAAACCTCACATGTCAAGCTGTCCGCAAGTCTGCGAGAAAGGTCTCAGACTGGAAACTCCCCACCTTGCGAAGATGATTCTGCAGTTCAAAGGTTTTTCTTAGCCCCTAAGCATCCCGCAACCTCAACAAACCTGCCCGCAGAAAAAACATCTTACCCCACTATAAGAACCCTCCAAAGGATATATCGAACAGAGGTATATATCGGTGTACATGAAAAAACATGAAAAAATGGGTATGAACAGGTGCCATTTACCATACTTCACTACAAGAACCCTGCAAAAGATATCGTATCAGATATCAAAAAGATGTATACATAATATAAGTATTTATATAAGTATATATTAATATATCGGTTTAAATATACCAAAATGGGTATGAACAGGTGCCACTTACTATGTAATTACATCTATGTGCACCGTGTCGATGCAGGTCACCTTGGGTCCCAATGGTTGGGAGCAGTGGGGGATGCCCAGGGGTTTTTGAACACGTTCGTGCAATGGTCAGAACAGGGGAGTCCTAAGCAGAGTTCAGGAACATGGGATATATTGGGATATCGTATTCTGATAAGTGGAATGATCATGGTGAGCAATCCCCTCTAACCATCGAAACTGATTTAAAATTATGGTTTAAGCATAAAACATGGTGGTTTACGATTATGTCATCTTCCTGGAATGGGGATTAATATAGCATAATATGGCCAATATTGAATAGATATACCAGGTGTGAAAGCCCATTGAGGATGGTTGGATGACCATACCTTGAAGATAAGATCAAGGGGGACACATCATGCTTGTGGCAGGAAAAACCACATTTTCACGTTTAGGAATGAATGTATAGACTTGTATAGATCAAAACTCACAGCCAATGTGCCACTAGTTTCTTTTGTTGCCCTCTGGTAAGTTCGCCTAGCTATGGACATCACCGTTTCTATCGGGTAGATAATCTACAAATGGGCAATTATTAAAATTACCACAGGATAAGGCGAGCCTGTGTGCCACTGCATGGTTTGTTACCGTATGACCTGGATTGCCTCGGTCATAGGCTCTGATTGAATAGACTTCCGAAGGGAGAAAACATGGGAGGGTGTTCAAACAAAAGCTCAATGGATGATGATGATGATTATTATTATCATTATTATTATTATTATTATTTTGTCTTCTTCAAGTTGACCTCTTTTTCCTTGTTGGCAACCCACACTTGCTGGAATGCTGTTGTTGGAACCCCAAAACGGCCACGGATGGCCACGGCTACCCGACACCTGACTCAGCTCACCAATCCGTACCGAGGTTTTACCTGCTCCGGAACAACAGTTGGTCCAAGAAGATCTACCCCGCCATGCACAAGTCCTGGAAGGTCGAGATCCCAAGAAAAATTGAGTTGGCAAAGACATCCCTGGTCTTGGAAAGATCCCAAAAAAATGGGTGATTTGCGCCAAGTTTCGGACATTTTACGTGGGGAAAATTATGATAAATCATGATAGTCAACCATTCTAACGGTCGCATCCCGATCGTTTGTTTGGTCATCCGGATACTAGATGTCTCAAAACATCTCAAAACCAAGGGATTTGATTGCATGACCTGGATGGATGGTTGGCGAAGCAAATATAATATCAATATCCTTCTGATTAGTTGGATGATGTTTGAATGAGACGTTGATCGCTGGCGTGTCCATGGGTAAGTGGCTAAAGTTGGTTGACTTGGGCTCTTGTGGTTTGAAAAGTCCAGTCAATGTTTTACGTGATCATTGATAAATTTGAGGTTGCTTAGGAAGACATCACCATTCCAAGACATCAAACATCAAACAATTGACATGTTCAAAGTTTGATTTTTTTGTTCATGTCCATGTAATGGTACTTACTAAGTGGCCAACTTCCATTTACAGTACAAGCGGAGCCTGCCAACTCCGTTTACCATTAAGTTCTATACCCAGTTCGAACCCTTCAACTGCAAGGTGGTCCGCCCACTTATAAATGTGTGTTTTGGTTTCTAAAACTCATTAGCTATAGACTAGATATATCTACTGTACCATCAACAATTAGTTATACTACGTAGTTATAACCCAACTTAACTGTCATTAAAACTCATTAAATACCCTTTTCTGCTGCTTAAATCCATTTTTCTCAATGGTTGACCGCAGCACCACCAGCCCAGTCCACGTGTCAGGATATGCCCTGCGTGGGACCTCACAAGGGCCGAGAACGGCAAATGTTAGGGGGCTCAGCCGGAGCTTGGAGAATCCTAGCTATTAAATTGGAAGGGTTTGCCCCCAAACTAGTGATAATTAATGATAATTACCCCTCAAACTGGTAACCATGCTAGTAATATTCCAGTAATTCACTGGTGGTTTATTCAATCGGGGATGACATTAGTATGGAAGAAGCAGTTGAACATAAAGAAACACCAAAGAACAAAGTCGGACATGGTTTCTGCTCGGGGCTTAGTTGCCCCGCATATCAAGTTGGTGCATCGGACCACTGCGATTCTTCTCGTACTGCTTACCCTCTGGTAAACTAACATAGCTATTGAAAATGGCCATTTATAGTGGATTTATCCAGTAAAAATGGTGATATTCCATAGTTACGTTAGTTTACCAGAGGGTATATTCAAAGTCCCCATGTGAGAAAAAGGGTCTACTGGCAGAGCATCTCCCTCCCCCAGGGCCCTAAGTTTGACGGACATACCCAGATGGAGTTGTGGGCCATAGCTCCAGCATCTTACAGGCCTGGTATCTTGACTCTCTACAGGAAAACTCATATCAGTCAAATCTGAATCTTAGCGAGCTGACAGGGAAAAGTTGTTTGTCTCAGCACAATCTTGGTTCTATACTTTCTTCCCCAACTGCCATGTTCAGATTGAAGTTTTTCGCCCCCAGATGCCATGGCATCTTCCAATCCCTGCCACACATGTGGAAAGGGCAGGCATCCGTTCGCCCTGTGAGTTCAGGGCAACCGGACTGGTGGAAACTCGGCTGGCCCCGAGAACGGGTGGATAGCATGGCCGAAGCGGAGTTGTTGTCGCAGCTGGCGCTATTGCTGCGACCTCGGGTGCCGATTGCAGAGATGTTTCGGAGATTTCCGGCACCGGAAGGGTGGGGTGGGCATTATTTGGATCCGGATCTGGCGGTGTATGGGGTATTGAGGAAGAAGGATGCAGCTCTTTTTGTGGAGTATGACGGATATTGGCGGCATGGGGAAGAGGAAAGTATGTTGAGAGATCAGAGGAAAAGTGCTACATTGCTCGCAAATGCACCACCAGGTTCTTGGGTGGTACGTCTAAGCCAGACAACTCGTTCAAAGGATGGCAACGTCGTGTGGATTTCTGTTTCCAAATGGCGTCAGGGCGACCAGAATTCTTTGGGAAAGGTGCTGCAGGGGGTTCTACATGTTCTGCTTGGTGAATTTGAAGGACGCTTCCGACCGGAGGTTGAAAATCGGCTGCGGATAAAGGCAGGAATGGACTCTATCAGAATGCCAGCAGCTGCACGAAAGTTTTGCGATTTAGCTTCAGCTCTCCGTGGTGCAAGCACACAAGAAGAGATAAACAATTATTTGAGCTCTAACGGCTTTTGCACCACGAGCATAGAGAAGCTTGAGCAGAAGCTTGTTGCTTTCTCATGTTCGATTGAGCGGCACCTGGAACCTTCTATGTCGCAGCTGTGTGAGATAGGTTTGGCCAAATCCCAAGTAGCAAAAGCTATTTCAAGATGCAAATCTCCCCGAAATCTGAGCGGGAGCATTGACCAAAAATTGAAGCCCACTGTGCATTGGCTGTTGGAGTTGGGTCTTGACAAAGCCCAGATTGCAAGGCTTGTTTCGTCGTTTCCCCATGTCTTTGGATACAAGATTGAGAACAACTTAAAGCCCACGGTGCGGTGGCTCTTGAAGCTGGGCTTTAGCAAGCTTCAGGTTGGGAAACTCGTTTCTGTTTTCCCGCAAGTCCTCGGCTGCAGCATTGAGAACAATTTGGAGCCAAAAGTGCAATGGCTTTGGGAGTTGGGACTCAGCAAGTCTGAAGTTGCAAGCACACTTGCTATCAAACCACAAATTCTAGGATACAGCCTTGAACGCAATATGAAACCTAAAGTAAGGTGGCTTAGAGACCTGGGATTGAACAGTGATCAAATAGTACGCGTGATCACCCTGCGCCCGCTGATCCTTGGACTTAGCGCGGCCAATCTGAAATCCAAGGTGCAGTTATTAAATGACGTCTTGCCAAAACACCAGGTTTCTGATTTGATTGCCAGATCGCCCTGGATCCTTGCGGAACGGGTTGAAAGCTTCCACCGTCGAGTCGATGTTCTGGCAATGCAACAGAAGAATATCGCTGTGAAAAAAGGGAGGGCACTTTTGGAATCAAACCATCAGTAGTTTGCTTCCATGACATGTATACCCACTGGGAATATCCACTTGATGACCCTCAAGTAATCTACCCTGGCCAAGAAAATCGACCAATGTGTAATCATCATATGAATTCATATGACTTATTTCCCATTGGCAGAGTGCGACCTCTACTTTCTGGGAATGATTACAATGTTGTATATGAATAATTGTATATCCTATCACTATTTTGTGCCTTTCACCAGATATGCCATGGTCAAAAGTTGATCTTGCGACACTACAATTATGTGCATGATGCATGTTCTTATCGTATACCAACTCTTGGGGCGCTCCGATTGTTGGCCCTGGTCTTCTCTTGACCTTCACGATATTCAGTCACCATGGTTTCAAATGCACTGACCCCACCACCAGAGTCCGGGGCTGTGTCATTATGGACCTCTGAGTTCATGCGAGAGTCGAGTCAAAATTGGATTATATTTTATGTTTATATATCCAAATTCGGGGATGGTCATCAATCCAGTCATAGGGATTTATATGCCCATTATGAGCATGCCCCCATTATGGGATGGATGGCCATAAAGCACATAAAATCTTTTGACCATGGCACAAATGAATCATCCTAAGGTCACTCCCAACCCTTATTTCCCAGCCATCAACTGTGATCAGCTGCGTGCCTTCGACCACTGGCATCATTTTATGTCGATCTTAGCGACCTCACTTGCCTTCTCAGCATGTTTGTGATGGCTTATCACTATGGGGAATGATCCCCAGAATGGCCAACTTCAGATTCGGGAATCATAATCACTCACCCCAAACTTTGTCTTCTTGGTGGATGTTGGTGATATGTATCCCACCATACCCTTACTAGAGATTCACACCCATCAGCGGTTTGATCCCCCCTTTCCACATCTTTCCACGGATCGAGGTGCTGGCAGCTCAGCGGCCGACCCGGCTGGGATCTGCCCGGCGAGGACGAGGCTCCAGTCGGCAGCAGGCGCGGTTGAGATAGACATGGCTGGAATTGGTTTGTGACTCAGTCACACTTGCTAACAAAAAAGTGGGATGTATCTTTGGGAATATTTATTTTGTTATTATGATTTATATACTATACGAATCTATACAACATATATAAATGCACATCATTTCTGTGGAATTAGCGTCATACAGTACACACACACAAATAGCTTCTGAGCGTGTGGTAGCTTCGAGGATTATCCCAGCAGCGGAGGGTTCTATCTTGGGTCTTGAGGTTGGGTACACCATGGGCTGCTGTTTTGAGAGGTTTCAGGGACGGCTAAAGGGTGAAGGGTAATTGCAGGATATAGAGCTGATTGCTCTGATTGCTCCATGTGATCTTATTATACTTTAGAACCTTCCGGCAGTCTGGTTCTTAGATTCACTTCTTTCAAGTCCCTGTGCGGGTCACTTCATATACCTCACCTCAGGAAATGGACAATGATTGTCATGGGCCATAGGCTTCGGTGTGAGACCCATGTCCATTGGCCATGGTTTTGCCACTGGCTCACATCAGCAGGTTTTGCATCACCTTCACTCCTGGGCAGGCACGTGAGACAGCATTGAAACTGAGAAGTGTCCAAAATAAATGGTTGCGATCCTGTTTGAAAGTGTGTAAAGTATGAATACATATAGACTTGCGGCACACTTGCGGATAGTTTCTAAAGAAATTACTTGTTGGTGGTGCCAGATATTGATATGTTAACATTTCTAGGTGGCACGATGATCCTCTGTCGCTAACCATATTCTTCGGAAGGGTTGAAACTGATGTGAAAGGATTTGGCTTCACCGCTTTGGCGTATAAACTCATTTTATTGGACTTGAACATTTGATCCAACCATGTTTTGAAGACCATCACCGAAGTCGCAAAAGCTCCATGAATAGCCACGCGACAGTGAAATAGAATGATACGATATAACGAGCAAGTTCGTTCCACCTCACAGCCAGAAGGAATGAACCGCCAGCAAAACACCAGAAATGGAGAACTGGGACCATTTACCTGCTCCTTGTCCCTTCACTTTATTAAAAGTCAGAATCATGAAAAGAGAGGTCTTGAAAAAGAACACATCTCACTTTCTATAGATATATATATATATATAGATATCGGTCTATAGAAAATGCATGACAAATGAAAGTTTATGGAAATTGATGGTTGGTATTCATTGGACATTCATTGGACATATATTGGATCCCACCAACTCACTACCTCCCCTTCTTACTGCCAGGTGAAACGCCTCACCTGGGAGAAGCTCGAAGAGGAGCCACAGAAGATGCTAGACGATGCCACGTGCGCACAGGGCAATGGTAATTTCCACAGCTTGTTGGCTGTTGGGTGCTAGGAAACCATGTGATTTTTAATATGTTTTCTATGTGTTTGAGTTTTTTTATTGTTGTTTAGGTTTGGTTTCAAAGATCATTCAATGATTTCAGATGCTTGGGTCTGATTATATACCCAATATACTGCAATGTTGGAGCCGTTCTGTGATCAGAGTGATGAGGTGATCTATGTATCCCTACCAGTTGGGTTGGGTGGTTAGACCAGGCGATTTGTGGAGGATGGAGATGTGGTTACTTACGTCTCGGATCGTCCAAAGTGTGGTTTCTGTCAATTTTGGGTATGATGCAGTTTGAAACATGTCGATATTTGAGGCCAATGGATAACTTCTTGAACTTTAATCTCTCTCAATTCGAATGGCAGAACGCAAAATTCATCAATATGTAAATCAGAAAGAAACTGGACAGAACCACAGATTTTTGTTGATCTCATTCAGTTTTTATCCCCCAGCTGTTTTTTTCCCAGTGACGCTGCCCAGCTCGCAGGTATCAGATCCTGGGCTCGTGGAGTTGTTTCGACCCACAGGAGATGACCCCCGATCCCAGTAGGTGCAGATGTGGGGGGCACTGGATGTTTTTTTGGGGCGTAAAAGTGTCACTGGTTGGTGGTTTGGAACGTGGCTTTTATTTTTCCATATCTTGGGAATTTGATTATCCCAACTGACTTTCGTATTTTTCAGAGGTGTTGAAACCACCAACCAGGTCAGCTTTTTAGGATGTTTCATTTGGGAGGGCTAATTATTTTAGGATTTTTTTTTGATCAGGTTTAGGAATTATTTTTGGATTCCTGCTTCTCTGCTTTTCCTGCTTTTCCTGCTTCTCTGCTTTCCTGCTTTTCCTGCTTTTCCTGCTTTTCCTGCTTTTCCTGCTTCTCTGCTTTTCTGCTTTTTTGCTTTTCTGCTTCTCCTGCTTCTCTGCTTCTCTGCTTTTCTGCTTTTTTGCTTTTCTGCTTCTCCTGCTTCTCTGCTTCTCTGCTTTTCTGCTTTTTTGCTTTTCTGTTTTTCCTGTTTCTTTGCTTCTCTGCTTTTCCTGCTTTTCCTGCTTCTCTGCTTTTCTGCTTTTCCTGCTTCTTTGCCTTTCTGCTGCTTTGCTTTTGTGCGTTTCCTGTTTCTTTGCTTCTCTGCTTTTTTGCTTCTCTGCTTTTTTTTGCTTTGCCTGCTTTAAATACTTGATTTTCATGTAAGATGCATTTTGCACAGTATTTACATCCCTGAGTATCACATGACCAACCTTCTCTTGAAAACTAGCAAATGTGAGAAGAGGTGCTTGCATTCTGCTTTGGGGGGAGGCGCTGCGCCCTCCCCCCAATCCCCCCCTCCCGTTTTTTTTTTAATTTAAACTTAAACCCAAGTTACACTAGTTGGTTTTTGCGAACTAACCTTCTCTGGAAAGCTGACAGGATTACATGTGATAGATAGATAGATAGATAGATAGATAGGTAGATAGATAGATAGATAGAGAGAGAGAGATAGATAGATAGATAGATAGAGATAGATAGAGAGATAGATAGATAGATAGATCGATAGATAGATAGATAGATAGCCAGCTAGATAGATAGATAGCTAGAGAGATAGTTAGCTAGATACCTCGATAGATAGATGGCTAGATAGATAGCTAGATAGATAGCTAGATAGATAGCTAGATAGATAGATAGCTTGGTAGATAGATAGCTAGATAGATAGATAGCCAGCTAGATAGATAGATAGCTAGAATGATAGATAGCTAGATACCTCGATAGATAGATGGCTAGATAGATAGCTAGATAGATAGCTAGATAGATAGATAGCTAGCTAGATAGATAAAGAGGTAGCTAGATAGATAGCTAGATAGATAGATAGATAGATAGCTAAATAGATAGGTAGATAGTTAGCTAGATAGATAGATAGCTAGATATATAGCTCGATAGCTAGATAGCTGGATAGACAGCTGGATGGCTAGATAGATAGATAGCTAGATAGATAGAAAGCTAGATAGCTAGATAGCTAGATAGATCGATAGCTAGATAGCTCGATAGCTAGATAGCTGGATAGACAGCTGGATGGCTAGATAGATAGATAGCTAGATAGATAGAAAGCTAGATAGCTAGATAGCTAGATAGTTAGCTAGATAGCTAGATAGGTAGATAGATAGCTAGCAAGATAGCTAGATAGGTAGATAGATAGCTAGATAGATAGATAGCTTGCTAGATAGATAGCTAGCTTGCTAGATAGATAGCTAGCTAGATAGCTAGCTAGCTGGATAGATAGCTAGCGCCCTCCCTCAATCCCCCCCACCCGCTTTTTATCTAATCCCAAGCTTCCGCGTCTGTAAATATTTGGGTGAACATGCTCACATGTAGAACATCCCATGCAAAATGGAAGGTGAACATGCCAAAATGTGGCAATTCCATACAAAATGGAAGGTGAACATGCCCACATGTAGGAAATCCCATGCAAAATGGAAGGTGAACATGCCAAAATGTGGCAAATACCATACAAAATGGAAGGTGAACATGCCCACATGTAGTAAATCCCATGCAAAATGGAAGGTGAACATGCCCAAATGTGGCAAATACCATGCAAAATGACAAATTCAAGTTCCAAACCGTTGCAAACACTAGGCAAATGGTACCAGCCAAGAAATCAAAAAAAAAATCCCAAACCTGCTCAAAAAAAAATTCCTAAAACTATTTCACACCCTTTCATTTGGGTACCCTCTGGTAAACGTTTACATAGCGAACTGGAAAGATCCACCATTTTATAGCTGGATAAATCAACTATTTCGACTCGGCCATTTTCAATAGCTATGTTAAATTACCAGAGGGTAAATCTCACTGTGATCTCTGGAATGAGAAATGTGGGTTGCACTATCCCCAAAAAAATCGAACTTTTCAGTGAATTATTGTAATTTACCCAATTTCATGGATAATTAGATGCTATTGAACTATCTCTATTTTTTTTTTATATTCTAAAGTTGAAACGCGTTTTCATCTATGTTCATATATTTTTGATGCTCTTAAATGAAGGTTGACACATATTTTAACTGTTGATTTCCTGTGTGAATGTGCATCTGAAGTTTCAAGGCTTCTGCTGAGGAATGGATACACATAATGTATTGACTGCACCTCGCTGTTTTGAGGGGTAATATAGTTTAGCCATACCTACATGGAAAGAAAGAGACAATCAAACTGCAAGAGCCAGTGCATTCGGGCTAATTATTATTCCTAAAGTATGATTTTTAATCATTAGTCATTATCCATCAGAAGTAACGTATCTACGCCAGCCTTTTTGAACATTCCTTTTAGTCTATTCATAGCATGGTTGATCAAGCGAGAGTTTGGGCGACCCCTTGGTTGAAAGTGGCCTTATCCTCTGTCTTCAGATGAGCCACGTTCTAAACCCTTGTGTTCATGTTAAGCAAGGGGCCCCTTGTAAGGGTGTGGCGTAAGCAAAACTGTGGTGCGCGTAAGCCAGCGTAAGCTCCGCGTAAGAAAAGATATGCGCGTAAGCAAAACGTAAGCAATGGCGTAAGCATTTCTTTATTTGGTGCCAGGATGTAAGACGTTTAGAACATGGCTCAGATGATTTCAGCGCAATCTTCGTATAACTTATACCTTCAATAGAATATACTGCTTATCAATGCCCGCTTTTGGGTAAACAAGAACAGGGTACAAAAAATGAATAATGAACCACATGGTCAGGGACCACTCCACTTTTGGAACAAGATGCAACATGATGGAACTATCAACCATCCTCCCCAAGGAGCTTCCCCGCAGTCTCTCTATCCACATAACTTGTCTGGTGAAATCACCATTTCCAGTGGTTAAGCCTCACATAAATGTTAATCATTGGTAATAAGCATACTATTCATATTAATGATCACATTAATAACATTATGTGAATGTATGATATACAATGATAATACTGTGAATAACGATAAAGAAAAGTTGCTATTGGTCTTAGTTGGTGGGTTATCACCTATGGTGAATCATGATAAAAAAGTTACTAACTTTCCATTATATCAATATTAATAGGACAATTAATGGCTAATACTAATTATTGGTTCTGTTCAGTATTGACTATGGGTAATACCTACTGAGTAGGACCTACTGACCATGGGTAATACCTACTTAATGCATTTCTACGTTAATCATGTTCCAAGATGTTCCAACATTTACCCTCTGGTAAATAAACAGCGTGACCCTGAAAATAGCCCATTTTTCATGGAAACGGACAGTCTTCCAACCCCGACAACTGCCAGGGTCGAACTGTTAATTTACTGGAGGGTAAAATGAAGTCCCTCGACCTTGTCTCTGGACCAGCTGGAACAGGCCGGGAGTGCACACCGCAGAGGTGCAGTGCAACAGGCGGGAGAATGTCGTGGTTGAATTTGTGCTCGTTAAATGGTAGAGTATGGTATGTTTTTAGATGTTTTCGTCACAATCTTCGTACAAATCATAACTTCAATAGAATAATTATATATTACTCATCAATGTTTGTTTAATGGATTTGTTAGGGGCAAACTGAACGAAATTTTACTATATAACATCTATAGGGATTTAGGGTTAGTTACCAATAAATGTTGATAGTTTTCCAATAATGATTTACAGGAAACAATCGATAGAACAGTGGGAAACTGAAAACTATTAAGTAGACATCATCGAACTATCATCCTGAATAAACTTTGTTCGGCAAATTATTGGGAGCTACTATAATGTATGAGGGGGGTGTAACCCCCACTTGACACGAGATTCATTTGTGAACCCCAAGAATAACCCATACAGGTTTTCCCCTTCACTTGGATGATGATGAGGATGATGAGTATGATGAGGATGATGAGGATAATGAGGATGATGAGGATGAGGGTTTTCCATTTGCTTTGAACCATCTTAAAACCCCTACGGTTGATTTGCGTTCTTTGAGGGTGGTTTGCGTACTGAAGAATGGTTGCAAATGTTCCACTGCGAAATCTACTTCAGGATTCATTTCAGGATGTATCTTAGGCAAATGCCATGAACTAATTCCAGAGGTCCCAGCATCAAAAAAAAATGCCCAGCTATCCATTGCAGTCGGCGAGGCTGGGCCTGAAGTTCCACTTCATCCGGAATCAGGAGATGGGGCGGAATGGGGGTTGCAGGCCACCACCAAAATGATGTCCAAATGGCTTTGGTACCTGAAAAAACAGCCCCAGAAACCATGGAGTAGTCATCTTTTTCCCCATTGAGGTGGTCAGTTCGGGGGCCCATCCCCCATCTTACAGGCTTGCGTGTTAAATGTGGGCTCCTGAAGATCGTGCACCCCAAAATGCTGACTTTTCTGTACCATGAAAGCATAGCATCTTGAATGGATTGTTATTGGTTTGTCCAACAAAACAGGAACTCCTCAAATAAATCGAGTCCCTTGAAGACACCAGAAACCAGGGTTTGATAGGGGATTTACACAGATGACTGGGATTATCAACATGATTGAACTTCTAAAACTCGAACTTTCCGGTGGATTTTTGGGCACTTCAATTTGCCATAGCCCCACATCGCACCAGAGCTCTATTGGACAAAATGGTCGGGATTATGTATTCCGTCTAACACCGCCCCAAAAAATAGGAACATACTTTATCAGTGTTAATGTGGTAGGATTTCACTTTTCTATGTTTTTCCTCTGGGATATTCAGGCACACCCCCCAATGTTTGATTGTTAAATCCCCATAACATATATCAAATGACTGGTGAAACAGTGAAACCTCCATATTTTTCATCATTTTTCGGAAATTTTAGCCATAATTCCCATATATATTATATATATAAATATGGCTTAAAAAAAGAAAACATCATCCCCATAAATCATCATTTTCAAAAATGTCGCAATCTTTATTTGGGATGATCCCAACTCGCCAGGACTATTGTCAGAACCTGGCGCCAGTGGTGGAAGAGGGCTATGGCACGTTGTACAGCGCCGTTCGGGGACCTAGGAGGAATGAGGGAGGCGAAGGTTCTCAGCAAGATGATGACGAAGAATCCCATCCCCCTAATATTTCTCTCTGGTAATTTAACAAAGCTATTGAAAATACCCCATTTATAGTTGATTTACCTGTTCAACATGGTGATTTTCTATAGTGATGCTAGTTTTCCAGAGGGTAAACATCCCCTAAATAATCCCAATTATGTGGAATTTCCCTACTAATCCATGGTTTCTAGGGGGTGTTTGATATTGGGGGAACTGTTTGTTCTACAAATTTGGGATCCCCAAAACATGCTAATTTTGATAGGAAGAGCGATGCCAAATATGATAAAACCATTGGAATTCACTTAATATAATAGATGACTTGAGGCCAAGTTAAACGTTCACTTTGATGGGGAGATGGATGATGAAACCCTTGGGTTTTACGTGGGGCTAGCATAGTTTCAGACAGGATCCATGTCCATCATGGCCCAACCCCCAATTCATCAATAGATCAGCTACCCAAATATTTGGGCCAAGGGATTATATCCATGTGTATCTCTGTATCAATCTGTATCATTATTATGATTATTATACCACCAATTCTTTAGAAACAATATTATATGTATACAGTATCATTATGTTTTTCATTTTTTTTTCATACCCAATCTGAAACAAAAACATATAGAGGTTATATATCCAGTTTGGTAAGTTCACTCCCGACTTGATGCAGAGACGTCCCTATGTCTTCGTCTCAGGTTGCTCCCATCGGCCAACAGAATGCTGGGAGGCGACGGAGATCCCTGGGTAAATGATGCCATAAATGGTGATTGAATCAGCCAGAATGAGGACTTGACATGACTTTACTATAGTAAAGGTATTATGTTTTATATGGGGATTATTTACTATACTATAGTATATATAATTGGGGATTATTAGGACCTGACTTTACTTTACTATTTTACTTTACTATTATATATGATGATAGATGATAGCAAAGTTGGTTTATTTGAATTTATTTGGCTCACATGTCTCTTATGCCAGATCTATGAACCAACAGGCATAACTGGAGGGCACCACACTATGGTGGAAATATGGGGAAGTTGACAGAACATAAGGGAACCATATGATCATATGTAATCCATTGGCTTCCGAACGATAATTCATCTACTTAACTGGTCCATGTGAAATCACTGGGGGGTATGTTTTCTGTTCCATGTTGTTTTTTTTGTTTTAAAAACATGTTTAATAATTGGGAAGATGATCGAGGTGTGTTGCGATTGGATGAACCCTGGCAAAAACTCTGATGTATGCTGAAGTTGCTGATGGAAAATCGTGAAAAACATCCCCCCAAAATCACCTGCTCCATGGTCAAAAATCGTGAGACATCCTAGAAAAATATCGAACAATACCAGAGTAATGGTGAAATCATACGGTCAAAATATGGTCAAATGCCAGAGATTCCAGATTATTTTCGGAGGGCAAAACCACGAGAAAATCTTCGGACGACTTTCACAGGCTGTGGCAGATCGAGGCTCAAGACGGCGAGGTGCATGAGATGGGGGAAGGTTTCACATCTCCCAACTGGTGCCTTCGCAACAACGAGAATGGAAATTGGAAAACAGGCTGTGAAAGATGGTGAAAGATGATGTTCCTGTTGGAATTGGTTATATAATGTTATATATATATGTATATAGAGAATGTTTATATCATTTATATTTCATATATGTTTGGTTTCGACATTGGTTTTCAAGAGTATAAGTGTGACTATTCATCCCGAACTCAGAATCTATGCTTGGTTTCTGACTTGAGATGCCTGGTTCTGTCAACTCCGCCCATAGTTCACCAGGGTCGACATTCATCCGGGCTTGACATTGAAGAGATTCATCCTAGGTGGAAATCCGTGGTTCGAATTTGGCTTGCAAGGTTACTGACAGGTTGATCTACACCCAAGAGTGAACATTAGTTAAATAAATCATGATGGTTAATAGTGGTTAATAGGCTATAAACCAACAACTATGGGAATATTATGGTGATCTGATTGGTGGTTTGGAACATGAATTATATTTTTCCATAGATTGGGAATAATCATCCCAACTAACTTTCATATTTTTCAGAGGGGTAGGTATACCACCAACCAGATCAACTTTGAATGATAATGGTCATAATTCAACTATCAATCCACATAATTTTATCTCAAATCCACTTTGTTGGTGGAGCTAAACAGTTAAACCACGTGTTGATAGTAAAGTCCCTGTTGATAGTTCCCTATAACATCCGTCTAACATCACCATGTATTATAGCTGGTTGCTGGTTTCAAACATTTTTTATTTTCCATTTCATATATGGGATAATCCCTCCCATTGACTTTCATATTTTTTAAGATTGTTAAAACCACCAACCAGTGATTGTGACTAGGTGACATCTATGTTACTATGTGGTAGATCTATTAGATATATCATATATCATTACTTATGATTTATCGATTTCGCGTGGCTAAATAATCAATTCCCCACTGTTCAGTGGTTAAATCATCCCCCTCGGAATTTTCCCTAAAGAATCCTGACCAGCCGGGTCAGAGACTGCATCGATTTATGGGGGACGTGACATCAAAAATCCCCAAGTTTTCAGTGAAAATCATAAATCATAAACCACTGTTAAACATCTACTGTATATAATCAAAAAAAATCAAAATCATGGTTTAAATTTGGGAAATCATCCCCTTTTATGGCCGAACTATTCAGGTGAGTGACATATTATAATTTATATTGTTGATTTGAATTTTTGAGTGGCTAACAATGGTGAAATCCTTGTTATCTATTGAAAATCTAAATCAAGATCTATTGTTGATTGTGAATCAATAAATATATCCCAAATCTTTGTTTATTGTTGATATGAATTGTTGATTGAACATCTACCCTCTGGTTATTTAACATAGCCATGGACAAACCCTTATAAATGGAGGTTTCAAACGCTGGGAAAATCATCTATTTCGATTAGGGCCATGGCTTCCATGGCGAAATGTTAGTCATAACCAGAGGGTACATTATTTTTTTCCAATTGAAGATATTGTTGAATAAATATATCCAAAATCAATAAATACACCAAAATCTATTGATTGAACATCTATTTTTTCCAGATTTTTGAGTGGCTAAATCAACCATTCACCACTTTTCACTGGTGAAATCCTTCACGTTTTCCTCGAGCTGCCGCGCAGGTCTACCGCATCGAGCTGCATCGAAGCGTGGACGATCCGTTTGGGCGGCCCAGGGCATGCCGAGATTCGCCGTGAGCTGCAGAAATGGAGGATTTTCATGGGAAAATCGTGGGAAAACTCTGGAAAACCATGGGAAAAACATGGAAACAACCACCTACAAATGGAGGATTTGGTGGGAAAATCGTGGAGAAGTCCTATATAAATTTGAGTGGGAAGACTCATCCAGTTATTGGGGATACATATGCCTGACCATAGCTGGGATAGATTAGGTATATCACCAAAAAGTGTATTAACCAATCAATGATAGGCTTCGGTTTCGGTTGGTTTCTTCCTGTATGGATTTATGGTGGATACATTCATCGGTAGTTGGATGGGTTTATAAACGATCCATACCCTCTGGTAATGACTAACATAGCTATTGAAAATGGCCATTTATAGTGGATTTTCCCATTAAAAATGGTGATTTTCAATAGCTATGTTAAATTACCAGAGGGTAAATCTTGCATTTTCAAGATCTATGAGAGCTTGAACTTCGAACCATGCTTTGTTTCTCCGAACCACTAAAGATCAGAGCATGGTCTCAAGTTAAGTCTCAGACTGGATGTTGCTGATCCGCTGATCCTAGTATTTTTGTTGATCGCTACGACTTTACGGTGAATCGGTGGATCCTAAGGTTGATGATTATATTCACAAGGGAAGGACTCAGTTTACTTGTGAGCAATCTACCCTGGCATGCGTTTTTCTCGTGGGATTTGGTAAATAATTTTTATATGGCTTTATATGGCTTTATAATGTTTTATATAGCATATGTACGCAGCAATAATTTCTGAATTGGACAATCATCAAACACAAGCAGCCTGATGTTCATACCTGATATCATTATTATGTTGTTTTCGCAAACATTCGATTGTTATGTAATGATATGTAATGATGAAACACTGATCCCATAGCCATCAACTGAATCTTTGACTTCTCTTGGATCTCTTGAGCTTGATGGATCAATTGATCAGTATGGAGAGACTTACGAACTTCTCAAATTCGAAAAAAGTTCATCACTCTACTCACTCTACCTCCATTTAACCATGGTTTTCATGCTTAAAAATCCATAAACATCCTATATTCAATGGGAATTCCAGGATCCTAAAATGTAGGTACTGCAGGTACTGTACCATATGTTTGGCCATATTTTGCTGGGATATTCACTTACATAGGCCTAAAAAATAGGCCAAACATATATGGAATCGGTACCACCCTACGACGCGGCAGGTCCGACATCTCGGTGCGGTGGCAGAAAGTGGACTCCAGACCCAGCCAGGCGGGCCCAGGGCACAGACCCAAGTGATTGGCAATGGAATGGCAATTGGAATTAATTATATTCTATTTGATTATAGTATAGTATATTAATTTGTATTATAAAATAATATATTATATATAATATTATATATATAATATCAATTTATGGGGGTCCTGATCCCGACATCTGGTGATTACAAGCCTAGTTCTTATTATAATCCTCAACTGCACCCTCAAGTATCCTCTAAAAACATGGCATGTCAATAGGGAACATGCTGGTGACTCTGTGATTGATGATCAACCTCTTGAATTTGTGAAACAAAAAATGTCGGAAAATGTCCTCAAACATGGCATATGAATTGGAGAACAGGATGATTTGCTAGTGGATGTGGGGCGCTTCCATCATTTTCTGACAGCCAGATTTCTGCAGAAAGGAACACTGGACTTCTCCATGATCAAGTAGTGAAGTACCTGAAATCTGAACCTTTGGAAGTACCTGAAATTTCGCTCTTGAACACCGAGACTTTTGATGGAACTCCGCTACTTTGGCTTGAACGTCTGATGATACTGAGGTTGATATGATGTCAGAAAACCAGTTGCTGGCAACATGGGGGTTTCCATAAATGGGGGATCCCCAAAATGGTTGGTTAATGGAAAATCCGAATCTAAAATGGATGATTTAGGGGTACCCCCATTTCAGGAAACCTCCATTTTTGCCTGCGATGAAACTCTATAAACGGACGCGGCGAACGTCCCCATTGATAACTCCAGCCCGAGCCTTCGAAGCTGACGAAGTTGACCTTCGATCAAGGCATATCATCAGTTGAGGCATGAAAACACATCGTCTTTATACCCTCTGGTAAACTAACATAGCTATGGAAAATCACAATCTTTAATATGGAAAATCACCATCTTTCATAACTTAAATTGGTAAAATCCAGGAACTAAATGGGCCATTTTCAATAGCAAACTGTCAAATTACCAGAGGGTAGGCCTTGGAACATGACCTTTTTTAGGGGGTTGGATGAAAGATCCGGAAGTTTCTGCGTTCCCACGTAATTCCCATGGAATCCCATCCTTGCACTTGTTGAATACCCACTACTCTCTGGTTATGTCAAAATAGCTATTGAAAATGATCATTTATAGTTGATTTACCTGTTCAAAATGGTGATTTTCCATAGTTATGTTAGTTTACCAGAGGGTAATCTATTGCTCCATTTATAGTTGATTTACTTATTCAAAATGGTGAATTTCTATAGCTATGTAAACGTTTACCAGAGGGTAATAATCTATGATCGGGCATGGGACTATATCCCATATATTAATCTCTCCAGTCAGATTGAAAGATTGATGGCTTTAAAAAACGGGTGATGAACAACTTTCTGCAGACATAGTACATCAATACCATCCAAAAAAACTAAAATAACTACATGGAAAATGCCCATTCATAGATGATTTACATTGATTTACAGCCATAGAACATTGTGATTTTCCGTATCTATATGTTAGTTTCCTGCCCACCCATTTTGCTCATGGTTGGAGGGGAAGGTCTCAAGGTCTTTGGCGCTCGCTGCCGATGCGCCGGTGCAGGCGGTGGAGGATCGCTACTTCTTAGTGGGCAGCTTCAATCGTCGGGGGACCCTGGCCTCACTGTGGGAATCAAGGGGGAAGCAATGGAAACAATGGGCTAAAACTAGTCAATGGGATTCAATGGGCTAAAACTATATCACAAAAGAACAATCTAAATCTAATTGTTCATAGTCAAGTCGATCCCGATTGTTGATGATTATGTTATATCCCATGAAATCCCTATACAATCACCATTTTTTTTTGCTTAAACCATGTTCAACCTTCATTTTTTCTTGCTTAAGTTCCATTTCTTCGGTGTGTTTTTCAGTAGTTTTTTCCAAGTTTTTCTTGATTCAACCATCATTTTCCCAGGTTTTCTGGATGAACCACCCATAAATCACCCATTTTTTTCCACCTTCGAATCAGTTCCGGCAGGTTGGGGCTACGCCTTCGAGCCCTTCGAGCTCACCTTGACTGGTGATGCCTTGGAAGCTGAGGTGAAGCGTCAGCTGGGGGAAGCTCCAAGCTGGGAATGTTGGGAAAACATGTTGAGTTGAGATGTTTACCCTTAGATATTGACATTATAGCACTATTAGTCACTTAATATCACTTAATTGTGATGATATACACTCATATATTAAGATATATCACTAAGATGGCTTTTTTTTGTGAAACATGGTGGCAAAACACAGAGAAATCCATGGGAAATACCCTCTGGTAAACTTACAAAAAGCTATAACAAATCACCAGTTTTAATGGGTACATCAACTATTTCTATAGCCATTTTCAATAGCTATTTTGACATAACCAGAGGGTATGTTTGACAATCATGTTACAAAGTTGTTTGGAAACATCTTGGATGGTGTGTTTTTTTTTTTCCTGGTGGAAACATGGGGTGAAAACCCTAAGGTCCAATGATTTTGGGGTATATCCATCTGTCCCATGTCTGCACTTTTCTTCAGGATTTGGATGCTCCAGATTTTGAAAACATCTTCAAGTTATTGATATATGGGGGTTTCCATAAATGGTGGATCCCCAAAACTGGATGGTTTATAATGCACAATTCTATTAAAATGGATGATTTAGGGGTACCCCTATTTCAGGAAACCTCCATGTAGATGATCTTCACCTTATTGTCGTAATCTTATGTAATCTTCAGGTTTCAACTCTCTTACGCAATTTCGTTGTGCTAGAGATGGCTGTAATTTTTCAGTCATGCAGGAATTTCATCTCCCACCAACCAGCAACAAGTGCTTGACCATGGCTTATCTTTGGCTTGTCTTGGGAGATCCATATTTTTATTTCTCAAGACTTTGGCCGTTGTACCAACCACCACAGTAGGCAGGGACTCGCGTGCCTTGTCGGAATGAAACTAATTTCTCAACAGTTTAAGGGTTGTAATCATAGTCATCTTTGAGGAATCACCGTGAAATCACAATTGAATCACCATGAAATCGCCATATCCACTACTGATAATCTTAAGCCATAGCTGAATAGATTGATATAAGGTTTTCAAGGTTTTCACATAGTGCCGGAGCCCATTCGGCTCATTTTACCGGGGATGCCTCCAGCGTGCCAAAGAAACTTCGAAGAGCGGCGAAAACTGCAAGGTTTTAGCTACAAGGATTCTCAGCAGAGATAGAACTGGTGTTTCAATATGTGTCAATCACCATCAAAAGTATTGATTTATTTCTTATATAAATATATATATATACTGTATATATATTTATCTAGTTCATTTCCTATATATAAATTATCTAATGATCTGTTTCGGAAACCTTCGAAACCGAACCATCCCTACCCGCTTCACCCAGCTTTCAACGTTTCCAGGTGCAGGTGCAGTCGCTGCCGCTGAAGTTCCAAATCATCGAAAACATGGCGGAGGATGGGAGAATCCGCAGGACTTGGTTACGATTATTACCCTCCGGTTAATCAAACATGGCGTGCTGGAAAATACACTATTTCCCATAGGATCCATGGTGCTGGTATATATGCTAACATGACTGGGGTATATTGATGGGATCCATGTTACCATATATAGCATACGTGGATCCTATGGGTTTATAGGTGATTTTCCTATTGAAACCCCTATTTCTAGTGGATTTCCAATTGCCACGTTTGATTACCGGAGGGTATTTGTCATTGGTAATATGATGGTAATATGATCATTGGTTAATATCATGGTAATACGATGGTAATTATTTGTCATTACCGCAGGACCTTACTATGATTACTCATTGCTATCAGAAATAATGCTTATTAATTACTATAGTATATAATAGTAGTGATATAGGGTAATGATCATTACTACCATTGGTAATGATTATTATTTGTCCTACTATTGCTCAATGGTAATGGTAATATGATCATTACTATCAGAGTTATAATGGCTTATGATGGCGATTCCTATTATTTACTATTAGTAATTGTATGACTATTGCTAAATCGTTATATGGTCATTATCGTTTTGATAATTATTGATATTTATTGCTATTGACATATGATGACTATTTTCTAATGTATATATATATAAGTATATAAGTGTATTACTATTGCAAAATGATGCTAAATGATAATGTGATATTACTATTTGAGTTATCCTGGCTTATATGATGGTCACTACTGTAATAGTGTTATTGTTTGTCCTACTATTTCTATATTAGGTTACAGGTTAGGGTTTCCGAAGCCAAGGGGGGGTACCCCCAGTCCTCATCCAGTCGTCATGGATGACCATGATTTAGTATTAAAACCTATGGTGACTTGGGAATTTCCCATTTTCAGAAGCCACCATATAATCATTGCTATTATAATTCTTATAGGCTTATGAATGACTTATGATGCTTATTACATATTATATACTATTATTGCTACGGATGCGTGGTGAAGCAGTGTGTAGTTCAAATGTATATCATAATTGAATTATAAAAATGTGAGAACATGGTAAACTGGCAGTATAATTGCAACATTGCTTGAAGGTCACTATTAAACTGGCTACATTCGAGTATATTGACGGAGAGAAGATGAACATCACAATAGGCAAATACACTTGGTTATACTATTGAACCTGGCTGATGGGTCGAAAGCAAATATAAACACCGTCAAGGAATATTGCTACCAATGCATATGGACTGGATGTGTATTCAGAATAATCTGGGAGATGTGGTGGTTAGCATTATCTGTCAGGTATGGTTATGGTTCCTTCAATTAAAACCATGGCTGTTAGTAATCATATCGAATTTATATATGGATAGGAGGGGATATATAGTTGTAATAAAGGTATCATCCCCCAAACTGACCCATACCCTGCCAAATAGGTAGTTGCACGATTGATTAAAATGAATTATTTTCAGGGTCTATGTTAATTTACAATTTATTTATATAAAGATTTTAAAGATTGATTTTCACTAAAACAAAATGTTGTTGTCATTTTCACTTTAGTCTTGTCACTAAATACATACATATATATATATGTATATATATGTATATATATATATATGTATATATATATGTATATATATATATGTATATATATGATGGTAATGAAGCAAGGCTTCTCATTTCCTACTCCAACCTATCCCATCCAACACAGGACCAGCGCCTCTACCCCGATGACAAGGACACAACTGGGTGTCTCCCGGGGCCGCGGTCGAGGGATTACCCTCCGGGGATCAACCATGGCAATGGAAAATCCAGCATTTACAGATTTGAGGCTCTCCATCAATGGTTAATGATGGTTAATGATGGTTAATGATGGTTGATGATGGTTAATGATGGTTAATGATGGTTAATGATGGTTAATGATGGTTAATGATGGTTAATGATGGTTGATGATGGTTAATGATGGTTAATGATGCTTAATGATGGTTAATGATGGTTAATGTTCCCATGTTTTTCCCAACATATTCCTAACATGTTCCCAGGTCCCAACATATTTATGGCTCTTAACATTTTATTGATACGTTCCCAGCGTTTTCCCAACATTTCTCCATTTCACGGTGCCAGTTTCGCTCCAGGATTGCGGCAGTGAGGAGCACAACGTCTGTGGCCCCGAAGCGCAAGCGCGAGACTGGCACCTGGGCTGGAAAGGTGGGGATTGTTCGCCCAAGAAACCGCCGGAAAGGGTCCTATACGCAGGTTATATCCCTGGTAGGTTGTGGGATAAGTAGAGTTCATCCACAGCCATGGATATGACCTGCTTGGGATCTATGGGATGCAGCAAGTAGGGATCTAATGATGGAATGGATGGGATTGATCGGGGTTAATTGGGATCTACCCTTCGGTAATTTGACATAGCTGGGAAAATAACACATGAAAATAGATGATTGATGATGATCATACTATGAAAAATGGTGATTGTCCCGCTCGCTACATTGAATATTCAGAGGGTAGCTTGAAAAAACAGCTGGAAATTGTGGATTTCGCCCGCAAAAAGGAAGGTTTCAGCAGGCAAGTTATGGAGATCTAATCATGGGTACTTGGTATTTCACTATCACTAATGTGTGTGCTGGTTGGTGCTTTGGAACATGAATGGATTGCGACTTTCTATTCATTTGGGACTGTCATCATCCCAACTGACTTTCACTCCATCATTTTTCAGAGGGGTAGGTATACCAATGTATACCACCAACCAGTATGAATATTAGAATCCCTATGGAAACGGATGATTGGTTTAAGGGAACTGAGTTAATAACCAGCATAAATTCAATGAGTTGGTTTAAGGTAACTCTGCACGAAACCATGTGTCTGAAAACATGATGATCAACCACTGGAGGAATGAAAAAACCAAAGCCAGGCGATTTCTCGCAGCTGGTCGCAGCCCAGTTTGGAATCGCTAAGTTGGTTTACAATTGATTTGTACTAATATTATATTTCACCAGGTATATAAAACTTATCACTAGGCTGGTGTATGTATATAGTATACATGATATATATATATAGAGTTTAGTACTTATAATTGAAACTGGTATATAAAACTAGTTTAAAACCAGTTGATCACTAGCCTTTGTGGTAGATATATGTAGATATATCAAGCCCCACATTGTACCGATCAAAAGTTTGTTTGGATTTCGGCCTGAAAACATGGATATACGATGTGTGCACATCACTTGAGGATGAGTTAAGAGACGGACATAGAGAGGGGAACATAGATTTTGGGTGTTTTCGTATTACTACCATCAATCAATGATGGAAAACTATTACCATTTGAAGTAAATTCAAAAAAAAACTAAACCCCAATGTGACTAAAATTTTGTTTTATTTCTCCCTGAACCAATCCACTGAATAGTGATGTTCATCGTTCAACAGTTTGCCTACTAAAACACATCAAGCGACCTATACTTTGTGGCTAAAACATTGCAATTACATACTGTTTATTGAGCAGTGTTCACAACGTGTCATTCCCCTAGATCGGTTGGTTAAAATGCATTATTATCGTAATGGATTATGATAATCCCCATTATATAATGGGCAGGTTAGTGACTTGCTCAACCTACATATATATAATATGTGACATATTTAGCAACTTCCCCAATCATTGGATAGAGTTTAAGGCAAAATTCAACCCGAAACCCCGTTATTTGATGGTCAAAACATGGTTCAACAAAAACATGGTTTCCGGTTTCCGGGTCAAAATTTCCCAAGAACACCAATCCATTGATTAATAATGATCAATAATGATCAATAATGGTCAATAATGATTAGATATGATTAATAATGATTGATAATGATTAATAATGATTGATAATGATTGATAATGACTGGGTGTTGATCTCAACTAACTGACTGGATAATTATAATGATTAATAATGATCAATAATGATTGATAATGATTGATAATGAGTAATAATGATCAATAATGATTGATACTGATTGATAATGATTGATAATGATCAATAATGTGTTTTTTTATGATGATATTATTAATCATTATTAACATTATCAATCATCTCCATTAATCCCGATTGTGTTGCTGTGATCCTCAGCAAGGTGCTGGAGCCTCGGCAGTAGCGTTTGCAGCGTGGGGGACAGCGTCACAGTTGGGGGACTCAGCAGTGACTCAGTGCTGTGGCGGAATGTGATCCGGTGAGGGAAAATCTTCACCGGAAACGCCCCGAAAACCATGGGTTTTCCTATGAAATATGGGGCTTTCCTGCAAAATTTCCCCTAAACCAATCCATTTGTTTGTTAAAGATCACCCTTTGGCATATTGTGGATGTTTGTTTTGAGGTGTTTTTTTTTGCCTGGATAGCTCAAGAGGTTTACTGACTTTACCTTCAGTTTATCTGGGTAAATTATAGTGACCTCACTGTGACTTCACTGGAATCATGGCTAGTAAGGGTAACTATCCCAATATAGCATTAGTTCAGGTCGGTGAATTATTATCAGATACCCAGATATATCCCATTTACATTAAACCATATTAAAATCCCATTAAATCCTCATCTGGTTGGTGGTTTCAAACATTTGGATTATGTTCCATTTCATATATGGGATGTCATCCAAAACCCATTGACGAACTCCACGATTTTTCAAGATGGTGATTGCTAGCACCACCAACCAGTCATTGTTGATGCTTATAACCCTCATGAAGTATGATGATGGCATCCCATGGCATGCCCAAAAGGCTGCCTTGGTGTCACAGCTGCCGTCAGGTCTCCTTGCAGCTTCAACCGGAAAAGAAGGCCCCGCTTCAAACCGTCCTCCCTTGGGAAATGGCAGGATTCCAACGGGCGGGAAGTACCCAGCGATGATTTGACATAGCGAAAATGAACCATTTATAGACTGGTTGGTGGTTTGGAACATGAATGGGTGATCTTTCCCATTCAGTTGGGAATCATCATCCCAACTGACGAACTCCATCATTTTTCAGAGGGGTAGGTCAACCACCAACCAGGAGCCATTTATAGACGATTTACCAACAATGGTGAGGTAAACCGTCACACGTCACATGCGATGTTTCACGACGAGGTGACGAGGTGCGAATTATTCTAAACTTGGCCAGATACATGGCGATTTTCAATAGCTATGGTAAATTACCAGAGGGTATCACCCAGAAAGAGATTATCACCCAGGACGGCATTCAAACATTAATTATCACCTGGTTGGTGGTTTCAAACATTTTTTATTTTCAATAATATATGGGATAATCCTTCCCATTGATGTTCATATGTTTCAAGATGGTTAAAACCACCAACCAGAAATGAAATCCCCACTTTGAAAACGAATACGACGATCATCTGCAAGTGTCGTCATTCCAAGACGTCATGCTAGAGTGCCAGAGGGTATCCGAAGGTACCCCCAAATATGAGCAACTTTGCGGTGTTGCTCAGAATCTCCAGGTTTGGGGTGATAAAGAAAACTGCCGTTTCGATATCTTTGTTTCACGAAATCTTTCCCCTTGAACTTGAATTTAGATGAATTTATAATAGGCCCATCCGAAGACAGGACTGGATCTCCAGATGGCACAAGTCGTCGGATGCTATCAGCACCTTGAAAGGATATTTATCCAATCAATTTCAATCTGGTAGACTACTGTACCCACATTGTCAAACTTCAATCTTGCGCTTTGCCAATTTCATATTCAATCTCTATCTATTGCTTGCAATAAAGATCCACTCATTTCAAGAAAAAACTGCCGGGGCCCGGAAGCCCTGATATTTGGAGGTTTTCTGATGTTTTTGTAAATTGACCCTTAAACCCACACATTGAACCATATTGTCACCCCATTATCATGGGTTTCCACCAAACAAATCTGCCCAGTAATAACCCCATCAAAGAATAGAACATGGAAATGGGTCAAAATCTATTATTATTATTGCATTTATTTGCAATATCTGGGTGAACAACCATCCAGCTATACCAGCTATGACTTAGGGGCCCCCCATCTGGGTGCATTTTCGCAGCAGGTTACCTGGAGAAAGGCTGAATAAGTGAGAGCCGAGATACGGCGGCCAAGTTTCGGAGGGTTTCTATGGGAAGTTTTATGCTTGGTGCTTCATCCCAGGAATCGTAAGTGGATAACAAAACCCCAGTGATTTCAGTGAACCTTGCCCCTACAAAGGCCCAGTGAAATCACCAGGGGTTTTTCACCTACTTACTATCCATCAGGAGGCAGCGGTTCGGAGCCAGAGGCATCTAAATCCTTCTATATGAATTCCTTAAATGGGGAGCCACGGACCTTCTAAGACTTTCCCAAACCACATGATAGGACGTTGTTTTAGATGATCTATCCCGTGTGCTCCATGGTGCTGGTATATTTAACCGCAAAACTGGGTGATTTTTAGGGTAAATGTTGGTAACTATTCCAGCACCATGGAGCATTTGGGTATATTCACAGGTTAATGTTTTCATGGGTGAATGTTGATTGGCTAATGAATGAAATGGAGTGGGCTAAATATGGGTGTTTCCATAAATGGGGGGTATCCCAAGCAATCATCCATTTCTTGTTTGGGATTTTCCCTTATAAACCATCCAGCTATTGGGGTACCACCATTTATTTGGTTGGTGGTTTGGAACATTTGGATTATTTGTTCCATTCAGTTGGGAATGTCATAACCCCAACTGACTTTCACTCCATCATTTTTCAGAGGGGTAGGTGGCTCAACTACCAACCAGCTAAGTAGCTAAGTATGATCATCAATGGGATTTTGCACCATATTAAACCATACTAAACATATATATATAGAACTATGGAACCCCCCCCTATTTTTTTGCGAAAACAACTTAAAAACCACCTGATCATGGCCAATGAAGGCCTTCTTTGTCAGGTCGATGGCGATAGTCATCAATCCGTTGGGGATATATATATATGGGGCATCAGAAAAACGGGTTTAGTCTCTAAGCAAATGCATAATGGATCATAATGGTATATATAATTAATGTTTGTTTGGGGAAGATAAATCATTATACATAATTCCATTAGATTGTATAGCCTATATATATATATATGGTATAAGAATGTATATAATATAATTATCTCATACTATATCCACAGTTTTCCAATACATCATATATGGATATCATTGAAATGAATTGGATGTGATGCACACAGATGACCCTCCGAAACTGTGATGGCGTGTCCTTGTCTTCCAGCTGTGGTGCTGGCCGTATCCCGACCGATGACCCAGCCCCCACTCAGAATTAAACAGCCATAGTTGGTAAGCCCCCATTGAAAATTGGTATAAGTAGGTTTATGAAATTGTAAACACTACGAAAACTGGGTACCTTTTGATAAACTAACATAACTAATTATTGAAAATCACAATTTTAATAGGTAAACCATCTATAAATGGGTCATTTTCCATAGCTATGTTAGTTTACTTGGGCGATATCTACCAAAAGTGACAATTGGTGTAAGAGTTAGACTAGGGCAATCCCGTCTTTTTACAGACCGCACCCCCTACAACACAATAGATTTTAAAGCGGTCAAAACAAAAAGATGGGATTGCTTTACCTTATAGAAAACAATAATATAAACCATAACAAACAAAAAAAAACAAAACAACATAAGCAATACAATAGATTATAAAATAGACTATACCAGAAATCATAACAACAAACCATACATTTACCCTTATTCAAAAGCCCGTTGTAAAGCCCATACCTATGAGATGGAACTTTAAGATAAATTCTGAAAGAATTTATCTATAAAGCCAGACCCCAGCATCGGTAAAGCCAATACATAAAATCAATTGAAAGGAACCTAAAACCCAGCCACAGGAACCTAAAACCCATTGGTTGGACTTTAAAACCCAGATAATGAAAAAATCCAGCCTTCAGCCCTTAGACATCCCTATGTCCAGCCCTTAGACATCCCTATGTCCAGCCCTTAGACATCCCAATGTATAGACCCTGTAGGGGTGACAGGGAGCACCCTGTAGGGGTGACAGGGAGCACCCTGTAGGGGTGACAGGGAGCACCCTGTAGAGGTGACAGGGAATGCCAATTATGTAGCATTTTAAGTCATTTTCTGTAACCCTATAGGGGTGACAGGGAGCACCCTGTAGGGGTGACAGGGAGCGGAAATATCCAGCCCAGATAATGGGAATATCCAGCCCAGATAATGGAAATATCCAGCCTAGATAACGTGGAAAACCAAGGTGGTGTTTGAGAAAAGACCAGCCTAGATTTTGAGAAAAAGCCAGCCTAGATTTTGAGAAAAACCAGCCCAGATTTTGTGGAAAACCAGCCTAGATTTTGAGAAAAACCAGCCCAGATTTTGTGGAAAACCAGCCTAGATTTTGAGAAATACCAGCCCAGATTTTGTGGAAAACCAGCCCAGATTTTGTGGAAAACCAGCCTAGATAATGGACATATCCGACCCAAGTAGGAACCCCCAATCCTACCTTATTAGCAACTTTTTCAAGTAGGAAATCCAATCCTACCAAGTAGGAAATCAAAATCCAACTTTACAAATAAAAGTAGGAAAAGCAGGTAAAGGCTTTGCTGACAGCAGTAGAGCACTTACTTACCAACTTCAAATCGCGAGTAAGAAATACTCTGAGTTCGAAGTGAGTAGTTTATCTGAAGCCTTCTACTTTTTACGCCGAACACTTCATTTTCTGAATGCTGACCAAAACTCATTAAACATCACTTATAAACAATACAGAGAGAACAAATTTGTGATGGCTTTTTCATTGGAGAAGATGCCAGATGTTAATTTTACTGGCACTAATACCCGCTCCGGCTCTTTAAAGATTTAGTGTTTTTAGAAAGCCATGATGCAACCATGAGATGGTTGATTTGATGTGCTCTTTTGATTTCAGGGTTTTGTGTTTTGCCCTTCATTTGTTTTCCCCATGATTTTGTGTTTGGCACGTTTGGGTCATTGGCTGGGAATGCTCCATGTTCCTTTGCCCTTCCTCGCCTTGGCTTTGTCATCAATCTCTTCTTCATCCTGTTGTCGGGGCGCTCAGCTGTTGGGAATATGTCAGTCGGAGGTTTGAAGCCACATGTTCTTGGAGAGCTTGACCTTGTGACTTGTTTCATTTTGAGCCCCTTTGATATTCTCAATTGGACAGCTACACAAATTAGCTCTTGCAGTTTGAGCTTGGAATTTTGTCATGTTTTTTCGGCATCTTTTGTTCAAACCACTCGGGCACGCTTTTTAGCTCGGTGTCGGCATGTCCATGGCGCAAATCCGTTTTGTCGCTTGGCTCATCATCCTTGCATTGAGCGCTGGAGCTGCAGACACCAACAGCACAGGGACTGTGGATGCCTCGCCGAACATGAGCTGGGGGGAAAAGCAGACCACGGCAGTCAATCTCCGCCATCCCAACTATTGTTGCCAATGTAATCCTTATGAAGGTCCTGTTGATTGTCTTGATCCTGACAACAGCGGAAAACCTTGTTGTTAGTCATCACTTTCATCACGCCAGTTGCGCAGAAAGTGTGTGAGTACGCTTGCTTCGCCAACAGGGCGACTTGGAAAACAGTGCTCTGAGCAGATCCTTTGTGATTGAAAAGGTCTCCCTGTACAGTATATAGGTAGGCATTGTTTCAATAGAGCATTCATGCCAGTTATCCTTCACAAGCTTGACATTCAGTGCATTCATGCCTGATACAAAGACAAACCCTTCCAAAAACTTGGGAAGACTGGCACCAACAAGTCTGGACGCACACCACACAAATCTTTTTCACTCCATTTCGCCCCAAAAGTTTGGATTGCTGTGCCATTTACATCGCGCTGAGGCTAAGAAGACATGGTTATCAACAAGTTCATGAAGGGCGGTTTGGGCATGGTATTTGCGGTAATTAGCGAGATTTGAGATTGAGAAATGTGATGCTGTTGTGATATGCTAGTTTGTATGTATGCTGGTATGTATGCTGGGGGATGGGATAGTATATTGGCTGGGGGCTGAGGCTTCCCCTATAGGGGGAGACTGTGGTAATTAATCCCATAATCTTCATAATAAATGAATATGAAAATTATGTTGGTTCTCCCCATAAATTTGTTAAGATAATTCTAGTAAATTTATGTTGCAATTATTTTCTAGGACTATTTCTAGCAACTATGATTTCTAGAAATAACACCTATGAAATAGATAAGGTAAGATAATGTATATGTGTATATGCCTTGATACAAATTATTCAATTCAATTATGATTATTATCATTATATATATATATTATATATATATTACGGATGAGATGGATGAGATGGGTTGATATGATGAGGTTGTTGTGGTTTATGTCATAGGTTTTATTGATAGTAGGTTGTTAGGATTTTGTTATTGTTGTTTTGTTGCTTTGTTTTTGTTTGAATTTTGTTTGTAGTATGTTGTTTTGATTTTGTTATTGTTGTTATGATTTATGGTATAGACTATTTTATAATCTATTGTATTGTCTATGTTGTTTTGTTTTTTTCTTTTGTTGTTTGTTGTTATGATTTTGTTGTTGATTATGTTATAATCTAGGGGAAAGGGATAGGAAAGACACTTAGCGAGTTATTACCTATCTATAGTAGGTAATGGAGGATACTAAAGTCAAGTTTTCTAAATGTTGTAAGGAAATGGAAGAGGGTAAATACAAAACTTGTGCTAAATGTAGGGAATATATGAGGGCTAATCATCAAAAGAACAAAGAAAAATATAATGAAAGGAGGAGAGACTATTATTACAATCATATAGTGCAGGCAAACGAATATGCTAGAAATTATGGTAGGACACACAGGGAAGAAATAAATGAACGAAGAATAATTCATAGAGCAGAAAACATTGAACAAGTGAATGCTAAAATAAAATGGCCATGTATGTGATGATTATGAAATTCAATGTAAGAATTACAAGAGACACACACAAACAACAAAGCATCTGGAGAACTTGAAGAAACAACAAACATATTTTTTTAAGTTCAAAATTATATACAGTAAGCTATTTTTTTGGTTATGATTTATGGTATAGTCTTTTTTATAATCTATTGTATTGTTTAGG